TATGGCTTAAATATTATAACTTCAATTTGGTTCCCTTTGGGGTAGATTCTTGGGCCGTGGGGTTCAAGTACAAAGCTCATTAAAGATTTAAGTTGGCGCCTGGTAGATATTCCGTTGACCCTAGAGCTGGTGCTTTCCTCAACGAATAAGTATCGCAATACAGCGAGGAAATGCTGCCAGCCTTAAAGGTACATTGCCACAGGGACTAAACTTTTTAAATTTGTGTTAATTTTTAATTATTTGTATTATTACTATGAAGGTAAATAAAATTGTAAATACTGCATTATATATACTTATTATATATAAATCTTATGTAACTCTTTTTGTTAAAAAAATACCGAAGAACAAATCCAAAGAAACGGATGTCATAAACAATAATAACGCAGAAAAAACAACATTTATACAATTAAATGATAAAATTGTCACGATAAAAAATAACAATATATTTATTAAATATTATATTAATTGTTTAATGCTTTTGTCAACGAATAAGTATCGTAATACAGTGAGGAAATGCTAGCATTAAAGGTACACTGCCACAGGGACCAAACTTTTTAAATTTGTTTTATTTTTTTTATCCATTTTAATTATTAGATTAATACTACATAGATTAAGAATATTATTTATTTATTTATTGTTCTTATTTCCTATTTTTACAGTTACTTTATGAAAACTAATATAAAATACAATGAAAACTAAACTAAAAACATACTATAAACATAACAAGTAAAAGCATAAAGCCGAAACCCTTTTATAACTAACTAGCTGACCTGGCAAACGTCGTTTTGCCATGTATATCATTTATAATAAAAAATAGGGGTTGATCGTAGAGGGGTGAAAATTAGGGGTTGTATGTATTTTAAAAAAAAAAAAGGTGTATCTAAATTAAAAAAATATAATTTAGGGGTACCACCCTTAACCTTAAGGGGGATGAAAAATAGATATTGTCCGATTCTCAGACATACCCAATATGCACACAAAATTTCATGAGAATCGGTCGAGCCGTTTCGGAGGAGTTTAACTACAAACACCGCGACACGAGAATTTTATATATTAGATTATAATAATGCAATTCTTGATTATAATTGAATTCAGCCATAGTGCAGCATAATATATCCGTCTCACAAGCAATATGTAAATATAAAACAAATAGAAATATTAATAACTAAAAATGGAAACCCATATGACATGCACAATTCAATATTTTTATTATTAAGTTAAATTGAAATTTAGAGGAAATCAATGGATGGGAAAATATTTGCCTTTTTTTTATAACGGGGACACACCTGATGTTCAGAGAGCCCATTAGTAGTGTGAACTCAATTTCCGAAGACGTTTGGTCCGCTTAGAAGTTGCCTGGGAGCTTCGCAGGCTTCACGGAGCGACCTCACTACTCCGAGGATTTCTGTTCGTTGGGAAGCCATAGCCACGCATTCCAGGGCTACGTGATTGGTTCCTCTGCGCTGAAACAGCTGTCTTTCGCGACAAAGAGATGCTAAAAAGACAGTGAGTGGGCCCATAGACACTTACATTGTTAGAGGGCTCGCAAGTCGCACTCAAACAATTTGTATGACTAAAAACTTAGCGATTAAAAAGTGCGTTAAAGGTAATGTAAATTTAGAATTAAACTACCTTCTTTTCTGACGTTTGTAAGTATACGTGTTTACATAATATATAAATAAAGTTGTTTTGGTAACCGCAGACCCAGTCTCCATTATATCCAGATTATGAACCCTGGGGCCCGTGGCAAATCTTCTTTCGTGGCAATTCTTTTGATAGGGCCCTATCAGTAACAATCGTTCCTATTCAGTTTAATTTTAATAAACTTTGAGACTTTCAAAGTACTCAATTACACGTTGTATATGTCCCACTAATGGCCATAGGCCTCCTCTCTTGGGGGAGAGGGAATGGTCTGTAGTCCCTACGCTAGCCACTTCACATACATCTATAGAACATAATATCTCATTGCATTCATTATCTATTCGCAAGCTTTTCGGTGAAGGAACAACATCGTGAGGAAACCTGCAACAATGAAATAAAAATAACAATTTAATTTCAATAAGATATTTATTAAGAAAAATCTTTTTTTCGAGCTTTCTGTTCCGCAAAAGCGTCTCTAACATCATCAAAGTTTAAAGATCGGGCTATAAAATTTTCAAGAGACAATAGCCAGGTTAGGTACATAACTAGTCTCATAGAGTTTCTTAAATAGGTTTTATCAATTTTAGTTTTGTAAATGATTGGTCAGCACTAGCTGTAGTCACAGGAATTGTAAGAAATAACAGTAACGATTAACTTTCAATTAAAATAAAATACTCAGACACAATGTAAAAAATTTTTTTTAGCTCGCGGCCTTGGGCAGGGGCCCTCTTGGGTCGGGGACCCGTGGCATTTTGCCACCCCTACCACCCTATTGTTACGCCACTGCTTCTGAGGTGTAGCTGGTAAAAATAGCGTAGTTCAAAAATGTAGAGTCTGGCTAATGCAAGAAGATAATTGAATTATTTGAAAACTTTCGGATGGCAACACAGAATGTCATTGAATTTCTTAGGTTAGTATGATTTATTGTCTTGATATTTCATGCATAGTAGTTAACAGGTATAATAGCCTAAACTTTGTTTTATTTGATAGAATATTTCGTTTCTTTCGCAGGATTTGATTATTATTATTCCGAATAAAGTTGTGTTTTATAATAAAAATAGTTTTAGTTTTCTATGCAATGCTAGTCATTTTAAGTATCAATAGTAAAAGACTAAAAACACGAAATACAGTTACTATCAATGTAAAAAATTGTAAAATCAAGTATCAAGTAAGTTTAATCCACAAAATGTATCAAACTTTCAGGGATACCATACTAAAAATGTTTGAATTTTCCGCGCTTCTTCGTTATCTTCTATCACTAACCAGACTCTAGCGAATTGATTATTTCGTTATAATCTGTGAATAGAAAAAGAAGTATTATTGACAGACTTCATGCAAATGCAAAATAGCAATATAAATATGTAAAAATAGGAACTTGTGAACTCTAGACAAAATTATTAGTGCAATTGAACAGGTAATTGATATTTTAATTGTGTGCGTGATAAATTGCGTGACAAGGGCGTCATCAGATAAATTTCAAGGGGGAGGGCCAGTAAATCCAAGAGGCTCTTTTATCTCTGCCTTTTAATAAATGTATTAAAGAAAAGCTGTGTAAAAAGGCTTACTATAAAGTTAACGATTATCTAGTTGATAAAAGCGCCTGGGACTAGTGCTAGACAGACTACTTCTAATTAATTTGCGATATTTGTTTTAAAATAAGTGTTGTTTGATGATTTGCTATTTTAAAAGAGTACCGAGAGTTTTTTACGCCGGCTTTTTCTCTCGGGGTACACCCTCTGTCTTTTTTGCCGATGAGTAGGGATGCCTACAAATTCAAATTTAATGACGTGGAATAAGTGATACATGTATCTTAAGTTCCATATTAAACATATTTTTTTTTATTTTAGTGCAGGAAAAGTACGAACCGAGTGAAAACTTCAACTTTCAACATATACATTCATAACATGTAGTGGGCAATAAATATAAATGTTAACAAATTAAACAGACAAAAACTTGGTTTTCTATCTGGCGACGCTCTTGTATTGCAAATTTTGTTTTTGTTCCCAGACATATAAATCTTAATATATATAAATGACGCGTCACGTTGTTTGTCCGCTATGGACTCCTAAACTACTTAAAAAGTAGATGATTCTGTGTCTGACACACGCCGTCGACTTTTTGGGTAAAACAAGCCGGTTCTCTCACGATGTTTTCCTTCTTTGTGCGAATGATATGCTCATGTACAAAAAGTCCATGCGGTGCACATCCAGGGATCGATTGACCTCAAGGATAAGAGTCACACTCTGAAGCTAGGCCAACAACAGGCAGTGTTAGTTTAACAAGAATGTGCTCTCTTTTGGTGTAAACAATACAAAAATCCATGCACATGTTTGTTTGTAAAACTAATTTGGATCGTTTTCATATATATATTATGATATATTGCACTACTCGTGTTATCAATGTTTGCGCTTGTATATTGTGCTATTTTAACGGTTTGAGATATTTATTTATCATTAAGAACATTACAACATTCACTTACATGAAATTATACTATTCTAATAATTAATAGTATATTACAATAAAGTACAAAAGCAGACAAAAAGAGACTTAGATAAAAATACAGCAATTTTAACAATTATACACAAAAAAGTCTTTAGTGCATATGTCAGATAGTTTAAGCCCACTAAAAATCAGTGTTGCTGGTGGCAGTAACACTGACTTTTCAGTTTTTTTTAAATAAATTAAAAAAATTCCTTTCAAAATATACAAGACAGCGTCGGTGAAGAACCCTGGCGTCTGGCGTAGTTTGACCCCACCATGATTTCGTAATTGTAATAAAATAAAAATAGCCTTTATTTCGGACAAGTTCCAGGTTCAATGGAAGGGATTCATTCTGCCCTTACTCGGCCCACTTTTGTCCAAACCTTGTTTGCAACCAGCTTTCATCCTCCCATCTTGTACGTACTGCCCCCCTTTTTTCCATTTTCAAATTTTTGGGTACTCATTGTAGCTTTACTCCACTTCTCAGCCATTCGTAAGGTCCTGTCACATTTCGCAAGTTTGACAAACAGCGGAACAAGGGAAACGTCCAAAAGGACCACCACCACCTAGAATGGGGTTTTAGTGCGGTTAGACGAGGGGTTTTAGTCCGCTTCTCGGAGCCTCAGTCCTACATTGCGCCATTGCACAGCGTTGAAGCAGAAGTCCATTAAAAGTATAATTTCATTTTACACCTTGGTATTGACAATTTAATTCAATTTGGTATATTTATATTTATTTAAAAAAGTTATGACATCGTTACAATAGTTGCTAACATCTACACACACATACACACACAAAAATAACAATATGTAATAACCATTGCTTACATAATTCTTACAATAAATATGTGATCTAAAGAGGTTTTATTGATTTTAGTCATGGCGTGCCCGGAAAGAGACAGACTCAAGCCCAAGAAAGATTTATCACTCAGCTCCCTAATATTGTGGAATATAAAAAAAGTTATGGAAATTAACACTTCTGTTAACCTTAAGGTAACAAAAGCCTATTAAAGTGTTTAATTGACAATATCGCATATCTCGTTGAATGATAACCTCGTATGTCCAGAGAACTTTACAGGAAACAAAAAAATGTTTATTTCGTCAATGTTTGTTAAAATATTATTATGTGCTTTTGTCCATAGTTTTGGATGGTAAAAATGACTTATTTATTAAACATAAATAAGTAATACTTCATGATAATAAAAAATAAATGGTTTTTTGACATACGAGGTTATCATTCTACAGTGACGATATAACAATATGTTTATTTGGGAAGCCATTTCAGTCAAATGCGGTTTAGAGTCGGAAAAATGTTTGTCAAGCCTTCATATTTTCACCAAAAAGCGTTTGTTAACACCAGAAACCTTTTTATCCATTTAAACAAACAAAAGTTCACTCAAAATACTTCACACAAACTAATAGTACAAAAAAACAGTGGCGCTTCAACCTCGTTAGGTCTTAGCCTCAGATTTCTGAATCTGTTTCATGATCATTTTTTAAATCTAATAGGCAAGTAGGTGATCAGCCTCCAGTGCCTGACACACGCCGTCGACTTTTTGGGTCTAAGACATGTCGGTTTCCTCACGATGTTTTCCTTCACCGTTAGAGAAAATGTTAAATGCGCACATAGAAATAAATTGAATTAAGATTGGTAGATAATTCAATTTGTAATCATGCGCATTTAAAAAAAAATGTGATGAACGGTCAGGTCAGGAAAGCGCCACTGAAACACTGCTGCTCGCAATACTAATAAATAATTTGACGACTCATTGGTCTAGTGGTTAGTACCCCTGACTGCGAATCCATGGGTCCCGGGTTCGATCCCCGGCTGAGACGAACATCGATGTGATGAGCATTTGGTGTTGCGCTTAGGTCTTGGGTGTTTAAATATGTATTTATATGTCTATCTATAATATGTATGTATATCCGTTGCCTAGTACCCATAATACAAGCTTAGCATGGGACTAGGTCAATTGGTGTGAATTGTCAAAAAAAAAAAAAAAACTTACAAATCAAGCTCTTTATAGGATGCAATGCAATCAGCATATCAGCATTTGGAAGAGGGATCCTATGACGTGAATACCTTGATGGCACAAGGACCGGAGGAACAGCATCTGGCTTGCGCAATACTTGCATGGCAGCGTCTTGGGCATGGCAGAGTTGACAGTTTAATCAAGTAGGTTAACAAGTTTTCAATGATGCAGGCCAGTTGCTAATACTCTTAGGGTAAGATTTAGAGACTGGAAATGAGTCTTGTGTCCTGTATGTCGAAATCCGTCCAATTTTTTAATGTGACAGGAGGCATACCAGCAGGACACTTAAAGTTAGGCCCATGGACACTTTACACACTCCCACATACACAATGAATACACCATCACGCAACACCCACACAATCTACATACACGGTACAGATAGAGGACAAATCTTTGTTTTTAATTTATTTTATTATTATTTATTACTTAAGATGCCATGTGGAACATAGTGTGATGGTTGCAGCTCCTTACAAACGTTGTCTAAAATAAAAAACTTGGCGATTAAAAACAGTGGCGGAGAGTTTATTGCCAGTTCTTCTCTTCCGTTCTACGCCTTTGATTTGAGAACTGGCAGTAAATGTAAAATTCTAAGCATTAATTACATTGTGTTACCTATATGAATAAATGATTTTGACTTTTGATAGGGTGAAAACCATCGCGCAACACCAGGAAGTTCGCAAGTGCGTTAGTGGTGCCGCCGTCCATGGATACTCTCAATGCCAAAGGGTGGCTCGCGAGTGCGTTGTCGGCCTTTTAAGAATTGGTACGCTCTTTTCTTGAAGGACCCTTAGTCGAATTGGTTCGGAAATACTTCAGTAGGCTCCACGTAGTGGTGCTGCGTGGTAAAAACTCTCATAAAAAGCGCTCAGTTGTGGAAAGATGTATTCAGCCTCGACGTCCGATGATAAATCTCGGCTGCAGGTATTAATCCGAACAGCATGTGGGGGTGTGTTGGTGTTGTGTGATGGTGTGTTCACCCTGTGTATGTGTTGGTGTGTATATAACACACACACAACAGTCATATCTTACTCTATCGGCTACAGTATGTGCATAAGAGAAGAACTAGTCGAAAAATAAAACTGTAATATTAGTATGGATATGTGGTAGCAAAACTCATTATAGTCACTGTATTGAAGTTATGGAGTAAGCCAACTGGACTAACCTCTTTCAATACATTGGCTTGTTTATGGTTAATATTTGTTAACGCCAAAATAGGGAATCCCAACTATTCATAATGTATTGCTTCTCATTAACACCTCTTGTTTTTCTTATTAGGATCATAAAATGAGCTGAAAATTGTTTTCATTAAAATAGCCTCGAAACTTTTTTTATATTTGTCTTTTATTCGGGTTGCTTTCAAAAAAGAATACAAGAACAGAGTGTCTTCCCCTAAGAGACTACTGACTTAGATATCCCTAAGTAGTCTTCAGTCTAGATCGAAATGTTCCATGATGTATCAACACGTATAAAAAAACATGGGTTGCCTATTATTCTGTGCAACAAAAACCACTGCTTTTTGTCATTTTACGAGGTTATTTTTAGATAATCCTCATAATGACATAATTAAACGTAAGAAGCTGGTCATCGTGCGCATTAAAAAAAAACAGATCAAGTTCTACTTGTCTCTGGTTCCACCGAGTCCTTATATGTCACGGTAATGACGTGAACTATTTTTATCGAGTACAAATTATAAACAGTAAATTATAAAAAGTTGCTCGATTGATGCAAAAGGATACATCTAGTGACTTAATAAATATATTACTTATTAAAATCATTTTGCCTTAAACTAAATTGCTATATTATGTTTTGTTATTATTTCTTATAAAAGTCTATAAATATTTAATCTATACCGTTTTGTAAAATTTTAGTAATGAACTAACAATTCTATAAGTACAATACTCTATGTATGTACTCCATTTATAGAGTATAAATAAAAATACAATCCTATATTTGTTATATCTATTACGAAACAGATGTCAATTCCTAGAAGATTGCATCACCAAGGAGTTTAATTATGAAAAGGCGCGTAATTGCAATAGTCTGTGACATTTTCTAATATTATGCATTTGTGGCAGAGAGCGTTTGGCGCCATTTGGAGTTACATCACCTTTTACGTTCAAATACAATTGTAAAAACTAAACTTCATATTATTAAATAACTCTGGTGATTTTATTAACTCATAACATGTCCTATCCGCAGACCAGTCTCAGGTATTGTTTATGATTAATTAAGAATTGCGATGTGAGAAATTGAATATTTCGTAGCAAAACCACAATTAAAATCGGTACATAGACAAATGGTCTATTAATGTAATTCCTAAAAGTTTTAAGATTTTTAAAGGCTATTGAGTATTTTTGCTTCTATCTTAATATATATATTTCTTCTGTCCGTGTGTATGTGACTGAACTCCTCTCAAACGACTGGACCGATTTTGATGAAATTTTTTGTGTGTGTTCAAGGGGATCTGGGAATGGTTTAGATTCACAAATCAGCCCGGCAGATGGCACTGCAGTCGGTACTTTCATACTTTGCTTAATATCCTAATCGCTTTAAATATCATGCAGGACAACGTCTGTGAGGTCCACTAGTAATTATATATAATATATGTTAGATAGAATTTATTGTGACATAAATATCTCTTTTGAATTATATTATTTAGATTAGCATACTAATTTAACTATTCTTTATTATTTATTTACTTATTTATTTTACAGAATAAAATGTTATGTAATGTTACATTAGATAAACACTAGTTTGTATTATGTAATCAAAGCCGTCTTGTTTAGGAGCGCGATAAATTCGTATAAAATACTTTTAAATTTTTTTATGTTTGTTAACGTTAGGACTAATAACAAACCAGGTAGTTCATTTATTAGCCACTCTTGCTTTTGAAACATAACCAAAGCACACTGCTCAATTTAGCGCATTTTTTCCATAATCTTTGCGGCAGTGATGGTCTAGTGGCTTCAGCGCGCGACTCTCACCCCTCAGGTCGTAGGTTCGATTCCCGGCTGTGCACCAATGGACGTTATTTCTATGTGCGCATTTAACATTTAACATTCGCTCGAACGGTGAAGGAAAACATCGTGAGGAAACCGGCTTTCCTTAGACCCAATATGTCGACGGCGATGTGTCAGTGTACTTTGATTGGTAAAATCATGAAACAGATACAGAAATCGGAGGTCCAGACCTGAAGATTGTAGCGCCGGTTAAGTTCGGTAACGATTGTTGTAGATATGATCAAATAAATATTAACCGCTATACCGCGTATAACCGCTGGATTAACTAACTAACTTGACTAATTGATGAGTTCTTAAAACTATCTGCCCCGTGGCCTTTTGCCACCTTGCCGCGACAACCAGCTTGTCCAGCATATCTGGTTCGCGACGGGCGATATGACCAAAGTAATTAAGAACTCTTCTGTAGTATATAGTAGAATTAAGATTGATTAGTTCGTTTTTTAGCAGTCCAGCGAAGCATCCATCTCCAAGACCACATCTCCCTCGATACAGGCATATCAATATTTATATAACACTAGCTGACCGGGCAAACATTGTTTTGCCATGTTTATCGTTTATAATAAAAAATAGGGGTTGATCGTAGAGGGGTGAAAGTTAGGGGTTGAATGTATTTTATAATGCTGTATCATAAAAAAATAAAAACAGAAAAAAATATCTAAAAATAAATAAATGTATATAGGGGTGGACTACCCTTAACATGTAGGGGGATGAAAAATAGATGTTGTCCGATTCTCAGACATACTCAATATGCACACAAAATTTCATGAGAATCGGTCGAGCCGTTTCGGAAGAGTTTAACCACAAACACCGCGACACGAGAATTTTATATATTAGATTAATATTGTTTGAAATATATTATTTTCTGATATTTAATATCAGAAAAGAATGGAACAGCTGGAAGAGGCCTATGTGTCACAGGACACGCTGACTACCTAAAACGGGTCGAGTGACGTATTAGATTAAGTTTTATTTGTATTAGAATTAAGTGTTTTTTGTTATGTAACTTAAATAATTGTTATTATATTGTACTGGGTGTTAGCAATAAAGGCTTAATAAGAATAATAATATTGCTTGTTAAATTAAGATGCTAAGAGTAACCACCGAACTTTACACTGTTGTTGTAAAAATGTTCAGATATACGATTAATGAAACTCAATTTCCCCGTACTAGACTATCTAAAGTTAGTAATTCTGTTTTGGGAAAAGGGATACTTTTCTTTAATAAAATCCCAGAAGCTCCTTTATCTCTGCCTTTTGATAAATTTAAGAAATGTATTATAGAAAAGCTGTGTAATAAGGCTTACTATAAAGTTAACGATTATCTAGTTGATAAAAGGGCCTGGGACTAGTGCTAGACAGGCTACTTCTAATTAATTTGTGATATTAGTTTTAAAATAAATGTTGTTTGATGATTTGCTATTTAAAAAGAGTTTTTTACGCCGGCTTTTTCTCTCGGCCTACACCTTCTGTCTTCTTTGCCGATGAGTAGGGATAATGTAATGACGTGGAATAAGTGATACCTGTATCTTATATTCCATAATAAAATAAACTTATTTTATTTTATTTCAAACATTTTGTTTGAAACTGGCTATAATCGTTTAAAATAGAGCTTACAACTAACATAAAATTAGGGTTAGTGAGGTTCCAACGCTTACAAAAACTTACTTGACCTATCTAAGGGTTCTTAAATATAAGTGACACATATTATGTTATATTGGACATTATCGGAAACAAGAATGTAAAATTACAATTTATGAGTGTGGTAAAAACTAAAGGGCTCATATTGGCTTCAAGTGTGCGATGATTGCTAACATTTGGTTTTCGCTTCTTCTATTAGCTAATGTTAGGTTAGCCTCGCCACAGATTTTTTTCCAATCTTTAGACAAAAACCCGTGACCAAGATGATATAGGGGCGATAAGAAAAATATGCACTTTGATTAAACTGAAGCAAATTATTGGAATTAAGTCAAGAGCGGTCTAGATCTAAGACCCGCATCGTTTAACAAATAATAGCGATGACTAAGCAGATTGATACTCAAGTAACTTTCCATAGTGCATAATTTGTAGTCTGTATTTTTAAACGACTTACAATACCAAAGATAAGATAGCAATGCCCCGCGGTTCACTCGCGTAGATACCGATCTTGTGGTAGTGGAAAGTCTACTAAGTCGGACTATAGATATATTTTTGTTATCATAAAAGTTTTATATTACATAGTTTTCTTAGTTTTTAATTACCTCCTTTCAGAGTATTAGATAGGCACATACAATCATAATCTAATCAATGTACAGATTTTACTTTACAACGAATATATATTCTTAGGGTAGCGGTAAAAATTGAAAAAAAAACAAAGCACTTAGTCAACCTAGGGAAGTTTTATTCCTTACATAATGATTTTATTACTACAACAATGAAATAATAATCAACCGAACATAATAATTAACACAACTAAAAGCCGAAACTAATACATAGAACAACCACTAAACACAACCGAAACGTCTTTCACGTCCGAGAGCTAAACGTATGTAACCCCAAACTCTCACTCGGTCCGGTTTGCTGGGTGGGGATTTTTTTCTAAGAATATCTAATACATTAATATATCTTTTACGTAGAATGTACGACATTAAAACATTATTTTTGTAGATATTGATGGGTTCTATAATACATAGCAGGACATTAGCCGTTTGGTCCTTCGGGCAGGAAAGTCAGTCTTTAATGTAACTTTAGAACTTTGTAAGCAACGCCTTTTCTCGAGTATAAATAATATAATATTCTTGTTTATCAGTCCAAATTTATTTCAATTCTAGTTTATTGTAATTATCGCTATTATTTAATATATAGGCTGTGGCGTAATGAATTGATAATATGGTATTGCGGGTAGAGGGTTGTTTGTTTTTTGGGTGGATAGATGCGTCATTGAATGTGAACGGGGCTGTAAATGTTAAAGGTATGAATGGACCCAAAAAATCTAAATGAAAACAATAACTAGAAACACTTGATTGGGTGAATTATGAATAACTCTTAAAACTATTATAACATTGGCTTCTTAATTATTGGCTTTTCTCGGATTATTTATTATTGAAGGTACTTTGTCTCTCATCTCTCTTCACATTACCTATGAAATAAATGCGATCTTTATTGTTTTCAGCTTTATACAGCGAGAGAAGCGATCTAGGTTGATGAAAAAAGCAAGTACGAAGGTGTCTTTCAAGGCAAGAGATTCACAAGAAGCAGAATGTAGTAAGAATATCATGGGTTCAGCTGTAATCGGGCCCGTGGTGAGGCTACCCGTGGAGACAAAAATCGTGATGCATATGGAAAATCCATGTGCGCGTCATCAACCGAAGAAGAAGCCGCAAAAAGAAATTATAAGTAAAATCGAGGTATGGTTATCAAGTTAGTAGTGAGGTAGTCGTGAGAAACACTACTACACAAAAAATGAGTTGCAAACATACGAAGCACTTTAAGATGATGTCATTGGAGAATCGTAGAAAGTTCAAGTAACTTTATACCTATCGATTGCCCCAACCTTTTAGTTGCAGTTTTAGATACCCTAGGCATCCTATCATCCCAGTAGTCCCTCATTTCAAAAGTTTTGGCCAAAACTCACCGATATCCAGATTGAGCATTATGATAAACGAGCTAGGCCTGGAATAGATGCTCCCCACACAGTTTCAAATCAATTATCATTTAGTTTTTACAATTTATGTATCGAATATAATATGTCTTATATACCAATATCAGTGTGCCGAGCGTTGGCAAGCTTTTGTAAATAAATAAATAGTAATAAAGGTCAGATTAGTAATACCTACTGAGTTTCATCATCGGACATCGAGGCAGAATACGAAATTCCACCTGTATCACCTTGACGTCCGTCGTTCCTCAACTGAGTGGTGCCACTATCTGGAACCAGCAGCCCACTGATGTATTTCCAAAACAATTCAACTCTGGGTCCTTCAAATGCATACCAGTTCTTAAAAGCCGGCAACGTACTTCCGAGCCTTCTCGCTATGAGAGTGTCCGTAGGCGGCTGTATCACTTAACATCAGGTGAGCCTCTTGTCCGTTTATCCCTGTTTAATGTATATAATAAATGAACACATTTTTGATTTATGATTTTGTAAAATAAATTTACAGTGATTTTAGTTAGTAGTTTTTGATTTAACTCACAAACAAAAATAGATTTTATAATATATACATTGATTTAGGTACGCAGAATGTTCTTTAATTATAAAAGTGTAATTTTTTCTTTCAGCCATGTTGTATGGACTCAGCCTGTATAAAAAGATTAACAGATTTGGATGCAGCAACAGGAGAGTTGAGGAAACGAGCGGCAAGACTCGCGAAACGGGAAGCGGAGAGAGTGGAACTACTGGAGAGAGCCGAGGCTGCATGGAGAGATCTAGAAGTTGGATACCAAAGAAGACTGACACTAGCAGAAGAGAAGGAAGAAGACTTGACTAAGGAGGTTTGTATGGAGATATTTTGCTGTTTTTTTTATTTATTTATTATATACATGATCTTAAATAGAAAATAAGTTGGTGTGGTGGAAACACAAACTGGACACATTTTTTTTCTGTCCACCAGGACGTCGAACATATTTAAGTGAACATGAACATATTACTTTTAAGTAGAGTTTGACTGGCATACCTGAGGTCGTACGATATGTGTGTTATATTAGGCCGTGAGTCCTTCCTGGGAGATACAACCTCCCAGAGGAGAGCATACTCCTCCATCAAGGGCCGGCAACGCACCCACTAAAATGGGTGTAAATGGGCTGCAGTGACTCCTTTTTTGGTGTCCCGTTTGACCCCTATTAAAATAAAAGGGTTGACTATTCTAGCTTTATACATAATTAACACTCGTAAAATGAAGAAAACATCTCAAAAGAAAAGAATATACTCAAAATAACCACAGAACATATTCAGAAATCTGAAGTTTTCCAAGATGTGTAGCGCCACTGGTTCTGGTGCCAAGTTAAATAATAATGCGTAAAAAGGCAAACTATAAAAATTTTTCCTTCCATAATCTTCCTCAGAGTTCAAGGAATTAAAAAATTACTCGAGCCATCGAATTTTGCGTTAAGCAGCACAGCCTTGCGATTCTGTAACTCACTTTCCGAACTCACACAGCGGTTTTTGCAGAGGCGGTAACAATAAACAATAAACTATAAGCTCCCTCCTAATCAGAATCGCAAATCATAAAATGACTGCTTCACGACTGATTTGAGCGCGACCGCCGCTGTGACAACCGCTGTGTGAGTTCGAAAAGTGAGTTACAGAATCGCAAGGCTGGAGTCATCCGTCTCTGTCACACTTAATCTTTCATTAATCATCTTTCATCATCATATTAGAAAAAAATTGATGTCATAAAAAAATATAATACTTTCATTGTTGACACTATAAAACTGTTGTTTCATGCTTATACCCAGAATTTTTATCAAAATTTTTACGTAAAGTAAACACCCTTATTTTTTTTTTTTAATATGATGATGAAAGATGATTAATGAAAGATAAAGTGTGTCAGAGACGGACGACTCCTGTGCTGCTAAGCGCAAAATTCGATGGCTCGAGTAATTTTTTAATACCTTGAACTCTGAGGAAGATTATGGAGGGCAAAATTGCATGGAAACTAGCATATCAAAATGTTCCATATGTTGATAGGTAGCTAAAAAGGTAGGCTAAGTAAAAAAATCATATTCAGTCGAAACGATGTTCGCTGGGACAGCTAGTTCATAGTTAAGAATTTTTCAACTGTCAATTATGTAAAATAAAAAAAAAAACAGTGGCGACCTTTTTAGATCTGGGCCTCAGATGTCTGTATCTGTTTCATAATTTGTCAATCTAATAGGCCAGTAGTAGCCTCCTGTGCCTGACGCACGCCATCGACTTTTCTAAGGTAAGCCGGTTTCCTCACGATGTTTTCCTTCACCGTTCCGCAGATAGAAAGTCCATTGGTGCACAGCCGGGGATCTATAACTTCAGAGATGAGACTCACACGCTGGAGCCACTAGGCCAATACTGCTGGCAATTATATAAAGCGAATAATAATTAATATAAAAACTGCAAGTCATGATGACAAGATTAATGTTAAAATATTTGTTTAATTTAATTGCCTTAACAGATAGTTATTAGCTACTTCATATTGTGAAAGTGTTCTTATCAGAGCAGTATTTTATCTAATGAAGGCGTTACAGACATTAAAATGTCAATGCCGAATTTTATTAAGTCTAATCGCAGAATACTAATACATTAATTCTTATTAATAGGTTAATAGGTGTAGATTAAAATTAAATTAATATATTTTTTGCGAAAGGAATATCGCTGATGGCCTTAAGGTCCTTTACAGCTCAGATCGGGCTGTTTTGGTGAGCATAGGTCGGCCGGAATGGGCTATTCCCGCGACTAGCGCATGGTCGTTTCCTGTGAGACTCGGACCTCGTCTTAGGGCGGCACGCCTGAAGGGCAGAATTAGAGTTTTCCTCACGATGTTCTCCTTCAGCCTTAGAGCGAATGTTAAATGCGCACATAGAATGAAACTCTATTAGTGCGCAGCCGGGGATTGAATCTAAAACCTCAGGGATGGGAGTCGTATGCTGAAGCCACAAGGCCAACACTGCTTTTGTTTCATTTGTGTTTATATTTTAATGTTTAAAGAACTTTATTTCTCATTATAAAAAATGTATTTTTATTTACATGAGAAACTTAATCTTAATATATATAAATTACGTGTCACGTTGTTTGTCCGCTATGGACTCCTAAACTACCGAACCGATATCAATCAAATTTGCACACCGTGTGCAGTTTGATCTAGCTTAAAAGATAGGATAGCTTACATGTCAATTTATACCCGCAGTATTATTTTATTGCAAAATATTTGTTTATTATTTGATAGTCACAATTCTAACAGATGGCGCTGTATTGAAAGTACCAACGTTTCACATAAGCTACAATTTAATGGCATTACCACCAAAAAAAGCATGATTGTCCCCATGACTGGTGTTCTCCTACCGTTTCCCTTTGAATAGTTTACTACTATGTAATATAACAAAAACCTTAGCCACAGCAACGCTTGGCCGGTCTGCTAGACGAAATACGAACGAGATACGCGTCGCCATCCGCTATCCCAATTTTAGTCTATTAGGCTCATTCTTTTATGTATATTTAATGCCCTTTTGAATTGATTAAACACGCTAATTTTACGAATTTTAGAGGGTAATTGATTAAATAATTGCACATCCTCAAACTCAATGGATTTCTTTAAATAATTTGTGCGCGGCTTCGGCAAGATAAGCACTCGCTCGGCTATTTTTATGGGATTAAATAAAGATATGTGTTGTGTGTCTGTGGATAATAGCACACCGTGCGCTATTAGCCAGGCACACATTGGTTTAACTTGTTTCTTAACTTTGTTTTTCTTATATGCCTTGTTGGTTCGGCTATACCTAAATATGACGTACTTACTTGACTTAATCTCCTACAACCCCTAGATGGGGCAGAGGGCGTCCATAGTGAGTCTCCATCGCGTTCGGTCTTGCTATAAATATGTGTACGAATAATTTTGATAATTATAAGCGATTTTACAGATAAAGAAATTAATAGAAGATCGAAATGAGTATAAGAAAGCGACGAATGAACTGATAAAACAGTTGAAGGAGCGTTCAAAAGCCGTCGAAAAGGAGAGAGAACAGCTGACGGAGATTGAAAAGGAAGTGTGTAATAGAGCCTGTGAGAGGTTAAGGCTCAGTGAGCTGGCGACGCAAGGTGATGCAGCAATGGCTGAACTGCATTGTCGGTCAACGCAGCTGGAGAGAGAACTATTGGTGAGTTATTGCAGCATGGTGTGATGGTTGTAGCTCCTTACAAACGTTGTGGCGTAAAAACTTAGGGATTAAAAAGAGTGGCCGAGATTTTATTGCCAGTTCTTTTCTTCCGTTCTACGCCCTTGGTTGGGTAATGGGTAGGCCCCGTCGTACCTGGACCAATTCCAGGAAGTACTAGAGAAGGGACAAGTCAAAAGTACCAGTTCAGTTCAGTGTACAATGAAGAGAGCTCTAAAGAGCTTGTATGGGTTGATCCCTCCTGCCTCGTTTCGTTACATAAACATTTCTTCCGCATCACCTTGATGGCTGGAAGTCTTCCACGGCCCGCTTCACTGCGAACTGTGGAATCAACTCCCAGTCTTCCCTGGTAGATACTATACTATCCCTCCAATTTTTTAAAGAAACGTATATATTCTTCCCTAAAGGGCCAGCAACGCACCCACTGAAATAGGTGTCTAGGTGCTGCGATAACTGCCTTTTGGGCGTCCCTTAGGCTCATTTGCCCTATATGTATATTTTTCATAGTTTCGTTTGCTATCATATAAAAAAATTAAAAATACCCTCCCTGGAGATCCCTCGTCCCTGCCTTCCCCTTCGGAAAAAGGCGTGATAAAATAAAAAATAAAACAATTATAATAATTAATCTTATATCATTTCAATTAATTATCATTACTCCATTTCTATCTTCTTGTCCTTACTTTATCTTGGGTAAAGACAGCTTTTGACTTTGACTTTTACTCCACAGTATAAAGAAGAGCAAGCAAGACGGAAAGTTATAGCTTTGGAGAATGAAATAGATTCTATCCGGGGTCTAACTCTAGAAGCAGAGAGAGCGATGCGTTCAGAGTTGTCAGCTTTGAAGGAACAGATGATGGATGTTTCTAAACAACTGCTCGTCGAGGAGTCGAAGAATCATAAAATCAAGGCTGAAGTGAGTATTTTATTGAAGTTATAATTCTTTTGGCGCGTTAGGGAAAAATGGTGGAAATAGTAGCATTTCGGAGGAGTATGGGAACGAAAATTGTGACACGAGAATTTAATTTATAAAATATTATAAATATATAAAATATTTGCTATGTATATCATTTATAATAAAAAATAGGGGTTGGTCGTAAAGGGGTGAAAATTAGGGGTTGTATGTATTTTTTAATGCTGTATCATACAAAAATAAAAATTTATCTAAAAATTAAAAAAAAATAGGGGTGGGCTACCCTTAACATTTAGCTAGATAAAAAATAGATGTTGTCCGATTCTCAGACATACCCAATATGCACACAAAATTTCACGAGAATCGGTCTAGCCGTTTCGGAGGAGTTTAACTACAAACACCGCGACACGAGAATTTTATATATTAGATAGAGATTTATTTATTTTAACATTCTAAGAACAATACAGACACGTCAACTCCACGTTTTAGATATATTTTAAAAAAGTTAATTAGTTTACACTTATAATACTTCTTATTATTAACAGCGAATTACAAGGTATAAAATAAAATATGTTTATTATGGAACATAAGATACATGTATCACTTATTCCACGTCATTAAATTTGAAGGCATCCCTACTCATCGGCAAAGAAGACAGAGGGTGTAGGCCGAGAGAAAAAGCCGGCGTAAAAAACTCTCGGTACTCTTTTAAAACAGCAAATCATCAAACAACACTTATTTAAAACAAATATCGCAAATACAGTGTTTATTGTACGATTAGCTTCTGCCACATTTGTTGTTATCAATTTTATTCCTATTTGCATAATGATAGCATAATACAGTCGAGACAACTGAATCAACAGTTCGTTATGAGGGAATATTAAAAACTAATTTTGGTTTAACACTATTAGTATAAGATCCCGCTATACAACGACCTTCACCGAGATGCTTATTTAATGAAACTTATTTTATATTTAATTTAATATGTCAATAAATATAATCCATATGGGTTGCCTAGCAAATTTCAGTCCAGAGTATGTTTAATTAATATTAAAAAAAAATTTTTTTTATAATTTGCATGTAGTAAATTTTTTGAACTTTTTTCAATCAATATTTTTAATCAGGGTAGTATTATATATGTATCACTATAACCTTCTTTTATACTAAAGATGTATATATACTTTAGTGTCACATAAAAAAAATACACATAAATAATTAGTTGATTAAAAACAACCTAACGTTTGCATATTCTATGGGCTTCATACGTTCGATTGGTATAGAATTTATCTAATAATCATACCGGTGAAATGTTTAAAAAAAATTTTTTTTTTAAATTAATTAAACATACTCTGGACTGAAATTTGCTAGGCAACCCATATGGATTATATTTATTGACATATTAAATTATATATAAAATAAGTTTCATTAAATAAGCATCTCGGTGAAGGTCGTTGTATAGCGGGATCTTAGACCATATGTTAGTAGTTTCCAAATCCCACGCCATTTTGACGTAGGTACGTTAGTCACTTGCACGAGCAGTGTTGGCCAAGTGGCTTCAGCGTGCGACTCTCATCCCTGAGGTCGTAGGTTCGATCCCTGACTGTGCTGCAATGGACTTTCTTTCTATGTGCGCATTTCAAAATTCGCTACAACGGTGAAAAGTCGCGAGGAAACCGGCTTGCCTTAGACCCAAAAAGTCGACGGCGTGTGTCAGGCAATGACAATGGCAAGGCAATGATCATGAAACAGATACAGAAATCTGAGACCTAAAAAAAGTTGTAGCGCCACTGATTTTTTTTTACGTAAGTCACTTTGAATCTATCCCTAGTCGCCATATTAAATTGTTATTATGTATACACCAAGAGCCCTGCATCGTTTTAGGTCTGGGCCTCGATTTCTGACTGTTACGTCACCATTTCTAATAGGCAAGTAGGTGGCTTCTGTGGCTAATCACACAGTCGACTTTTTTGGTAAGACATGCCAGTTTCCCCACGATGTGTTCCTTCAAGCAAGTGCTATGCTATCGCTACCACATTATACCACGTGTTATATAACGAAATGTTAGTAGTGTTACTGTTGGTTGTTGGTGTTGGTTGTGTAGATATAAAAACCGGACATTGGCTACAGTACTTACGTATTATTAGTATTAATAAGAATACAATTTTACATAACCAATCAATCAGAATTTTATCTTTGTCCGAGAAATATCTATTAACAAAATAAAGCGCCTTTAATAAATTTCTTAGCAAATATGTTTAACGCAAATAAATGCCAATTCCATAGCGTTATCGCTGCGCCTTTTTAAGTTCTCACGTCATTTCACACGTGTATATACTTTTTCTAACATATTTTCATAAGTGTTTGATTGTCCACACGTATTTTTTTGAGAGCATTAACATATAACGTCAAAAGTCAAGATGGCGTTTCGACTCGAGGCATTTGCTCTGCTCCGATTGGTCTTTACAATATTCGCACTCACATTTCTCAACCATTCGATCACAATGTGCCACATCGAAGCGTTAAGCGTGGCAGGGAACAGCTAGTAATATATGTATAAATAAAAGTTTGGAATTTCCAAAAGTGCACGCCTCATACCTCAACATAAAGATAAAAAGCAAAAATAAAAAAAATAGAAAACTTTGCTATAGTTTAGTGGCGCCATAACTCTAAGGTAAGGAAAAAATAAATAGTGGCGCCATAACTCTAAGGTGAGGAAAAAATATACAAAAAAATAAATGTATATATAGATATACAAATACACAGTCGTATTTTAGTTTTTTACAAATTATAATTAAACGACAGTACTTAGAACGCTAATATTAACGAGGAATCAGCCAAGGGTATACTTTATATAATAAGAAAAAAAGTATTCTGGTACGTAAAGTTTTCGACCAATTTCTCTGCCACATACATGGATCCATAAACACAGACTGACGGACGTCCAAGAATGATTGATTTTAATGTTATTATTTACTATGTTAAACAAAATAATTGTTCATAAAAAATACCACATTATGTGCTTGATAGATTATTTAACTCGATTTTAGTGCACTCATATTATCCTGTATGTGTTATATTAGTGAGAAAAAAGTCATTCAAGTTTCGAAAGACTGGGTTTTTTGACATGTCGAGAGTAGAGCACTGCCTCCGCTCCGCTAATGAGGCGTGCAATATCAGTTACAAATTTGTTTTTTTAAATGACAGCTAGAAGAAATGCGCCAAGAAAAAATGAATATAATAGAAGATCTGGAGGGCTGTAAGGATATGTGCGACGGAAGAATACAGAAGAGAGTTGATGTTTTGAAGACTAAAAGAGAAGAGCTAAATGAGCTAAAGAACAGAGTGATTGAGTGTGAATGCAAGTTGCCGCAAGACGCCGCTGTTGAAGTTAAAAGAACCCCATCATTGGCTGCTCTGTGTCATTGTCAACCCGAAGACAGGGCATTGGTAAGTTAAAATCAATTTTAAAAGTACTGATTTGAATTGAGTGTATGGATATCCATAGTTGCTCCCCTCACTTTGAAATCAATTTTCCTTTAGTTTATCTTTTTTGAGCAGTGTTGGCCTAGTGGCTTCAGCGTGCGACTCTCATCCCTGAGGTCGTTGGTTCGATCCCCGGCTGGGCACCAATGGACTTTCTATGTGCGCATTTAACATTCGCTCGAACGGTGAAGGGACATCGTGAGGAAACCGGCTTGACTTAGACCGTAAAAGTCAACGGCGTCAGGCACAGAAGGCTGATCACCTACTTGCCTATTAGATTACCAAATGATCGTGAAACAGATATAGAAATCTGAGGCCCAGACCTAAAAAGGTTGTAGCGCTATTGATTTATTATATTTTTATCTTTTTTTAGTTTATTGTTAATATCATTTGATTCTTGTACAACAGTGTAACTAAATAAATTATCTGTACAGTGTTTTTGTACTCAGGAAACACCGTACATATACTCTGATTTTTAATTCCGTAGAACTCTGACATTTCATAAGTGTTGCTACTAAAAAAGTTCTCCACCGAAAGGGACAAATTTGAGGGCAATAAAAAAATTTAGTATTTTTTTATGTTTTACCTATGAAAAGGTCTAAATATTTACTTACTCAAGTGACCTAATACAAAAATAACAAATATTTCAATATCACGAACAATATATCGAATTAACTTTAATTACTTTATTTTATTCTTTAGCTGGCATCACTGTCTACTAATTCCAGGTTTAGTAAACCTTTTTAAAAAATAAAATGTGATGAAAAGGGACGCAATTATCACTCGCCGTAAAACCACTTTTAATGTGTGCACTCAATAAAATGGATACATTCACTAACAAATAAAATGTATGAATAGACTCAGATGCTCAGAATCGTATTGAAATTGAAAAATGTGCCTGGCCAAAAGGATTGTCATCTCTGAGAACATGTCAAAAAATGATCGCAGTCAGAATTCCACGGAATTATAAATCAGAGTATAGCACAATAAGTACCGCGAGTACTGTACAGTGTACATAATATACTGTACAGTGTACATAATATAATGTACAGTGTACATAATATACTGTATAGTGTACATAATATACTGTACAGTGTACATAATATACTGTACGTCGTATTAAGCTTGCAATGTGGTTGGTATTCTCGATTTCAGGAAGCATGCTCTTGCATGTCGCTAAGAAGCCAAATGCTGTCGAACCTTCTGTCCGACCTGTTCAGTGGTCTCCAATCGGAGTTGGGCGGTACTAAGTCTGAGATGCCGTGCCAACTACTCAAATGTTTAGAGGATAGACACAATTGGGATCGTGGGAGTTTAGTTAAAACTAACCTGAGAAATTTCTTCGCGCAATTGCTCATAGGCGAACTTGATATTGCAATTGCTACTTCCATTGAGAAGTATCATGTTAAGGTAAGGTTTAAGTTTCTTTAGGTTGTTTAGTTCTTTTTTATAGGACTTAAATCACGTCTAGAATTATGTTCAATGGCGGTTGTTTGTATGGATTTGTTCAAATAAAACACGTTGTTTGAAGCTGGGTAACAGCTGACTTTAATAATTATAATAATTAAGCCTCATTTATTCCTTGAAAAATTTACAAAATATACACACACACACATAAATACATACATATATAATATAATATATTATTTATATATATATATATACACATATTATATATATATTATATATTTTTTGTTTTTCCAAGGACTTCTTATTGAGTATAGCTATGCCTTCTCCAAACAGCTGACTAATGATTTAAAATATGAGCTTATGACTAACATAGAATTACCGGTAGTGGGGTTGCGACGCTAACAAAAACTAACTGGCTTATCTTGGGGTTAACAAATCTAAATGACACTTATGTTATTGGACATTATCGGAAAAGAGAATGTTAAAATACAATTTATGAGTGTGGTAAAAACTTAAGGGCTCAATATTGGCTTCAAGTGTACGATTTACGCTTACATTTTTACGCTTCTAATTATTACCTTAAATATGTATATGTAACTTAACTAAAGTTATGTTTCATAGCTCTAGCAATAATTTATTTTCATTATAACTATTAAGATATAATTTTATAATATTAGTCTTCTGCCAAACTGTAATTACTCACGCACCGTACTTCTAACTTGTACTTACTTAATCAAGTTGCTATTGTACTCAAGGTTATAGTTTATAGAAACTTACCACAGTGTGAATTAGCAACATAACAATTACTATATTATATGTCTCAATTGATAGAATATTATACATTATCAGGTAAATCTTTATGCCTAATTTAAGTGGTCGTTCAAATATTACGCATCACTGTAGTTGATTTCGTTCAAATTCTCTCTCCTTGATCTAAAACTCAAATCCACATCTGTGCAGTGGGTTGGTGCATGCTGTACCGATCATTTGAGAGTGGTCTCCGGCCATGAAGAGGACGACGGCTGGCAAGAGAGGGCCATAGAACGGAGAGCACAGAAATTGGCAACACAGTTGGCAGAGAAACTATTCAGGGAGAGGGCGGATCTGATGGCGCAGAAAGCGAAGGATATCATGAACGCTGGACCACCACCTTGTGAATGCAAACCGCAGCAAAGTGAGTGAAATAAATCGCTAGAACCCTTGGTCTTGGGGTCTGTTTTGTAATAATTGGCAACAAATGAACCACTATTTTGTGTCACTATCTCCCAGCCTATCCCGGCCGAGAGTTTTATACGCCGGCTTTTTCTCTCGGCCTACACCGTCTGTCTTCTTTGCCGATGAGTAGGGATGCCTACAAATTCAAATTTAATGACGTGGAATAAGTGGTACATGTATTATGTTCCATAATAAACATTTTTTTTTAATCAAGTCTCGTGTTACCGATGCGCACGCACACAGGCAGGCAATGACTAGACAAATAATAAGCATGAGTATTTTGTTATTGCAGCTAAAGCATACACGATTTTTTAATTTTTTAGATGCAGCAGTGTACCCATGCTTGGTGAAGACTCAAAATCCAAATGGACGAAAAATTGACGGGACCCCCTCATGCTTAAAGAAGACAATACAAGATGTAACGAACATAAAATCACAAATTGAAAATCTTAAGAAGGTATTTACTTTGATATCAGCTGTTTATATTCTAAATATTCTGCTTATATATATTATCTTCTTATTTGACGGCTCATTGGTTAGTACCCCTGACTGCGAATCCATGGGTCCCGGGTTCGAGCCCCGGCTGAGACAAACATCGATGTGATGAGCATTTGGTGTTGTGCTTAGGTCTTGGGTGTTTAAATATGTATTTATATGTCTATCTATCTATAATATGTATGTATATCCGTTTCCTAGTACCCATAACACAAGCTTCACCAGCTTAGCATGGGACTAGGTCAATTAGTGTAAATTGTCCAATCATGAAAAAAAAAACAACAAATTATTGAATTAGACTAAAGTGTTCATTTTATTCGGAAAATAATTTGCGGAGTACTCCAAGCCTCCTTGAGAAGAACACAATTTTTTGCAGAAATTTGAGTGAAATTTAATGATTTTTAACTGACCTGACATTCTGTAACTCACTTTTCGAACTCACACAGCGGTTTTCACAGAGGCGGTCGCACTCAAATCGAAGTTCGAAAAGTGTGTTACAGAATCGCAGGGCTGACCTGACATTCTTTTGCTTTTAATTGAAGCTAACGGAAGACTAAATTCATTAATTCGTTTAATTAATAAGAATTATATTTATACAAATACACGTATTAAATAACAAAAAAAAATATCTTATTGTAAATTGAAACTATTTTCGAATAAATCGAAAAAATCGGAGTTAATATTCATTAATATAAAGATTTTATGCTGAGCAAAAAGTTCTTCCTTTTTACCAAATAGAACAACTGTATATTTTATAATAGAACTTATTTCGAAATGAGAAAACAGCTTAAATACTTGATGAATAGTTTTAAAATATGTTCTAATTTAACTTTAATTAGTTAGAGGCAAATAAATTCATGACATGAAATTGCCTTTTTAAGTTTATCAGGCGCAACGTCATGAACACAATATTTTAATTCTCATTAATAAAATAAAATAAAGTATTTTAATAATTGCACCTAAACTTTAGGTCTTGGCCTCAGATGGCAAGGTTCCTATTAAGCCTGCCACGTGGCAACGATTTTTGTGTCTTAGACATGCTGGATGATGTTGGTTTTAAGAAAAAGTGTTTTTTACACACAGTGCAGTGTGTTGCACAGTCTAGATTTGAATGCACGATCTCAGGGTTGTGTTACACAGTAAAGCTACTAGGCCAATACTGAACAAGTCTAAAAGATAATTTATATCGATTATATGAGATTATATGAGAATGAGCTAATATTGATAATCAGATAACATTAAAATGATTGTAATGTACAAGTTGTTTTTATCAATACTTGTTGATGTCATAATTATGAAGTTTCCACATATTTCTTAGGACTGAATTTTTTCAGGAATCGATAAAGAAAGAAGACTTGCGGCAAATGGAAGACAAATTGGCTAGAATAATTCAAAGAGTCTCGGTTAGAAAGTAGTAATGATGCATTATAATAATATTTTATTTCCATATAAAATTTAAATTTCATATGTTGTTACTAGTATTGTTAGTATTTATTTATAGCTAAATGTAAGTAGTAAAATGTTTGGCCTCAAATGGGCCCTTCTTGGGTAAAGGCTTCCTCCAATCCTTTCCAGCTGGCTCTATCTTTGCCAATAGTCTGCCAGTATTTTCCTGCTATTTCTATTTATTTATCCTGCCCACTCTTCTTTTCCTGACTGGTCCCAATGATGCATTATTAATTCTAGAGATATAAACTGTTTATAAAATATTGCAGTTTCTGTAAATTTTATTTTATTTCAGAAACAAGATACTAAAAAGGGAACCCTTAACAACAATAAAATTGACAAAAAGATAAGCATTGATGAAACTACTAATAAAGTAAATATTTTGAAATCAACGCGCGTAGAACCAATACAAACTAGAAAAAGCAATAGACTCCAAAGCAATATAAGTGGACGCGTTGAGAAATATTCCAATAAAATGAATCTTAAGAAAAGGGATCCTTCTGTAGCGGTAAACTTATGTTTATGTAATCCACATAAAACTAAAGAAATGAATGACCTAAATAATTCTAAGTCATCTTGGAATCCAAATTTTTTTTCTGAATTGACTACTCAAATTTCTACTGTTAAGTTGTCGAAACCAATTGTAACACTTCCAAAATCTTCCAAAGCCAACAGTGATAAAAAAATTCGGAAAAAAGCATGTCCAAGCAAGTGTGTCTGCTTACATAAAATACCATCAAATAAATCCATAGATAAGTTATTAGATGCTTTAAAGAATTGGAAGTTCAAGCTAGACGATCCAACTTTTGCTCAAGCAATGGAAACGAATGGAATAAAACGATCGCCCTTCGACATTTCTAACGGAAATCGTCAAACTAAAAATTTAAATAATGTAATTGATAATTCTATAGAAGACAGTAATAATAAACAGAAATTAGATTACCTACCATTATCTACCCTATCAGAATATATGGGAGCAGTAAATTTAGATAAAAGCGATGAAAATGTTTGTAAATGCATTCCAGACGATGTAACAAATACAAGTGACAATAGCCCTTTACGTAAATTTAAATGTATTAGTGCAAACTTATGTGCATGTAAAGAAGTCGAAAAAGAAAAACCTCACGAGAAAAAATCACAAATATACACTGTTAACGTCACCGATCAAACCTATGAGTCATCAATTAAAGAAGCTGGTATTCAAAAGGATTCATTTATAGACAAAATAGTCAAAGATTCAGATTTATTTTCAAATGATTGTGAATATGATATAAAATTTTTGGGCGCCACATTAACAGATTACAGAAATACCAACCATGAGATGAAGTCAAGGAATGAGCTTGTCCCAGACAGTAAACATTTGAATAGAACTTCGAATAAGGACAAATTTAGTCGTTCTGATACATATGATAATTTGCGACGACTATTTGATAATGACATAATAAAATGCGATAAAGTAGAAAGAGCGGAAAGCATATCAAAACCAACAAAAGAATCTTGTATATGTTGCAATGACACTGAGCAGCAAGAAGATTTGGAATGCAATACTTTTAATTTACTTGAAGATTACTTGAGAGATAGATTAAATCAATTTAAAACATCTTGTAAATCGTCATGCATACAACCAAAAGACGAAGAGAAATTATACTCTACTGTTTTAAATAAAGTAAAAGATTTTATAAGCATAAACACCGACAAGGTTTCTTGTAAGTGCTTAAAAGCCTGCGAAGGTGATGATCGGTGGACGCGAGTCTATGGTTTATTACAGGAATATTTAAATATGAAAATTCAGCGCGTTCAGTGTACTTGTGCGCAACGCGAGGAACCAAGCGCATTGCCAAACGTGTTAGATGAAGTCACAAATTTAATTAATAACGATTTTAAAAAACTGAAAGATTTATGTGTGTGTGAAAGAAAGCGTCCGGACGACGAACCCGCAACTAAAGCGAGCGTTCGTTTTTCAGAGAAAGAAACTGTTCAGACGCCAGACAAAAAGGAAATGTCGTCTTTTACCACCAATGTTGATGTACTAAATACATCGTGTAGCCCCATACCATCTATAGATAATCGAGTTAATGTGGAAATGGTAGAAAAAGTAACATCATGCAAACTTAATAATTTGTACATAACCGACTGTAAATGTCGCAATGCATTCACCGAACCATGTTTTTTAGGAGTTGCTGTGAATGAGGAAACAGAGATACCTAGTTTATCAAACGTTGATATGAAGTCATCAACAACATCGAAAGGAGTCTATAGCAATATCGAATTAAAACAACCCTACATTGGTTATACATTGAACTGTTCCTGTGATAACTACTTAGGTTGCGTGTGCACTAAATCATTAGTACAAACAAACGACGATAAAATTAATTTAATTTGGAACTCTTTTAGTAAAGTATATCCAGAAAAACTGTCGTACATAATGCGAGCTGTCCCTCTTATAAAATCGGAACATAATAGTTTTGGCAAAGAATTTTTAAGTTATACAACGCAAGATCTAAAAGATGATGAATATTTTGATATCAAAGAATCAGAATGTCAAACACAAACAAGTAATGAAGGTGAAATAGCTTTAAAGAAATCAGCTGATGTAATTGATAAATCTAACAATGATACAAACACAGAAGTTAAGGGAAAGGAAAGCACGTCAAGCCATCAAAGTTTTGTAACAGTCCCGAACGATGAAGATATATTGACTAATAAGAATACTTTGTACAATTCGTTGTTTCTACCGGTCGATAATCTTGGTTCTATTAAAAGTGATAGTAGCTCTAAATCAAACGGCTGTGAATGCAATATGGTCCCAATATGTCATATAAAATTGCTTGTCGAAAATATTGAATACAATTTGAAGAACTCAAATTGTATTTGTGACGCAATGAGTTCACAAGTTTGTCCCATTCATAAGAGTGTAAAGGTTATTTAAATTGTTCTAAATTATTGTTATATATAATAAAATTATTTTTCAATGTTGTATTCATTACTTACACATCGGGCGTCGAGGCGTATTCTGCCTCATTCCACAACTGTGCGTTTCTTAAGGCAGTTTTTGCCTCGCACCACACCACGGAACCAGCTGCCCACTTGAGTATTTCCGAACCAATTCGACTTATTGTCCTTTAGGTAGAGAGGCCAATTGCCAACCAATTCTTAAAAGGTTGGCAACGCACTCGCGAGCCGTCTGGCTTTTCGGCGTCGGTATCACTTAACATCAGCCCGTTTGCCTTCTGTTCTAAAAAACAATGGTAAGCGTGACTGCCTGGACTGGTTTTTTATATGTAATAAATTTTGTTCGGTAAAAGAAAGGTGTTTTGGGTAGGGCTAAGCAGTATTTCACTGAGGTACAAGGTATGCAGCTCTACAAAGCTCAAGTACGACCTCATATGGAATACTGCTCATATCTTTGTTGATCATCTCAATTGTTTAAATAAACCATACGCCATCCTCAAAGGCCAGCAATACCTAAAACGGCAATGGCCATGAGCTGCAATGTTTTCCGCTTTTTGGGCGTACCGTAGGCTCGCTATAAAAAAAGAATGGCGTGCCTTAAAAATCGATGAGTCTTGAAACCACGGACATTCTAAAGTAGTTGAATAACTTTTTAGTGTCTTCTCTCAGCTGGGGATGCAAAGTATGAAATATTCCATGCTGTTCTCTTGATTGTAGTATAGGACGCACCCACATACTATGGTGTCTTCTACGCTTGCGTAATAGTAGTACAAGAAGCAGTGTTTCGGTATCGAAATCCATCTTGTAAATGAAGTCGCATTCAGTTTTAATTTGCGGTCGAACACAACTGCTCCAAGAAGTCATGGGAGAAGACCACAAATAAAAGTGTAAGCACAACCATAACACGAACCGTGACTTTAAAAATTTAATAATTTAATAAAAAATTACCGTACTGGCTAGTCCGCGTGGGGACGACAACCCTTCAAATCCCAAAACAATAAATAGTATATTAAATTTGTTCTGGGAAAATTGCTTACTTTCTTGTCATTTTGTAGGGAATTCAATTTTGACATCTTCTACCTTTTACCTTTTGATATGTTATATATCCCATTTAATTTTTATTTCGTGAAACCAAAATCTATACTATAGACATTCCCTGAATTTTTTGAGGTAGAAATTAATCGATTTTTCACTAACCTGATGGATAATAATGATGATCAGATGATCATAGCAGAGATCTACCCGTATGGGTAGATCTTTGCTATCATTATCACCGGTATTTTATTTATCATCACCGTATGGGTTTAACCCATACGGTAAATCCTATAGAGTCTCATATCCGGTAGTGCCTCAGATTTCTGTATCTGATTCATGATCATTTGTCAATCTAATAGGCAAATAGGTGTTCAGCCTGTGACAGACGCCGTCGACTTTTTTGGTCAAAACAAGCTGGTTTACTCACGATGTTCTCCTTCACCGTTCGAGCACGTGTTAAATGAGCACATAGAACGAAAGTTCATTGGTGCACAGCCGGGGATCGAACCTACGACCTCAGGTATGAGAGTCGCACGCTGAAGCCACTAGGCCAACACTGCTCACAGTACAGAAGCGAATGCGGTCGCAAAAAAATTATATTTCAGTTCGAGTCTTTACACCAGCTGGTCTCCTGTGATACGGGAAATAGCAGGGGACCAGTTCCGAATACGCGCGCGAAGTTTTTTGGTAGCACTCTAATGCACACAGTATTCAACGGTGGCACGATATATAATCTTAATATATATAAATTAAGTGTCACGTTGTTTGTCCGCTATGGACTCCTAAACTACCAAACCGATATCAATCAAATTTGCACACCGTGTGCAGTTTGATCTAACTTAAAAGATAGGATACCTAACATCTCAACTTATACCAGCAATATTATTTTATTGTTTACAAATATTTGTTTATTATTTGATACAATTCTAACAGATGGCGCTGTGTTAAAAGTACCAACGTTTCACATTAGTTCTCCTACCGTTTCCCTTGAATAGTTTACTACTATGTAATATAAAAAAAACCTTAGCCACAGCAACGCTCGGCTGGTCTGCTAGTACTTTTTATATTTTTTTCCTCATGTAAGTGACTTGTACATTTTTAATCAGTATTTATTAAAACCTATATTTACTTACATCAAAATGTCATGAATTAGATACAATATGACTGATTGGATACTTGGACATTGGACTGATCCAGCGTTAAAGAAAAAAAAGTGCGTGCGTACAAAGTACACATGACGTCAGAAGTGAAACTTCTTTGGCAAACAAATTTTTAAGTCTTGTTAATATTTATACAAATCAAAAACTTTAGATTTCCGAGACTTAGAGGGAGGGAAAAAGGAAGATATGTTAGGAATTTAGTGAATTTAAATTAAGGAAATAATTGTCATTAAAATATTAAAAGTGTCAAAAATTAGTACAAATAATAAATTTAATAATAAAAGCACGTGGCAATTTAATTTACAAGTTGTCATTTGAGATTTCAATCAATTATTTTGCATATAATATAAAATACTAATATTTCACCAATTCTCTTTACGAAATTTTAATTTTAAAATATAATTTCTGTAAGGTACACCCTTCTCACTCTCTCTCAATCGGTCTCAATCCCTCTCTCCCCTTTCTTCGACAAAAACGCTGCACATCTTCGTGACGTTCCGTAAAAACCCTCATGCGCCTAAAGAAGTTACACTTCAAAAACTTTTTTGGTTGTTTTATTTGAATTAATTGGTTTCATCACTTTATTATCTTGCGCTAAATTGATTACAATCATTATCACGTATTACAATTGTGTAGTTACAATTTGTACGTTAATAAATTCGGTTGTGTATGATAAAATGGACAAAAAAAGGAGCAAGCCTAATTTGTTATCCAGGCTTTTTATATGTTGGGTGTGTCCGATATTTGTGAAAGGGAATAGAAGAGATATAGAGGAAGATGATCTTATTGTTCCAAATAAATATTACGACTCCGATAAGCTTGGAAGTCATTTAGAAAGGTAAGGTTCACTTCACTTCACTTTATTTATAATGGCGACTTCTGTGTAAATCACAATTCCGCCAATGTCGCGTTCTAAGTCTTCACACGGTGAGGATAGATTTGATAAATTGAATTTAATCTAAGCATAGTTACCCAAAACAAAAATGACGTCACAATAAAGACAACACACACAGACATCTAATAATAAAAGGTAAGGTTAAAGAAATTAAATATCAAAACTTGAAAATATACGTCTTTAGAAGCGCTGGCTTTTTTTTTTACAATTCACACCAATTGACCGAGTCCCATACTAAGCTGGTGAAGCTTGTGTTATGGGTACTAGGCAACGGATATACATACATATTATAGATAGATAGACATATAAATACATATTTAAACACCCAAGACCTAAGCACAACACCACACACAATGCTCATCAAACATCGATGTTCGTCTCAGCCGGGGATCGAACCCGGGACCCATGGATTCGCAGTCAGGGGTACCTACTAACCACTAGACCAATGAGTCGTCAATATTAAATCAGTTTGAAATTAAATAAGAAAAATGTGAATTTATATAAAACTAGTGGATCCCACAGACGTTGTCCTGCGTGATATTTAAAGCGATTAGGATATTAAGCAAAGTATGAAAGTACCGACTGCAGTGCCATCTGCCGGGCTGATTTGTGAATCTTAACCATTCCCAGATCCCCTTGAACACACACAAAAAATTTCATCAAAATCGGTCCAGTCGTTTGAGAGGAGTTCAGTCACATACACACGCACAGAAGAAATATATATATTAAGATGTAAAATAAATCAGTGGCGCTTCAACCTTTTAAGGTCTGGGCCTCAGATTTCTGTATCTGTCTCATGATCGTTTGTCAATCTAATAGGAAATTAATCAACCCCCTGTGGCTGACACACTTCGACGACTTTTTGGGTCTTAGGCAAGCCAGTTTTCTCACGATATTTTCCTTCACCGTTCGAGCGAATGTTAAATGCGCATATAAAACGTCATGAAATATTGACTATTTCATTATTAAATACTAGTTTTACAGAATCTTTAACGAATACAAACATTATTTAAAGAGCAGTGGCTAAATCCACTGATTTAGCGTCTATCATGTGGGTTTGAATCGCGGCAATTGCTTCTAGCAACTAGTTACGTACATATAAAATTTATGCATTTGAAAACGTTGAAAGCATTTGTGAGCTCTCTGGAAAGATATAGAAGGCTGGCCTACTTGTATATCTTAATATATCTTAATTACGTGTCATGTTGTTTATCGCTATGGACTCCTAAACTACCGAACCGATTTCTATCAAATTTGCATACCGTGTGCAGTTTTAACTTAAAAGATAGGATAGCTTACATCTCAATTTATACCCGCAAAATTATTTTATTGCAAAATATTTGTTTATTATTTGATAGTCACAATTCTAACAGATGGAGCTGTGTTGAAAGTACCAACGTTTCAAATAAGCTACAATTTAATGGCATTACCACCAAAAAAGCATGGTGGTCCCCATGACTGGTGTTCTCCTACCGATTCCCTTGAATAGGTTACTACTATGTAATATAACTAAAACCTTAGCCACAGCAACGCTTGGCCGAGTCTGCTAGTAAAATATAAATAATCGAGAAACGGATGCCATAACGTCCCGTGTGCGTGAACACTGAACAGTCATGGTCAGAACGTTTATATGTAACTTAATTGGTATATAGGGATTGTATTATACCAAGGGCCAGAACCAGTCTGTTGCAACGTTATTAAAGACGTTGAAACTGAATGCTGTCTCCGGCACTATCGACATATTTGTATGTTCGCAGAGCGAGTTCACAGTAGCGATATTGTGTATATTATTTACTTTATTAGTAATCATAACGATCAAATACAACGTATTTACAATTTTCTTAACCTAGATAGTAATAATAAAAATAATTAAAAATTATAAAAAGAAAATTTAAACAAATTTAAAAAGTTTGAACACTGGCAGCATTTCCTCGTTGTATTGCGATACTTGTTCGTTGAGGAAAGCACCAGTTTTGGGGTCATCGGTACTATCTACCAGGCGACAAGCTAAATCTTTAATCATAACATAATGCTTGTCATGATTCATGTAGTACGTTGTCTTTTGTTTGATCGATTGACATTGTGGTATCAGACACAAAAAGGCAAATAATATTATAAATTAATTAAGAAGTTTTTAAATATCTCTATATATATAAAATTCTCGTGGCACAATGTTCGTTCCCATACTCCTTCGAAACGGCTCGACCGATTCTTATTAAATTTTTTATGCATATTCAGTAAGTTTGAAAATCGGCTACTATTATTTCAAACCTAAGTAATAAGGGGTGTCCACCCCGAACAATTTTTTTATGATAGCATACAAAATACATTTAACCCCTAATTTTCACTCCTCTAAGATCAACCCCTATTTTTATTATCTTAGACAGTTATTTTTATTAAACTAAAAACATGTTTCCTGTAAGAACTTTGTTTTGCCTTTTTCCGGTGGGAGCACTCGTTAGTCTCATAAGATTTCCTCTTATTTCCACATGACAGTCACCATGGCCGCTCCTCGGTTATGGGTACTTATGAAAGAATCTTGCTGATAAGTAATGTTTATATTACTGGTATACTAATATAAACATTACTTATCAGCAAGTAAGTAAAAGTAGTGGGTAAGACTCTTAACATAAGGTGTCCAATTACAAATAATGTAATTGGAGACCTTATGTTAAAAGGCCTTTTTAGTAAATTAAGTTAGACTTAAATTATTTATTAGTCTTAAGTTAGGCTACATTGTAAAGTCAAATAATTTGTCAGAGACAATTTATAAAAAAAGTCTTGTTATCTGTGTGCTGATGACAAAGAACACGTATATATTAAAACAATTAGGAGAATATACAAAATAGGAGATTTTTTGTCTCTTTTTGTGTTTTGTTTTCCTAATTGTTACTAACGTAAATAAAAAAAACGCTATAAACCTTTTTCGGCCTCAGATTTCTGTACCTGTTTCATGATTTGTCAATCTAATAGCCAATTAATCAGCCTCCTGTGCCTGACACACGCCGACTTTTTGGATCTAAGGCAAGCCTCACGATGTTTTCCTTCGCCGTTCGAGCGAATGTTAAATGCATATACAGAAAGTCCAGTGGTGCACAGGATCTACGACCTCAGGGATAAGAGTCGCACGTTGAAGCCACTAGGCCAACACTGCTCTAACTAAAACTACATATATATAATCGGATATAATCTGAATTATTATCTTTTACTGCGATGACACTTAAAATCGTTATCAGACGTTATACGTTAATTTCTGCGGACGCGGCGTAAAATACTGTTGCTATGGTTGCGTTGAACTGACAAAAGGTTCCTACTTTTCAGTTGACGTTCATAAAGTGTACCTACTTGGTTTATGAATAAAATTATTTTGAGTTTGTTATGCTCTTTTCTTGAAAGACCCCACATAGTGATGCGCGACATTTATTTATTTAGTTATTAAGCTTACGACATCACACACTGTCACACAGTACTAAATCTACTAATTATTTTACAAAATCTTACATCTTAAATGTGTGACATTAATGTAAACATAAGTTTCACAAAAAAATAATAAAATAAAATAAAATAAAATAAAATAAAATAAAATAAAATAAAATAAAATAAAATAAAATAAAATAAAATAAAATAAAATAAAATAAAATAAAATAAAATAAAATAAAATAAAACAACATTAACTGCCATTTCTTAAAACCCTCCGTTGTGGAACGACGGACGTATGTTGTTTGTTCCAGTTCTGGCCAGCGTTTGATCTCGTCTTCCCATTGAGTCTACAACGATACAATTTTGAACCCATCTGGGTGAACTCTTGTAAGGAAATAATTTTCCCCATTATTGTAAAAAAAATTTTTTTTTGTACATTCCATCATTTTAATGCATTGCTCGCTGATGTTGGCGTGTTTTTGTTGATGCGTTTTAATATCGGTTCTGGAGTTGGCCTAGTGGGTTGACCTTGACCTTGACCCTGACGTCATCCCTCGAAGTCTGGCATGCACCAATGGATATTTTAACACTCGCATGTAAGGTGAAGGAAATCGTGAGAAAACTATCATGCCTTAGACAGCAACGGTCTGGCACAGAAGGTTACCTATTTATTTATTAAAAATTACCATATCATACATAGTACTAAATCTACGGTATATGTTACAAACTCTTTTATCCAAAATGTATGACTATTTAGGTAAACGTAAATTTAAAAAAATACAATTAAATATACAAGATATAATAAAGGTACAATAATACCAGAATTTTTTGTTAAGCAGAAGAAAAAAAAATCCACCTACTTGCATATTAGATTGACAAATCATAATCTTGGTCCAGGTACAGAAATCTGAGGCCCAGACCTAAAAGGTGTTATTAAACAACCCCTTTTGTGCATTACACATATCGTATCCATGGTGACACGGTATCACTACATAGTATAAAACAAAGTCGCTTTCTCTGTCCCTATGTATGCTTAAATATTTAAAACTACGCAACGGATTTTGATGCGGTTTTTTTTAATAGATAGAGTGATTGAAGATGAAGGTTTATGTGTATAATAACATCCATTAAATATGGATGGAGTTACTGTTATTTTTGAGGTTTATAATGTGAAGTCGTAAATAATTACATTTTTTCCGCTTACATTGCGAACCCTACGAGATTTATTAAAATAATGTACTAAGTATTGTACACATTGAAAAGGTCTACAGAAACCTCCGCGATGGTATATGTCTATCTTTCATGGATATCCCACAATAATTTTTTTTGTCATTTACTTTTAACGACAAATAATGGCTAATTTTCGAAGCGATATGGCCCTTTACGGCATATGATTTAAATGAATATTTTCGAAGATATTACACATTTAAAAATTGCGGGACGCGGCGCGTCGGAGGCCGCGGTTCTCCCTATACTCGTACTCTAAAGCACTTTGAATTTAGTATCAGCATTGCATCCGTGCGAAGCCAGGGCGGGTCGCTAGTTTAGAATAAGATTCAGAAACAACATTTAGTCATAAATATTTCTCTCCTATGATACGAGCTAAATTGAGAGATTAAATGAGGAAATTTTATCTCGCTTGAAAATGGCTACTAAAACAACTACCTATTAATTAAATTAGTTTAGGCGCCCTCATTCTGTATAATTATCGGCCTTGCAACTATAATTATTTTTTTTACGTCAGAGCGGTCTTTGTTAAAAACACCAGTATTTATTATTTAAAACTACATTATCTGATTCCATCGCGTGAATTGTTCACACACGTTACAAAAATAAATAAGTTTGTAACAAATCCAAAATGGCGTATTTTTTATATAGAAATATGAAATACAATTCCTGTAACAAATTTGTTTTTATTTTAAACAAAACAGCGTATGTCTAAACATAAAAAGTTTTCTCCAAAGAGGTTTATTTTCTAGTTGTGTAGCGAGGCGCGCTAACATGACATATTCCAATTGTGAATTATCTGTGACAGCTGCCATAGCGCACGCGCTGTGATGGCGTGTTTTGGCGCCATTTCTGAAAGCGAGAAACTTTGTATTAATTTTAATATTTTATAATGTCTATTTTACAAGAGTATTAGATAATAAAAAAAAAATTCAATCTAGTATTACGAATCAATGTGTATAGTGTAAATACTACTATTGTATAATATAAATTCTATTTGTGTTCCGTCAAAAAAATAATAGTGTTAATTAGTTTATTTATGGAAGACTTCACGAGATAGTATGTATCCTGAGATCCAAGATTCAATTCATTATGGTTTTATTTAAATTATAACCATTACTTTTGAAGAGATCAAATATAGACAGATACGACATACCAACCAAAGCGGCTTATTATTTGACTGAAAATCAAGTTGTACTTATTCATGTAGGCTAAAATTGCACATACATATATTAAAATAAGAACAGTGTTGGGTTAGTGGCTTTGTCGTAGGTTCGATCCCCGGCTGTGCACCAATGGGCTTTCTGTCTATGTACTAACCTCTTGAGAAAACCGATTTGTCTTAGACTCAAAATGTCGACATATGTCAGGCAAAGGAGGCTACAGGCTACTACTTACCTACTTGCCTATTAGATTGACAAATTATCATGATATAGATACATTAATCTGAGGCCCTAACCTAAAAATGTTGTGGTGCCAATAATTTATTAAATTTTTATTATAATATAAATACCTTGTGTAATATGTATTCAAGTGGGTGTTTATCGTAAATTACTACTATCACAATTCGCACTTACAAGCGCCATCTGAGATAACATTTGTCAAGTCGTTCATTATGAATTAACTGTTGTAACATAAAATTGCATAAATAAATTGTCTTTCGTAGTCTGTGACGTTGTAGTGACTCATACAATAATATTGTACTTGGGTGTAGTAGTTATAACCGTTTGCCTTGATTGTAATGTATTCTTTGTTTTTATTTATGTTATTATTATTAATTACTTAAAATGTCATGTGGAACATGGTGTAATGGTTGCAGCTCCTTACAAACGTTGTGTAAAAAAAAAAAAAAAAAAACATGGCGATTAAAAATAGTGGCGGAGAGTTTATTGCCAGTTCTTCTCTTCCGTTCTACGCCCTTGATTTGAGAACTGGCAGTAAATGTAAAATTAGAAGCATGAATATTTATTTCTTTAATGACGAATCACAAGTGTACATTGTGTTACCTACGTGAATAAATAATTTTTGAATTTGAATTTGAATTTGAATTCAATATTCATGTTCGCCAGTCTTGATCCAACCAGTGTTCTTATCGCTCGTAATAAATAATATATATATACACCGATTTTTAATTAAAGTAAGACTAAGGTAGGACGTAAGTAATATTGACTTCATCAGTCTTACATTGATCTAACAAAAGCATGACAGAAGCTGTGATTTCGAGGTCAACAAAAATTAAAAAAAAACTTGCCAAATTTCACTTCAGGCGTATTAAAAAATAATTTATTCATAAAGGTAATGTACACTTATGAACGTCAAAAAAGAAATATACATTAAATGCTTCTAATTTTACATTTACTGCCAGTTTTCAAATCAAGGGCGTAGAACGGAAGAGAAGTACGTGCAATAAACTCTCCGCCACTGTTTTTAATGATAAAATAAAATAAAAACAAAGATTTGTCCTCTATCAGCAGTAGGCATTGTGACATAGGAGCACGCACTTACATTCTCATGGGAAGAACACGCAAATACATAGACGAAATAACTAACATCACCGCTTACACGAATTCAAATAGCACCCGTTCACACTCGTGAACATGGCCAGCCATCGGCCCCCTCGCCATATTTTAGGGAGAGAGACAACCCGACGCATGGACGCCGCCACTATTAATTTATACGATTAAATAGAGAGGCGATCCATAAATTAAAAGATTTTAATGGCTTGCAATTCGATTAATTAATTGAAGGAAAAGAAGAGAAGTGTTAACCTGGCTTAAACGTGGGTTTCATCATTTCATCATCAAGCAGACATTCGACCTAAGACCTGGTCTTGTTGCAGCGTAATTGGGGGGTGGGGGGTACAACTGAGCGTTTTTTAAGGCAGTTGTTGCCGCGTACCACCACTATGTGGAACCAGCTGCCCACTGAAATATTTCCGAACCAATTCGACTTAGGGTCCTTCAAAAAAGAGCGTACCAATTCTTGAAAGACTGTCAACGCACTCACGAGTCTTTTGGCAATGTGAGTGTCCAAGGCGGTATCACTTAACATCAGGTGAAACTCCTGCCCGTTTGCACTCTGCTCTATAAAAAAATTCAATCTCATCATCCCAATTGTCCCTCCATTTAGAGGAACTCACCGACATCCAGATTGAGCATTCTGATATATGAGGTAGATCTATAAGAATGCTCAATCTGGATATTGATTTTGATTTGAGTCCATAGTTCCCCTTAAACTTGGAAATCAATTTTCCTTCAGTATTTTTCTCTCTTCATGTTTGTGGTTTGCCTATAAGTGCTTGACCCATTAAAAAGAGTGCGTGCGCATAAAGTTCACATGTCAGAAGTGAAACTTCTTTGGCAAACAAATTTTTAAGTCTTGTTCATATTTATACAAATCTAAAACTTTAGATTTATGAGACTTAGAGGGAGGGAAATAGGAAGATATGGTAGGAATTTATTGAATTTAATAGTCATTAAAATATAAAAAGCTTCCGTCACCGAATTTTTTAAATTTATTTCTTCGATTATTAATACACGTGGCATTTTAATTTACAATTCGTCATTTAAGATTTCAATAAATTATTTTGCATAAAATATAAAACATATTTCATAAATTAGTCCATTGAAATGTTACAATATGAGGGCCAAAGTGAACATTTGTTAGAGGACGCAATTTTATTTATGGGACCTGTAGGGGGGGTCAATACAAGCTTAACCATTATATCTCCTAAACTATCCATCGTATATAAAACTTGTAAAGATACATTTTGTAGCAAATCGCTGTGCCTACAATTATGTATATGTAACTTTTTATCATAAATCCAAAATTCAAAAAGTTATAAGTGAAAATATTTCCTATTTCTAAAGTTGACTAGGTGCGTCAATGCTCATGACAAGCCGATCAAAACAGCAGTTTTACCTTACTTTTAAGATCACTCGTTTATTTTAAACAAATTTTCCAAATAAATTATTTTTTTATTCCTAAAATTTTACTTATTGGTATTCCTAGTAGGCCTATTCCACAGACAACTTGCTGATATGGTAATCTTCGACATAATTATATTATCAATCAGTTATTAGAATGGTAGCTAGCTATCACTTTTTTATTTATAACTTTTTGAATTTTGGATTTATGATAAAAAGTTACAAAGACATAATCGTAGACACAGCGATTTGCTACAAAATGTGTCTTTACAAGTTTTATGTACGATGGATAGTTTAGGAGATATAGCCAAAAACGTGGTTTTTGGACCCCTTTATCCAAGATGGCGGCCGGGGGACAAGCACGCCAACCCCACAAACTTGGAGTTAAGCTTGTATTGACCCCCCCTACATGTTCCATAAATAAAATTGCGTCCTCTAAAAAACGCAACCCCAAATGTAACTTTTCAATGGACTAAATTCGAAATTTTAATTTTAAAAATAGAATTTCTATGCGGTAATTCACCCTTCACACTCTCAATCGGTCTCAATCGCTCCCTTTTCTTCAACAAAAACGCTGCACATATTCGTGACGCTTATATTATTATTCTTGCGTTTCACCCGTAAAAATTTTACCCTCATGCGCTTAAAGAAGTTTCACTTCAATTAATCTTGTATTTTTTATGTACCAGTATCAGATTGCCGATCGTTGCTAAGCTTTTATAAATGAATAAATAACTTTGAAAATGATGAATTGTATTTCCCAACAGGAGCTGGTTGAATGAATTCCAAAAGGCACACCAAGATGGAAGAGAGCCATCTCTTTGGCGAGTTTTATTGCGAACGTATTGGCTCGCCTATTCCCCTGGAGGACTGTTGCTTCTAATAAACACTATAGCGAGGTATAGAACCATTATTTAACGTAACATAACATTTATTACTAACGAAACACACACACAGAAGCACACAAAACAATAATTATCAAAAGAAAAAAAAAGGAAAAAATATGGAGAATGTAATAAGGCTGTACCAGGCCATTTATAAGTCGCATAGAAAGAGCAACACTCGCTTTGTAGAGCGTTATATTTGTCACACGAAACACTAACAGTCCGGTATCTACGTAGATAGAGTATAGAACTAGATGAGCTTCTAAAATAACAATAATAACTAAAGAGAGAAGGCATTAACGTGAAATACTTAAGTGCGAGCGAAACAGAGTATCAGTTTTTCTGTCTCTATTTGCGTATCGGGTTTTATTTGTTTACCACCGAGCCTTTGGTGGTAAACGAGCCCTCGTATATAACAAATAAATTGTGCGTGTACTAGGTGTACACACGTAAGAAGTGAAACTTCTTTATGATCTTATTTTTCGAAAAATGATCTACTATATGCAACTTTACAGAAATTCGTTAAATTAGATAAAGTTTAACAAAAGGCTTTTATTATCATAGACATGAATACAAATATTTCATTTTACCTTATTACTATAGTGTATTTCTCAGCCAGGCGAAAAACGATCATTGACACGAAGTACCATGTTACCTTAAAAATATAACGATCCGTGTCGCATTCCGTCGCTCGCCTTACATTACTATCGTTTGGATATCGAAGCGTGTTTATAGGTACGGGGTGGGTTGAGAGCTCCGGTCAGTCAGAGATAAAAAACCTGTTTCAACTTGCTACGGACGAGCGAGGTTCGTGCGAGGAAGGGAGAGGCATGCATTCGGACGGCGGCGCTTGCGGCTTGTTTAGCGCATTCCGCTTTGCGAGTTCGTCGAGTGTGGGTGGATAATATTGGTTATAAAGTATAGTTATTTGTTCTATTGTTGATGATGATGTGCCATGTGGCAAGAAATAATACGACTTTTAAAATGGCTGATGTGAAAAGGTTGCTTGAAGAAGGACTTAGGGTTAGGGTTAGGGTAGAAGGACTCCTTTCTCCGCAATTAGACTCGTGGTTGGTCCGTTGTGCGTACGAGTCCTGGCTAATTTAGCCAGCCTAGCTCCTTCCAGAAGCACAGAAGTCTCCTGGGCACTTCACAGGCTTCCCGGAGCGACCTCACCGTTCCGAGGATTTTTTCACGTTGATTAGCCACAGCCTCGCATTCCAGGACTACGTGGGTGACTGTTTCCTCTGCGCTGAAACAGCCTCTGCACAGGGGGCTGTCTGTCGCGCCTAGGATAAAAAGATGTTTATTTAGGAGGCAATGACCCGTTATTGTCCCTATCATTATTTTAAGGTTGGTTCTATTTAAGTTAAGTAGTCGCTTTGTCAGTTGCGGGTTTACTGCTGGCAGAGCCACTTTGGACTGTCTGCAGGCCGCACCATGCGACCATCGTTGTTGCTGGAGTTCAGCGGATCTCTGGCGAATCCAGGTTCGCACCAGCGAGAAGGGCAAAGGAAGGAGCGGATACGGGCCAGCAGGCATCATTCCGGAGCCTCTTCTCGCAAGCTCGTCCGCAGCATCATTGCCGAGAGATCCACTGTGTCCCTTAATCCACTGCAAGGTAACCCTATTGGTTCGGGTTATGACCTCCAGTGCTTCATGACACTCCAGTATTAGTTTGCTGTTGGTTTTTTTGTTTCCGAGCGCCATCAGCACGGATGCACTGTCGGATACGAATTTAATGCAAAAGTCATTAATCCCTAGCCGCTGCACGGCTCTGGCTGCTTCGGTTAAGGCGACACATTCACATTGAAAGATCGTGCTCTGTGTGCCCAAGGGTAGGTGTATGTTGATGTTGAGATCAAGAGAGAATATGCCAGCGCCTGAGCCAGACCCTGTTTTGGATCCATCTGTATATATACGTAGCTCATTTACGGTCGACCGATCATGTTCCTCTTCTCTCAGTTGTATATGATATTTCCTGTTAAATATTAGTTGGTTAGTGATTCTATCACAGGGCGCAGCAATAAGAGGTTGATACTCTATTGCCCTGTTGAGAATCGCTGTGTGCTGACACTGATGAACGTGACATCCCTGTTTAATATACTTAATGTACATACAAACCTGTTTTTTTTCCGCCACTTTGGTGTCGTTTCACCTTAACATAATTGTTTAATAATTACTAAACCTCATTGCTCATTAATGTGCCAGTTCGTAGTAAACTTGTCAAAAATTCAAAATTTATGCCAAACATAAAAAATGTTGTTTATTTCTGTGATCCGCTCAAAGGTCAATGATCGTTTTTTCGCCTAGCTGAGAAATACACTATACGAAGATTATTATAGAATTTCATTAATTGTAATAGAATTATTACTATCATTGAAAAACGTGACGATTTGCTACAAAATTTCTCCCATACGTCGATAAAGAAGTTTCATTCCAACGCCGATAAAGAAGTTTGACTTCAAAAAGCAACATGGCGCGTAACCGAAAAATGTGACGCGTAACGAAAAAATGTTACACTAAATTTTTTTCCAACCTCGATAAAGAAGTTTCACTTCAAACAAACGTAAGAAAAATTAAGTTATTTTTTACACAGAATTCATATCTCATACACACTTTTTACACAAAACATAAATGTTTGTGTCGACACTTCGCTGGCAGGTTAAATTTGTTGGCTTTACAATTACTTTAATGTTTCATTATTTATTTAAATTATATATAATTTCTCGATATTTGGGAAGTAGTGTACTGATGAATTGTCTTCCCTGGGAGATACGACCTCCAATTAAAAAAGAGCATACTCAAAGTAATGTATCCATTGAAATGAGAGTACATGGGCGGATTGTCCTTTTTGGGCGTTACGTGGTCTCGTTCGCCACCCTATCATAATATATAAAAAATTAAGCTTGGCCTAAGTGTTTCTTATGTTACCATTTTTTGACATTAAATAAAATTAATATTATTAAATTATAACAATCCCTGAAACATAATTAATTCGTCCGTGTGACATTCAGGAGAAGATTAGGAAATATATTGAATTTTGCTTCATTCGAGTACTTTAGTCGCTGTTAAAGCGTTTATAATAAGGAAACACAAACACAAACACAAATTGTACACACATGCACATCAATTATATTAGAACATAACGTCTGTAATCTGATATTAAGTGACACCGCCGACCATGGAGTGCGTTGTCGGCTTTTTTACGAATTGGTAGACTCTTTTCTTGAAGGACCCTAGTAGGAAGATTGTTGTAAAATAACTTTATGGTTAGAGCAGCGAACAAATTTAATGAGTTAAACATTGACATTGATGTGTTCGCTACGAGTGTGGTGTGGTGTGTGACAGCAAGGAAAGCTTTGACACAAAATTATTTCAATCATGATGAATGAATTAAATTTATAACCTTTTATTTTCAACAAATTAAATTCTGTTTTTTCTTTTTTGTTTTGCACTAAACATATTTTTTACCTTCTTATTTTATAAAAAAAAACTATATGTGAAGATTTTTAATTGGCCCACAATGTTATATATATATACATCTATTTCTGTATGGTGCTGTTAATCTTCTGATGAAATAAATAAATAAATAAAAATAATAATTAAGTTGTAAGAGCGAGATAGCCTATTCACTGGACCATTAAAAGTAGCACATGAGCGAACCGTAGGTACTTATAGAAGACTTTTAGTTCTAGTAATTCTAGGATTACGAAGAAAGGAAAACTAACCTTTGAAGGCTTTTGTTGCCCTTTTTTTTTTCTTTGATCTTACACTGAACATACTATATACCTAGCTAACATTGTATGTTACTAACTAAAACTTACATAAACGCATCTATAAATTATATATTTTATCATTATAATATTTAATTAATTTGTTTTCTGTCTGGTCTGAAAAGACGGATTTTAAAACAAAATATAATTATGTTTTAGAACAATTACACCTATATTATTTACGCAATTGTTGACATATTGGTCGGTAAATGCCGCACTAACTCAAGAGGAAGCTGGTTACTACGCACTGGGGATGTTGGGTTGCAATTTCATTGCACTGATGGCGCAACATCATAATACTCTGTTCGTGAATCGGTTCAGTTTGAAGTTAAAAGTTGCGTTTTCAGCTGTTATTTATAGAAAGGTATTTAACTTTTAGTCAATTTAAATACATAATGTTTCTTTTATTTATAGATTTACTAGATGCCCCCGCGAACTTAGTTTTTCCTTAATGCCTAGCCTACCTTTTTAGTTCATACCAACATGGAACATTTCGCTATGCTACCCCAGAGACTGTTCGGTTTTTTGGAATGAAACTTTTAAAGTTTTTCGGTGAATTTTTCTCTATATAAACCTCAGAGTTCAAGTTATAAGATTTTAATTAACAATTAAAAAATAGGGGTTGATCGTAGGGTTGAAAATTAAGGGTTATGTGTATTTTTGTATGCTGTATCATAAAAAAATAAAAACAAAAAAATTATCTAAAAAAAAAATTTGGGGCTTGAAAGATAGATAGTACCCGATTCTCAGACTTACTGAATATGCATGAATTTGCTCTGATATAATTTATTTGATTATTTTCATTCATAAGTATCAGAGTATTCAGAGGAGAACGAACATTGTGACACGAGAATTTTATATATTGGAAGATTTTACGCGACTGTTTAAAATCTGTCTATCAGTGTTAATTTTAGCCTTTCTAAAATTCTAATGCCTCTTAGTGCTTGTCTAAACAAGACAGGCTAACCTGGAGGAAGGAAGAAGCGTGACATGCGCACTAGATTTAGTTGTAATAACTGGGAAGCCGGAGCTGTAATGCTAACTCTATAATATAAGAAAGAATTGCACTGATAGTTAGAAAACGGTATTTCACAGCCGTGTCATGACTTCAAGGTTAATTAGCGGGCAGTGAGAATTTATCCAGTCGCTTTTATCATAAATCGCTTTAATCAGTAAGATCAAGTGTTTCATTTTTCTCATAGAAATTTACCATAATGATTCATTGCTTGTCATGTGGAGAAGAGTAGTTCCAGCTGGTTACAAGCTTGTAAAAGAAAATGTCGATTAAATAGAGTTCTTTCATCCCTGTTTTTTTTTTTAAGGACAATTCACACCAATTGACCTAGTCCCATGCTAAGCTGATGAAGCTCGTGTTATGGGTACTAGGCAACGGATATACATACATATTATAGATAGATAGGCATATAAATACATATTTAAACACCCAAGACCTAAGCACAACACCAAATGCTCATTACATCGATGTTCGTCTCAACCGGGGATCGAACCCGGGACCCATGGATTCGCAGTCAGGGGTACTGACCACTAGACCAATGAGTCGTCAAAGTCGTCAAGTCGTGTTGGTTCGAAACCCTGGCTGTGCACCATTAAACTTTCCTTTTGTGTACGGCATTAGCATTCTTGCATGGTGAAGGACAGCATGAGGCAATTGACATGCTTAAGGCCTTCAATGTGTCAGGCACAGATGGCTGACCCTACCCACCGTTTAGATAAAACGAATGATTACGAAACAGAAATAGCCAGATGTAAAAATATCCAGAAGGTTGTGCCAATACTGGCTTTATTAGTGTCTTGCCAATTCCTCTTCATCTTACGAAAACTGAAGAATAAATAGTTTCGTATTTCTAGCTGCTACGAATGAGTCAACTTTCCCTAAACGAAGTGGCAGCCGGGAAATTGGTGAATCTCCTATCGAACGATATCGCCAGATTTGATCAAGCATTAATGTTTCTACATTATTTGTGGCTGGTGCCCCTACAAGTCGCAATCGTTCTATACTTTTTATACGATATTGGGGGATATGCGCCAATCGTCGGGCTTTTTGTTGTGATATTATTAATATTGCCAATACAAGGTAAGTTTTGCCATTTAGTTTATTTATCCCCTTTTTAAGACAGTACACTAATAAACCTTCATTCTACGGCTACAATCACTACGAGACTTCATACCCTGAAACGTGCTAACGAAGTTTTTCCCGCTATAACAAATTTGATTGAAATTGGTTAAGTAGTTTAGGAGTCCATAGCGATTCAAACTCAAGATCTCAATGAGAGGACAACAATTTCTAAGAGAAACCTGCTTTTCCGCTAATAAGCTATTTTTCGTTTGGACAAATTTCAGAGATTAATTCACGGCCCTAGTGTACTTAGTTCCTAAGTTCAAGTATTCGATTCACCCGTGGCGACATTCTTGGATTGGAAGGCAGAAAAGCTTATTGCTTTAAAAAAACATATTTTGGCTTTAGCGGACGACTCATCCCTGAGGTCGTAGGTTCGATCCCCGACACCAATGAACTATCTTTCTATTTGCGCATTTAACATTCGCTCGAAGGGTGAAAGAAAACATTGTGAGGAAACCGGCTTTAGGATAATGAAACAGAGACCTAAAAAGGTTAAAGCGCTACTGATTTTATATTGATATTGTATAAAGGACTTCTATTTGAAATTCTGGCATTAATATTTACAATTTTTGCAGCTACCCTCACGAAATATACGGCGACGATCCGTCGTACAGTCGCACAGAGGACAGATAAAAGAATAAAATTAATGAGTGAGATTATAAGTGGAATTCAAGTGAGTAGTTATACAAGATTATATGAAATACCTGCATGGCTATTATGTAAAACCGATTCGAAATTACATACCAACTGTTAAAAAACATAGACTGACCTGTGTATATTCTTGAAATAGTTTGGAAAATCCAACAGTGCACGCCTCATAGCGGTCATTCACATTAAAAAAAATCTAAAACAAAAACTCAAGTTTTTTAAAACAAAATAACAAATAAATTATTATCTTTAAGTCTCACGCTACGAAGAATATTTAAACATACATATTTAGTGGCGCCATAACTCTAAGGTGAGGAACAGTCGTATTTTAGTTTTTTACAAATTATAATTAAACGACAGTACTTAGAACGCTAATATTAACTAGGAATCAGCCCAGGGTATAACTTTATATGATAAGAAAAAAAGTATTCTGGTACGATAAATTTTTCGACCAATTTCTCTGCCACATACATGGATCCATAAACACAGACTGAAGGACGTCCAAGAATGATTGATTTTAATGTTATTATTTACTATGTTAAACAAAATAATTGTTCATAAAAAATACCATATGTGCTTGATAGATTATTTAACTCGATTTTAGTGCACTCATATTATCCTGTAAGTGTTATATTAGTGAGAAAAAAGTCATTCAAGTTTCGAAAGACTGGGTTTTTTGACATGTCGAGAGTAGAGCACTGCGAGGCGTATAATACCTATATGACACTTTTTTAGTTTGATTTATGATTATTTCAAGTTTAAAATCAATCCAGTAGTTTTTGATATCTTCTCATTGCCGACATGTATATAAAATATTTTCAAAGTTTAACTTAGCAAACGTGGAATTGTGTTACGTTTAATATTAAGTTCTGAATTCTAAACGGAATCTAAATAAAAAAAAAATCGAAAATTTTGAAATTTGTGGGTAGTTCTTAATACACCTGGTGTAGTTGGAGGTCCTGGGATCGAACCCCAGCGAAGCAATCCAAGTATATTTTTTTAACTCTTCCATACTCGAACTACAAACTATTTGTTGTGTTTCAACACAACATTTGCTTTTAAATACATAGATTTTAGAAAGGAGTGCTTACAGCCATCCACTGTCAACTGCCTTGCGATTCTGTAACCCGTTTTTTGAACTCACACAGCGGTTTTCGCAGCGGCGGTCGCGCTCAAATCAGTCGTGAAACATTTTATGATTTGGCATTCTGATAAGGTCCCTCCTTGTAGTTTATTGTTTATCAGAATGCCAAATCATAAAATGACTGCTTCACGACTGATTTGAGCGCGACCGCCGCTGCGAAAACCGCTGTATGAGTTCGAAAAGTGAGTTACAGAATCGCAAGGCTGCTATCCACTGTCAACTGCAATTCCAATTGCCTCTAGGCTTACGGGTGTGTTGTCGGGCTTCCTACCACTAAGATATTCTTAAATTTTTAAGGTGATCAAAATGTATGCATGGGAGAAATCGTTCTTAAAAATTGTAACATTGGCAAGGGAATACGAAGTATGGGCTTTACGAAGGTCCCTATTCGTCCGGAGTGTGTTCATAGGTTTTATGATGTTTGCTGAAAGAACCACGCTTTTTATAACATCCCTCACAATTGTGTTAAATGGAAATTTGCTGACGGCTACTGTGGTAAAGTATTTAAGTTAATGCCAGCCATTTAAACTGATATATTCACCGATATTCAGATTACGCGTTCTGATAAACGAGCTCGGTCTGGATATCGATAACTACCCTCACACTTTTGTGAGGGTAGTTATGGATATTAAATTGATTATCCTTTTTTTTTCATTTAATGTTTTGGTTTATTTGTAAACTTGGTGTGTTTTTTATAAAAGTTTAATAATAATTATAAGTATAGAGTTTATACTCTTCGTTGTTCGCCTCTAATTAATGGAATGGAACTGAAATGTACTGTATATCCAACGAAAATCTAAACTCTTTGAGCCATAGAAATATTAAAATTAAATTTTAATTGTGTTCGATTTAGATATTACCTCTTATTAGATTAATAAATCAGCTTATTGCCTCGTTTTATAATTATTAATTTTTATGAATAAAGTTTCAATAATTGTGAGCGATGAGAATCTTAAATTTTCAGATCTACCCAATTAAACTGTTTTTGAGCTTGGTACAAATGAATTTGACGTTTATTTTACCGCTTGCGATAGCTAGCTTATCGGAACTAGGCGTGACACTTGAGCGAATCAAAAATGTTCTTATTATGGGTAAGTAGTAGTTTATTATTTTTCATTTCTATATTTCGCTTTTTGAAGTGAAACTTCTTTATCGGGGTTGGAAAAAAATTTAGTGTAACATTTTTGCGTTACGCGTCACATTTTTCCGTTACGCGCCATGTTGCTTTTTGAAGTCAAACTTCTTTATCGGCGTTAAAATATGACATATAGTATGTTTTTGACTTTGAAGTTTGACAACGGATTACATTTTCGACTTGAAATTTGCTAATCGCAATTTGCAGCAATTAATTTGTAAACTGTATGCTAGGCAGTGTATCAAAATTTACTGTGTTTAAAGAAATAGTTTCGGACCTCTAAACTTAAAACAAACCAATTATGGCTCTGCGTACAACAAAGGTTTTATATAAGTTTCACTTCTTACGTGTGTACCTACCTAGTACACGCACACATTTTTTTTTTTTCGTAGGGACCACATATCTCCACTTGGTATGGCACTTGGTATGGCCATAGCTCTCTCTTTTCAAATAACAATTTGCATGCTCGTTATTTCTAGGTTAGTATTAGCTTATGAGGGTACGTGAAAAACCTTTTATTTAGAGGGTATCTGATGTAAATCATATCGTTATCTACAATACTCACTTCATTTATAGAAACATGTACCGCAACCATCTTGGGTTAACTCCATATTATTATTTTTGTTTTCTTGATAATTTCTCTATTTATACTTCTTTTTTTATCGAAGCAGTCATTTTATGATTTGGCATTCTGAAAAGGTGGGAGCTTGTAGTATAATGTTTATCAGAATGCCAAATCATAAAATGACTGCTTCACGACTGATTTGAGAGCGACCGCCGATGCGAAAACCGCTGTGTGAGTTCGAAAAGTGAGTAACAAAATCGCAGGGCTGGGCTTGTACGTAACAGTATTCGATTAACACGAAGCTTGCATAACAAAAATTTACGGCGTAATTTATCTTGTCAACATTTATCAATTGTATTCAATTATGCAGATGAGAGAGAGGATTTATCGCTACTATCGAAACCATCAGCGCCAGTCGAATTTAATGGGAAAACAATTGAAAATAAAGATTCAGTAGTTCAAAAATATTCAGTTAGCAACGAAGCAAGAAGTTCTGTAGGTGAGTTTTTTTTATAGGACAGGGCAAACGGGAGGCTTATCTGATGCTATGTGATAGCCCATGGACACATTGCCAGAAGGCTCGCGAGTGCGTTGCCGTCCTTACACCGGGTATCCTCTTTTCTTGAAGGACCCTAACGCCAGAACCCAGAACCCGTAACAAGTGTGCCAATAACCAATCGATGGATTGTAATAGCCATCTGTCGATACAAGCTAGCCATGGGAGGTCGTATCGGTGTCTGTGGATAGACCTTTGTATGACAATGACAGTTGACGAAAGCTCGATTTCAACAGTTAATTAATTATTTTAACAGATTTTAACCTACACCAAAAATCAACTGATGTTATTTTTCAAACATACACATGTATATTTTAATGTTATTTGTACGGTTTTATTTACTTTATTTGGTTTACATTAATTATCAAATATGAGTATAAACTCTGTAATATGGAACGGCAAAGAGCATTTTATCCGTCGCCAAAAATGGATTGTCTTCGTAGGGTTTGGTTATTGGGATGCAGATAGGAGATCGATCGACTGTCACTGTCTGATCTCAGATGTTTTTCAATCTGAGATTGTGGATTAATTATTGGGTTCGGGCGTAAGTCGTATTTGTTCGGTAATACGAGGTATAGGATATTTCTTTATAGAAGTATTATTGCTTTTCCAAGCTTGGATATTCATTATTACTACTTACTATTGAAATTGTTGGGAACCTTTTAACTGCAGTGACACATACAAAGCAATAACTATAGATTAAAAAAATTCGAGTATCAATTAAATCAAAATATAATTTATTCATGTAACGCAATTTGCACTTAAGGACGCACTTCCAAATTTACATTTATTTCGATCTCCTAAATCAACGGCATGTGGAACGGCCGAAAGCGAGAAGAACTTGCAATAAACACTCTTACTCTTTCTAATCTCTATCTTACATTATATATATTTTTTTTATGGCTCTGGCACGGTTTGTGCATTAGCCAGCGTCAAGTATAAGATTTTTATAATTCGCACTTTGTAATTTGCCATCCTCGGCCTAGAACGTATTGCTACGTTCTAAACCTTCACAGTCTCCTTTCTTAGGTAGCATACTCACTGCTCGCCTTAGAAATTTGACCGTGCCCTCCATGTACGGTTTAAGCATTCGCCCGGTACCGCACAACCCTCTCAAAGGCCGAGAACAAATTTAAAACTTGCCCTCGAACCGGGAATCGAACCCGGTACCCCTCACCTAGCTGCCACTTAATAAGACCGCTAGGCTATGAGGCCCCTAATTATATACCTTATTTATTTTGAATTAGGCTAAACAATTTGACAGTTGACATATTAATTGTTGCCATTTCAAGTAATTTGTCCCAAAACATGGCTGTTTTTTTATGTTATTGCTGGCTTGAAATAGGTCGATATTTTTTAGTATCCTCACACTCGCAGTCCGAAGGGTTTGTTGTTGAGTTGGACAACGTGACAGCGTCTTGGAAGCAGCCAGACGAGACAAAAACTTTAAAAAATATATGTTTACGTTTGCGTAAAAATAAACTATGCACAATTATCGGGCCCGTTGGTTCTGGAAAGGTACGATATACTGTCTTATTTACGCATATTTTTTAATATTTCTCGTTTTTCAATTGTTTTTTTTTTGAGTTTATGGCCTGGTATCTACACTTTTAGGCCAATTTTTCAATTTTTTTTGTTGACACACCCTGATTCTGTAATTCCATTAGCGATACTAATGAGTTTTTGTTTCGCCATTCCAAGGTAGTGACATCAGCGCAACGGATAATGAGAGAACTAAAAATAAAATAAAAAAATCAATGGCGCTTAACCTCTTTTAGGTCTGGGCCTCAGATTTCTGAATCTGTTTCATGATAATTTTTTCAATGTAATAGCCAAGTAGGTGATCAGCCTTCTGTGCCTGACACACGCCGTCGACTTTTTGGGTCTAATGCCGGTTTTACGATGTCTTCCTTCACTGTTCGAGTGAATGTTAAATGCGCACATAGAAAGAAAATCCATTGGTGCACAGCCGGGGATTAAACCTCAGGAGTCGCACGCTGAAGCCACCAGGCCAACACTGCTCTAATGAGAGAACTATATCGATTTAACAGTAAGATTGGAAGATGTAGAGTACGGGTGCCGTTCAGTCGGCATCAACAGGGATCAAAAACTAAATTACCAAAAATATAAATAATAGAATACCCTGCCTGTTTTGCGAATAAGAAACCTTTTTTTTTACAGTCTTCTCTTCTGCAAGTTCTTCTTAACGAGTTACCGGTTCTTAGTGGTAATGTTACCATGAAGGGAACTGTGTCGTATGCCTCACAGGAAGCCTGGCTATTTCCCGCGAGCGTCCGAGAGAATATACTATTTGGGTTACCATATGATAAAAATAAATATAATGAGGTACCCACATTATACTACGATTACGATTAAATTATATATTCACGCCTTTTTCCCGTAGGGCAACACCACGGATCCCCACTTGCTACCGTCCTAACCTCTCTCGCTTCATCCACTTTCATGACATTCACCATCGTTGGTTATGGGTACTTTTAACTTGGCCCTTCTCTAGTACTCTTGGATTTAGTCCGGGTGCGCCAAGGCGTACCTAACCCGACATCACCACGATTGCCTTGTATATTCTTCTTGTTATCTGCTTCTCATTCATCATTTCTCCATGGCCAAACCATGTCCATTTCTTTTATTATATAGAAATATTTTTTGTGATATTAAAATAAACTTTATGTAACTAGATAATGCGTTACGCCAAAGCAGTATAACTTCTAACGCGTGTACGTAAGTACACACACGTTTTTGAAGTTATACTTCTTTAGGCGCGTTATGAAAAATTGATGAGAGTGAAATTTTACGATGCGCGCGCACCGTTACACAAAATTAACAGAATGAAGTTGCCCACGGAAGATGCTACGGCATTGGACATAGTTTAAAAAACAACATTCGAATAATAATAGAATTTATGTTACATGATGATGATACCATGAACTTTATTGACTATGATGACTCCTTTTCCAGTCTTTGATTATTTAATTGTAATTAATTATTTGCATGCAATCAAAAACTATTTTTAATAATGCCAAAGAAGTATAACTTCTAACGCGTGTACGTAAGTACACACACGTTTTTGTTAATAGGTTTGCAGGGTATGCTGTTTACTTCCGGACTTCAAGCAATTTCCATACGCGGATTTATCTTTAGTTGGAGAGCGCGGTGTTCAATTATCCGGGGGGCAGAGAGCCAGAATCAATTTGGCAAGGGCTGTATACAGAGAGGTATTTCATACATTTTTTCCATGAATTTAAATAACAATAAAATAACTTCTAATCTATTGCATAGATTTAATCGTGGGCTTTGAGCGCGACTGAATCAAGAAATTCCGTAGCGAAAAAAACCTAACACACTATGACGTAATATAGGTGCGGCAAATACGCGTTAGAGTGGGACAGAACTCTACTGCGCATTCCCATCTCTCTGACGAGATCGGTGACGTGAGCGCGGCCGGTGCAGCCGGTCCGCGTTAGAGTGAGACAGGCGTTTTAGTCTGAGTCTGGTAGAGTGGTAGATTGAAATAATATCAAAGAAAAAACAAATACTGCATAAATAAAAAATAAATAAATAATTATAACTGCATAAGTTGATAAAAAATGCTATGCAATAGCTTTACCGCGGCAGTCCCCGAGTGCCACACTTTTTTTTTACATTAATTTACATGATACGTCGAGGCTATTGACACCACGAGCCTAGTGAGAAATTTCTTAAGGGCAATACCATTTGAATTATTAAATTTATGTTAGTCTTAAGTGCTAAACAGTGGTAAATGGAAATAGTACAGAAGAACAAAAGTCAAAAATCAGTTATTCATATAGGTAACGCAATGTACAGTTATGAACTAAATGAAAATAATATTTTTTTTATTTCTATGATTGGACAATTCACACCAATTGACCCATGCTAAGCTGGTGAAGCTTGTGTTATGGGTACTAGGCAACGGATATACATACATATTATAGATAGACATATAAATACATATTTAAACACCCAAGACCTAAGCACAACACCAAATGCTCATCACATCGATGTTTGTCTCTGCCGGAGATCGAACTGGGACCCATGGATTCGCAGTCTATACTAACCACTAGACCAATGCGCCGTCAATATACATTAAATGCTTGTAATTTTACATTTACTGCCAGTTGTCAAATAAAGGGCGTAGAACGGAAGAGAAGAACTGGCAATAATCTCTCCGCCACTCTTTTTAATCGCCAAGTTTTTTTTACACAACGCCTTTCAACGTTTTCCTCTTAATAGAGACTGTAAGTTGTGTTATTGGATGTTAAATATTATTTTTTTGTAAATTAATTATTAATTCTAGGTTAGGCTAGATGGTAATTTTAAATTATGTCTTCGTGAAGAGGCAATTTTTATAAAAAAGGTGTATACAAATAAAGTTTACCCCGTAAAGTAGTCATAATTTTCTTAAACTACATAGTAATAATTATAATTATTAAAAATTAATAAACAAAATATAAAAAAAAAAGTTTAGTCCCTGTGGCAGTCTACCTTCAATGCATGCATTTCCTCGCTGTATTGCGATACTTATTCGTTGAGGAAAGCACCAGACAGCTCTAGGGTCACCAATACTTACTATCTACCAGGCGCCAACTTAAATCTTTAATTAGCTGTGGGTTTCACCCACCCAGATAATAAATACGACGGAAACAATTTAATTCTTTACTCAACTAACATAAAATATATATCACAAATAATTTCTTGTGTTAAATTCATTTTATTTTAATTATGACTTGCTATAAAGGCTTGAATCTGATTTAACCTTTAAAATAAATGTATTTAAATTGTTCCAGGCAGATATATATTTATTGGACGATCCATTATCGGCCGTCGACGCAAACGTTGGACGACAACTCTTCGAGGAATGCATAAAAGGCTATCTCCGCTCGAAGACCTGCATTCTGGTCACGCACCAAATACATTTCATCAAATCCGCGGATGTCATTGTAGTGTTAAATAATGTATGTGAGTTTAGATTGTCTAGATTTTCGTTAAAGCCTAGGCTAAACAAAATATATACAACCTTTATATGTAACAGTTTCGACATGTACATAAATAAATACACACACACGTCCGACACACGATCGATTCAACTGACAGATTGACACATTGACATTGACAGTTTATAATCTGTAAAATGTAGGTTTAGGTAGTAGTGTTTAATCATCCGGATTACCAATACCATTTACGTAAGCTATTGAAAACATTAAAAAAATAAAAAGATTTCTATGATATTGCATAATGTTGTCTTTCTAATATACATAGAGCAGTGTTGGCCTAGTGGCTTCAACGTGCGACTCTCTTACCTGAGGTCGTAGGTTCGATCCCCAGCTGTGCACAAATGGACTTTCTTTCTATGTGTGTGCGTATTTAACATTTGCTCGAACGGTGAAGGAAAACATCGTGAGGAAACGGACATGTCTTAGACCCAAAAAGTCGATGGCGTGTGTCAAGCACAGGAGGCTGATCACCTACTTGCCTATTAGATTTAAAAATTATCATGAAACAGATTCAGAAATCTGAGGCCCAGTCCTGAAGAGGTTGTGCGCCACTGATTTATTATTTATTTTATTTTGTCTTTCTAATAAAACAAACGACATCGCGTTATCTTATTAGATTTAAGAAATATCGTCACTCCATTGACATCGTCATTATTGTTGCGGGTTGTGGGCGTCCTGTGGATAAAGTGCGACAAAAGACACGAATAATTATCGTACAATAATTAAAAATCGATTTCTTTTTAATACTAATTATTTGTATAACACTTAATTTATAACGCACCAACGGACCGATCTCACTTGTTATTACAATCTACTAGGCCCAACTTCAACACTATAATGCTCCACATAATACTCAATCAGAACTGTACCGCGGTCCCTGTACAGATACCGGCAAACATCTTGAACAAATGTCTTGGCCTGGGCAGAGGCGATTTTTAGGTATCACTGGGAGGTGGGCGGCGAGCGAGTGACGTGTCGATCGCGTGATTGGTAAATCAGTTGACGTTTGTGTGTACGATGCGCGAACTTTCCCCCACTCCCTTGTTTAATGCTCAAAAAGTTTGCCGGTATCTTTACGCATCGTCAAAAGTTAAGATGGTGTCTTGACTTGACATTTGCTCTGCTCTGATTGGTCGTAACAATATTCGTTTTCGTTAAGTAATGATTTCAAACTTCGAAACAATTAAATAACAAATCAATCAAATAATGTTTATTAGTAATCATAACGATCAAATATACAGTATTTACATTATACTAACCTAGTAATAATAAAAATTAAGAAAAAGAAAATTAAAACAAATATAAATGTTTGGTCCCTGTGGCAGCATTTCCTCGCTGTATCAACAAATTAAATTACTATTCTGAAATGTAATAGAATAAATCGCAATGAATAACCAAAGCAATCTAAAATAGTATTCTGTTCATTGACTCGATCATAAACCTGAAATATTTTAGGGCGCAGTCGAAAATATAGGAACGCTTGATGATTTGTTGAAATCTGGAAAGGAATTTTCTACGCTCCTATCAACGATGGAAGATAAACACGAGGAAGACATTGAAAATGTAAGTAAATATTAAAACACAATTGGGTTTTTAAAAAAAAAATGATTTTTTTATGTATTTTGAAACTTTATTGTTAAAAATATTGATGTTTAATGCAAAAAACTTAAAAAAAAATTTTTTTTTTTCAATTAATTATAAACAATTAAAAATTGACGAAATTTAAATAAAAATCACGTGACTATAAACGCGCCATGGATGATCGGTCACCATGTTGTGACGTCATAATGTTAAAGCAATTTAACAGTACAGCGTTTACGGCTGTTAATATATATTATATATAGTATATTTAATATTTATATTAATTAACAAAATTAAATAGATCAAAACACTGTATTTATTATTTTTCTATCAACTGCAATGAGTGAAAACTAACATTATGACGTCACACGTGTTCGGCGTGTTTTCGGTACTGGATTCAAAAATTGTTTATTATTTTGAAATAACTTTTGAATTATTGCGAAAAAAAATAGTTTTGTTATAAAACTTATAATATATGATCTTTCCCTTTATAAAAAAAAAAATTTTTTTTCAAAAACCCGATTCCATAGAAATACACTATTAATGATATAATAATCTATATTATATAAAAAAATGTTATGTTGGTTTGTGTACGCTCCAAAAACTCAAAAATCCGCATCAAGGATTGTTTTTATCTTTTTTTTCCCCACAAGTGTTGCAAAATTAAACTTATATGAAAGTTTTCTTTGTTTTGTTTTTCATTTCTCAACCGTTTGTTTAATCACAATGTGCCACAGCGAAGCGTGGCAGGGAACAGCTAGCTGCTAGCATTGTTTGTTGTTAGGATTTATACCTGCAGCTGAGTTTCATCATCGGATCCGTTGTGATTCCATAGTTACCATTATTATTAAATGTCATTTATTACGTCTGAGCAATGCAAATGGCGTAACTGTCAGCTGCCATTGTCATTATGAAAACATAAACATACTCGTGTTTTTGTTATAATAAAGTCAAAGTCAAATCATTTATTTCCATTAGGCATATTAAAAGGGCACTTTTTAAAGTCGAAATTACAATTTATAAATATTTAAAAAAAAACTATACTTTGATTTTTAATTCCGTAGAATTGTGCTATAATTTTTTGACATGTCAGAGATTACAAACCTTTGTGGCCGGGCACATTTTTCAATACGAGTCAACATCTGACTCTATAGGTACATACACATTTTATTTGTTAGTGAATGTATCCATTTTATTAAGGGTGGTGCTCCACATTAAAACTGGTGTTACGGCGACTGATAATTACGTCCCGTTTCCATCACAAACAGAAAAAAACGTACATGTAAAGATATGTTTTTTTTAAGATTTACTAAACCTAGAATTAGTAGGATTAGTGTGATCCCAGCTTAGGAATAAAATAAAGTAGTTAAAGTTAATTCAATATATTGTTCGTGATTTTGAAATATTTCTTATTTTTGAATTAGGTCACTTGAGTAAGTAAATAATATTAGGAAAAAAAGTAAAGAAGTAATTAATATTATTAAGATTTACTTTTTTTTTCCTTTATGGCTCTTGCACGGTTTGTGCATTAGCCAGCGTCAAGTATAAATTTACTTTTTTATAGGTAAAACATAAAAAATACGTAGCATTTTTTTGATTGCCCTCAAATGGGTTAAATTTGACCCTTTTCGGTGGAGAACTTTTTTAGTAGCATCACTTATGGAATGTCAGAATTCTACAGAATAAAAAATCTGAGTATAGTTGCCCGTTTCAAAAGGTTTCATATGGAGAAGAATGGGCAAGAAACTCCAGAATTTCTGTTTTAAAGTGGTTTTTACAATATTTTGAATACATTTCATAATTTTGAAATGTATCGTTCCGTATTCACTAGGAAGACTAGGTTTTAATAATATTTTTAGGAAACACCCCAATTCGTGAGAGGTATGTCGCGAACTTCAGTGAGGAGCGAGGAAGCTTCTAAAATCGAGAAGGAGCAGATATTAGCAGCGGAAGAAAGGGCGAAAGGAAACCTGAAGTGGAGTGTCATTTCGAAGTATTTGAAAAGCGTGAACTCCTGGCCCTGGGTTGGTCTTACCCTGCTATCACTTCTGCTCACACAAGCTGGGGTCTCGTTCAGCGATTATTGGGTTAGCTACTGGTATGGTCATTTTTATTATTTATTATTAATTGAAGTTATACTTCTTTAGGCGCGTTATGAAAAATTGATAAGAGTGAAATTTTACGATGCGCGCGCACCGTGACACAAAATTAACAGAATGAAGTTGTGGCGCATATTTCCACGGTCGCACGGTCGCCTCTGTTCACTGTGTATTCATTTTGTTTTCATTATACAAGTGCGAATTTTATATGTGTGTCTGAATTATAATCAGAAGTCATTTAAATTGAATATTTAAATCAATACTAATTAATATTAGAAAATAAATATAAATATAATATTAATAAATATTTATTTATTTAATTTTCAAATGTAAACTGAACTTTATTGACTATAATGACTCCTTTTCCAGTCTTTGATTATTTAATTGTAATTAATTATTTGCATGCAATCAAAAACTATTTTTAATAATGCCAAAGAAGTATAACTTCTTGGCATTATAAGGTGTTACATAAATTCTATTATTATTCGAATGTTGTTTTTAAATTATGTCCAATGTCGCAGCATCTTCAGTGGGCAACTTCATTCTGTTAATTTTGCATAGGACAAATTTCACTCTCATCAATTTTTCATAACGCGCCTAAAGAAGTATAACTTCAAAAATATCGTAAATATATTGTTGAATTCTTTATTTTACGTAGGACGCATTCCACATTCTGATTCCAGCTCATTAAAATTGCTTAATGAATTCACAGGACAAATGAGGTCGATAATTACGAGCAGAACTTGCCGCCGGGGGAGAATTCAGGTGACATTTCTAAAAATCCGTATTTATCAATCAATCTGTAGCGAGTGAAATTTACCATTTCCAATTATACCAGTAAGGTTCAATAAATAAAAGAATCTAAGAATAGAAGCATTTAGCAAACATTATTAAAGAAATAATAATAATATTTTTTAAAAATCTACGTATTCTTGCCAAATTAATTCATTTTTTTCAACTTTTTAATTATTTTGAATCTGGAACACGTACATATTTTAAAATGCTTACACAATATTAATTATAATCTAAAAACCTTAAAAAATATAATAACTAATTAATTATTGAATTAATTAAACATTAATTAATTTTGAATATATTAAAAGGGACGCAAACGCCCTCGGCCATTGGGTGTCCATGGACAGCGGTAGCATTTAACATTAGGTGAGCCCCCTGCTCGTTTGCCCCCTGTTCTATAAAAAAATATACTAATTAGGTTACTTTTATTATTTTCCAAAAAGCCCATTTTTACTTTTGCGTACCAACTTAAAAAAAAACATTTTTGATATTATGAACAGTACTATATATTATATATAAAAAAAATTAAAAGCTTAGTTTTATTTAGTACTGAGGTTTTTATTAAAAGCGAACAGTTTCTTTAATATACTAGTAGACTCGGCCAAGCGTTGCTCTGGCTAAGATTTTTGTTATATTACATAGTAGTAAACTATTCAAGGGAAACGGTAGGAGAACTTATGTGAAAGGTAGATGACAGCTTATGTGAAACGTTGATAATTTTAACACAGCGCCATCTGTTAGAATTGTATCAAATAATAAACAAATATTTTGCAATAAATTAAAATTGCGACTATAATTTGAGATTTAAACTATCCTATCTCTCAAGTTGGATCGAACTGCACATGGTGTGCAAATTTGATTGATATCGGTACGGTAGTTTAGGAGTCCATTGAGGACAAACATTGTGACACGAGATTTATATATATTAAGATTATACGCATATGTTGGTATGTAGCTACTGAAGGTAAACTAAGTAAAATCATATGAAGGACCGATCTGGCCGCCAAACTCCAAAAAGTATATTGTTTCTTTCTATTTTTCGTCATCGTTTTTTGAAGTAGAGCGAATGGAAAAATTATATGGTGGAGTTGAGTAGTTTATGTATCCATTTTGAAAGATCGATACACGATTTAAATAACTTCGCTTGAAAGAAATCCAAACATAGCCAATTTTCGACACTTTGAATTCATTTTATGACGAACATTTTTATAGAACATGATTCTGAAATTTAAACGTTATAAAAAAAATTACATTAATTGAATGTTTAACATAACTAATTGTTATTACGGGCCGGCGTGCCTCAGTGCTCCAGCTCTCTACTGCGCCCCGCAATCCACCCCGAGATACTGACACAGCAATTCGTGCTGGGATAGGGCCTTAAGGCGAATTAAGTTCGCGAAGATTTCGTATATTAGTGCATGTAATAATTTGTTCCAGATCCCGGAATCAATGTAATCATGGGCCCTCTAACTACTGGACAGTATCTATTGATAAGTGGTTGTGCAATCATTTATATTCTGATCATGACGCATGCGCGAATCCTCACATTCGTTGTCATCACTATGCGTGCATCAATTAATCTTCACAATAATATGTTTAATAATTTAATCAGAGCTCTGATGAAGTTTTTCGACACAAATCCATCAGGTAAATTAATAATTTAAGTATTACATATATTAATTTTTTTTTTTTTTTACTTTTATATTGCTTTAATTTTACTTTTATTTCTACAACTCTGTTGAGTTATAAATTCTAAAATGAATAAAGAAAAATGCTGACACGAGAAGTTCTACTTGGGGGCCCTATCCTTATGTATGGTAGCCAAACATGGGCTCTAAAACAAAACATGGCTAACAAACTGGCAGCCGACGCGCAATGGAAAGGAGTATGCTTAACGTTAATCAGATTAAAAACTGGCACAAAAGAGAGAAGACAACAGTCATAGACATTACCTCCAAAATAAAAAGAATTAAATGGCGATGGGCTGGACACATGATACGAGGAAAAGACAAATGGAGTAAACTGTGACACGATAATACCCTAGGGAACGCAAAAGGAAAACCACAAAAAAGATGGGAAGACGACATCAGACAAGTGGCAGGAGTGATGTGGAACAGAAGGCCCAAGAAATATATGAATGGAAAAGGTTGGAGGATGCCTTCGCCGACAGGAAAACAGATCTGCAGATATGAAGCAAGATCCAAATAATATAATAGTTTTTTTCAACCTTCTAATATCTAGATTAATATAATGATCTATGTTTATTTGTCTACCTAAGTCGATCTGAACAAAAGGCTATATTATTATTATCATTATTATTATTATCTTGGGGTCCCCCAATCCCAATCATGCGACTTCCTCGATATAAAACGTCCCCTCGGGATTTGTGTGCCGCAATATCTAGGGCAATCTGAGGAAGCTCCTACGCTGCACCTTTCATTTCATTTTCACATGTGTGATGTTTGAGGGCAGTGTTGGCACTAGGCCAACTCTCAGGATTAGGCTCCAGCCCTCTGGTAGGATCCACCCCCGGCTGTGCTCCAATGGACTTTCTTTCTATGTGCGCATTTAACATTCGCTCGAACGTCGACGGAAAACATCGTGAGGAAACCGTCGTGACTAAAAAAGTCGACATGTGTCAGACATGTTGCCTTAAAGACAAATGATCATGAAACAGATACAGAAATCTAAGGCCCAAGGCTAAATAGGTTGTAGAACCACTGATTCTATGATGATAAATTAAATAGTATTAAATATTTTCAGGTCGTGTATTAAATAGATTCTCTAAAGATATCGGAGCTATGGACGAGACATTACCCAGAAGTTTCTTAGAAACAATACAAATGTATATGTTCGCGCTCAGTGTACTGACATTGAATGCGATAGCCCTACCCTGGACTTTAATACCAACATTCGTACTCCTTTTCATCTTTTTCTTCCTATTCCGATGGTATCTGAGAGCCGCTCAGGCCGTCAAGAGGCTGGAGAGTACAAGTATGTATATATGGTATATATGGTAACCTCCCGTAGGCTCATTTGCCCCCCCCATATGAACCTATGTTGACTTATGTTAGTCATAGAGCGCAGCGTTGACCCCCCTGAATACGAAAGGCAGCCCGTGCATTGGGTGCTCAGAGTCCCGGTGTAGGACACCCAGAGATTCATCACCGTGAGTGCGTGTGGTAACCCTGTGGGGTATTTTCTATTTGTTCGGCACCTTCATATTTCTTCGAGAGGGGGGATGGACTCCGGATATCTCTTTCTCTCTCTCAACGCACATAATGCGAGATATTTATTTATTTTTTAATTTTTTATTTATTTAAGTTCACCATATCATATGTAATTGTATTTAACAAAACAAGAAAAATATTACACATCCAATTTTATATTATACACATCCTTTTTTTTAAATTCATTACAGGCAATATTTAATTTTAATTAAAAAAGACTATATAAAAAACTGTTTTCAGCTAAAAGTCCCGTATTTAGCATGATAAGTTCAACAATTTCCGGCCTGGGAACGATTCGAAGCTCAAATTCACATCTCAGATTACTCAAGATGTTTGATGATGCACAGGTTAGTGGTGGCGCTGAAACTCTTCATCATAATGTCCTCAATTGCGTGTTTCTATAAATTCTATTTAAGACATCTTTTAAAAATTTTGTAAAACGAAATGTCTTCTTAAATCCGGCAACTTGGCCGATGGCTGGCCATGCGTCATACTCGTGAACGGGTGCTACTTGTGGTGACTGGTCGTACTTGAATTCGTGTATGCGGTGATGTTAGTTATTTTTACTATGTATTTGCGTATTGTTCCCACGATGCGTGCTCCTATTTCACCATGCCTACTGCTGATAGAAAACAAATTTATTTTATTATTATTTATTACTTAAGATGTCATGTGGCACATGGTTTAATGGTTGCAGCTCCTTAAAAACGTTGTGTAAAACAAAAAACTTGGCGATTAAAAAGAGTGACGGAGAGTTATTGCCAGTTCTTCTCTTCCGTTCTACGCCCTTGATTTGAGAACTGGCAGTAAATGTAAAATTAGAAGCATTTAATGTATATTTCTTTTTTGACGTTTATAAGTGTACATTGTGTTACCTATATGAATAAATGATATTTGACTTTCGCAACGTTTTGCCAGTTCGTGGGATTTGTAACAATCATTTTTCCAATGAAAATTTTGGCGTCATTACGTCTATTCTGTATCTGTTTGGTGATCATTTTTCTTAGGCAAGTGATCGGCCTGTAATTGCCGTTGGTCTTAGGCATTTGCCGTACGAGTGTTAAATTCCCTAGGCCAACACTGTTTCTAAGAAATATAAATAAAATTTTGATCGATATTTTTTTAGGATGCCAACACAAGCGCATTTTTCTCATTTCTCGGCGGAGCATCAGCGTTTGGATTGTATTTGGATACAATTGGACTAGCCTATCTCGCAACTATCATAGCTATCTTTCTGTTCCTAGATTTTGGTACGTATACAATTCTTATATACCTCGGCCGCTGCATTGATAAACTCAAAAACTGTAAAAATAACGATTATTCTTATGATGTTTTTTTTTTACGAGGGCCTGAATCAGTCTATTGTACAGATCCCCGTTATCAAAGACGTTGCGCTTACTGAATGCTGTCTCCGACACTATCCACATATATATATATATATATTTATATACATAGAACGGGTGAATATATATATATATATATATATATATATATACGTGTTTATAACGGGGATCTGTGCGACAGACTGATTCAGGCCCTCCAGATATATATATATATATATATCGTACGGTAGCGATATTGTGTAGATATCTTATGTATTTAAGATTATATATTTTATTTTTAATTTTGACATTATCGTATCGCCCCTAGTACTGTAAAGATAGTGTATGTATTTTTCTGAGAAAAAAATAAAAAAAATAATATTTATTATGGAATTTAAGATACAGGTATCACTTATTCCACGTCATTAAATTATTAATCCCTACTCATCGGCAAAGAAGACAGTGCGTAAGCCGAGAGAAAAAGCTAGCGTAAAAAACTCTCTGTACTCTTTTAAATAGCAAATAGCCAAACAACACTTATTTAAAAACAAATAACGCAAATTAATTAGAAGTAAATATAAATGTTGTATACAAGAAATCCAAGCGGGCGAAGTATTTTAAGTCACTAAGACTTGATTGGACATTAAGATCTAGACCAATTAAAAACTTATACAATTTAAGTTAACTCTTATTTATTCATTTCGTAATCCTACACTTAAACAACACAACAAAAAATATACTTAACATATAGCCAAAGATAGTATATATACAAAAAGGTTCAAACATTTTCAATAGGGAAAAAGCAATAAAAATTATTCAATACATTTAACTAAGTAATACCTAATTCGGCTGTGTTGTGTGGGTGTGCTCATGATGCAGGTGAGTTCGCGCTATGGATATCCTTAATACTCCTTTTAACCATATTCCGCGATAAACAAGTCAAGGCTGTAATATTGGTCGTTGTATGTCCGGGCTGCGCGATACATAACTGATTTTTTTTCTATTTGTTTTACTTCATCCTTCTTAGGCAATTCATTCACGATATCCGCTATTATGTTGTGGAATAGGCTGCCCGACTCCATACGATTGGCTACCTCTCTGTCATCTTTTAAAACTCTTCTGTATAATCATTTCTTAACCTTATCCTATCCTGATCAATCGTAACTTGTATAAATCTTATGTTTCCTTTTGCATCACTATTGCTATTCATGAATTTGTAAGATTAGCTTTTAAGTTTTTAGTCTGTTATTAATATTTTCTTTTGTATTACTTTAGATTAAGGTTCTATATATATATAGAACCTTAATGACCTTAATATATATATTATATATTATTTTTTATATAACATTTGGTTCTGCACTTCTCGCACGCATCATGTTTCTTTTTTTTTAGTTTTTCTCTTTAACTAGGGTTGCCTGGAAGAGATCGCTTATTAGCGATAAGGCTGCCCGTTGCATCCCTTATAATTTTTATGTATTTTGTTTCTTTTATTTGCAACTAAGTGTAAATAAATAAACCGTAAATCTTCTCTTCATTCTTCTTGGCTGATACCCAGGTTCATCCTACGGTTCAATGTTGGTCAGAACAATAATTTTAAGGTAATTTGAGTTTAATTTAACACGGCCTTAGGGTCGATTCAACCAAACTTCAATTATATATATTATACACGAGTAGCTATATCAGGAATAATCTATTCCATGATTTTATTCTGAGTTTTTTTTCTCTCGTTGAATTTCATTTTAATATTATAGAAAAAAAAATATATAATAAATTTTTTAAACGTTTCATTATACAATGCCAGACTATTAATTTAGTGCGTTGCGTTGACTTGAAATTAAAACACAGAATAAATATTTGTGAAATGACAGAAATCAGTCCATGACTGACGCCATTACATTATTCTAGGAATAGCTCCGTTATTCCGTGCGAAACGGCGGTATAGTAACAATTCCCGAATAGGCCCACTATTCTTAGAATTGTAGATGGTAAAACGTAATATTGATTTACTCTCGATTAACTGACGATTTATTCTAAGATTAAGATTTACTTTTGTATGGTATAATCCACCCTTAGACAAATAAATTAATTATTAGGTGACGTGATACCGGTCGGTAGCGTCGGACTCGCCGTGAGCCAATCAATGTCTATGACAATGATACTCCAAATGGCGGCCAGGATCACCGCTGATCTCTTAGCGCAGATGACTTCCGTTGAACGAGTGCTCGAGTACACCAACCTACCTTGCGAGGAGAACATGGAAGATGGGCGTAAGTTCAGGCTATTGATAAGTCACGATGTCCACAACTGAGCGTTTTTAAGGCACTTGCCGTGTACAATGGGGGCTGCAATTCGGTTTAGGGCTAAAGAAAAACCTCTCGCATTGTGAGATGTCCATGGGCATTCTTATTTATGCAGCAATTTTTTTTTAAAGACAATTCACACCAATTGACCTAGTCTCATGCTAAGCTGGTGAAGCTTGTGTTATGGGTACTAGGCAACGGATATACATACATATTATACGTATAGATAGATAGACAGATAAATACATATTTAAACACCAAAGACCTAAGCACAACACCAAATGCTCATCACATCGATGTTCGTCTCAGCCGGGGATCGAACCCGGGACCCATGGATTCGCAGTCAGGGGTAGTAACCACTAGACCAATGAGTCGTCAAACCAAATTTACCTCCTGTTATATAAATAATATTCCCAGAGACTCTTGGTACGATACAGGCGCTAATTAATTTATACTCTGATTTTTAATTCCGTAGAATTCTGACATTTCATAAGTGTTGCTACTAAAGAAGTTCTCCACCGAAAAAGGGACAAATTTGACTTATATTAGGGCAATAAAAAAAAGTATTTTTTATGTTTTACCTTCAAAAAGGTAAATCTAAATATTTACTTACTCAAGTGATCTAATACAAAAATAACAAATATTTCAATGTCACGAACAATATATCGATTTAACTTTAATTACTTTATTTTATTCTTTAGCTAGCATCATTGCCTACGAACTCCAGGTTTAGTAAACCTTTTAAAAAAATGTTATCTTTACTTGTGCGTTTTTTTAATATGTGATGGAAACGGGACATAATTATCAGTCGCCGTAAAACCAGTTTTAATGTGGAGCACCGCACTTAATAAAATGGATACATTCCCTAACAAATAAAATGAATGCATAGAGTCAGATGTTCAGACTCGTATTGAAATTGAAAAATGTGCCCGGCCAAAAAGGTTTGCCATCACTGAAATGTCAAAAAATGATAGCTGTCAGAATTCTACGGAATTAAAACTCAAAGTGGGGGCCTCATAGCCTAGCGGTCTTATTAAGTGGCAGCTAGGTGAGGGGTACCGGGTTCGATTCCCGGTTCGAGGGCAAGTTTTAATTTAATTTAAATTTGTTCTCGGCCTTTGGGAGGGTTGTGCGGTACCGGGCGAGTGCTTAAACCGTACATGGAGGACACGGTCAAATTTCTAAAAGTCAAGCACGAATTATAAAAAATCCTATACTTGACGCTGGCTAATGCACAAATCGTGCCAGAGCCATAAAAAAACAATCAAAGTACAAGTTGGCGCCTGGTAGATAGTTTCGGGTACCCCAGCGCTGGTGCTCCCTCAATAAGCAGTAAGCACCGCAGTACAGCGATGCCAGCATTTAGATTACTCTGAGACTGGGATCGAACTTTTTAATAAATTTTATTACGATTTATTACATTATGTAAAGATTAAAAGTAAAAAAAGTAGTAAGTTAAAAATAACTAGTGGCTTCAGCGTGCGACACTCATCCCTGAGGTCGTAGGTTCGATCCCCGGTTATGCACCAATGGACTTACTATGTGCGCAATTAACATTCGTTTGAACGCTGAAGGAAAACATCGTGAGGAAACCGGCTTGCCTTAGACCCAAAAAGTCGACGGCGTGTGTCAGGTACAGGCTAATCACCTACTTACATTGACAAATCATGTAACAGATACTGAGGCCCAGACCTAAAATGGTAGACCTGATTTTATTTTTATTTATTTTTTCATAATCAAATACTGTTAATGAAGGATAATGTGAAAGTTGAAACTAATGTATTTTCTAAGAAAAAAGGTTTATAAGTCAAAGATGATGTCTTGATAAGAGGTGTAATCAGAATGACTAAGTAATATTGAAAGTTAAAATACGCCTTGTTCCGAATGTAGTAGATATGTCATCTGCTGCGTGGTTGCTATTTAATAAGTTCAGGCGCTATGCACCAACAAATACTAATTATTTCTTACTTTACTGTGTAGCTACTCAACCTCCGAAAGAGTGGCCTACGGATGGAAAAGTAGAATTTGAAAATGTCTACTTAAAATATGGAGTAGAAGACCCACCAGTGTTGAAAGACCTCAATTTTGAAGTCGAAGGTGGTTGGAAGGTAAGATATTCTATTTAATTATTTACACTTTGTGACCTTATACAAAATCATACATATAAATAATAATATGTATAAACAAAAAAATGTGTGCGTGTACTAGGTGTACACACGTAAGAAGTGAAACTTATATAAAACCTTTGTTGTACGCAGAGCCATAATTGGTTTGTTTTAAGTTTAGAGGTCCGAAACTATTTCTTTAAACACAGTAAATTTTGATACACTGCCTAGCATACAATTTACAAATTAATTGCTGCAAATTGCGATTAGCAAATTTCAAGTCGAAAATGTAATCCGTTGTCAAACTTCAAAGTCAAAAACATACTATATGTCATATTTTAACGCCGATAAAGAAGTTTGACATCAAAAAGCAACATGGCGCGTAACGGAAAAATGTGACGCGTAACGCAAAAATTTTTCACTAAATTTTTTTCCAACCTCGATAAAGAAGTTTCACTTCAAAAATGTAAAAGCTTATCCAAAGGTTAATTGAGTCACAATTAATAGATATATATATAAATAGTAGCTAATTACGAGGCAGAAGAAAAATTATCAAAAAGAAGAATTTTAAATAAATTTTATGACTGAGCTCGTCTGATATTAATTGGTAAGGAATGCCGTAACTAATGTGAAACATAATGTGCTATTTAAAAAAAAGCAGGCTTTTCCAGGCTTAGAGTACCTGATTATTTCATGAAGTCTATCATGTCGGCAAAGGGCGTGGTTATACAAACTAATTATAATTGCTACGCAATTCACTATTATAAATTTTTCGTATAAGGTATCAAAATTTCTGTCGAACTATAATGACGTAACATTACTGTCAACATAACCTCTATTCTCATGCCGTACAGTAATTTTGAATAAATATAAATTGTTATAACTATTCAAAATCAGCCTAACTATTGAGTTAACTAAGTTTGTACGGTTCATAATCATTAAATAATAGGGGATTTTATTTTTACTATATAATAACCAGTCGTAAAATAATTAAATGTTTATTGCTATAAAACGAATGTTAATAACTGTTGAAGAGAGTGCCTGCGTCTGGCTATACTCTTGGGGCGTAACTCCGACGATTTAGGTCATCAAAAGAAAGCCTGAGTGAGAAAAATACAGCCTTGGCTCGTACAAGAAAATACCACCAGCTCTTGTAATATATATATATATATATAGAGCTTAATAATTCTTAGTAAAACAGCAGCATATTCGCTCAGAAACAGCTCATGATCTGCAGTCAAACGCGCTAAGAACTTTGTACGAGCCAAGGCTGTATTTTCTAACTCAGGCTTTCTTTTGATGACCTAAATCGTCGTATAAAACATACACAGACACGCATACACACATACCCCATGTGGTTTCCTTATATGTGTATTCCTATAAGTATTGCAATAATGATTGTTTATTCTCACTAGACTTTTCTCTACTATATATTGTTTTGTATAAGACCGTCTGTCGATCCGAAGTGGTGGAGGCCTGATGACCTGGAACACAGGTACTCTTACTCTACCTTTAGCAGGCATCAGTCTCAGCCAAACAAACAAACTAGCTTTTTCCCTAAACAGAAGTAAGACAATTATTTGTTTATAATAGTACTAGCTGACCGGGCAAACGTCGTTTTGCCATATATATCATTTATAATAAAAAAATAGGGGTTGATCGTAGAGGGGTGAAAGTTAGGGGTTTGTATGTATTTTTTAATGCTGTATCATAAAAATAAAAACAGAAAAAAATATCTAAAAATAAAAAAAAAATATTTAGGGGTGGACTACCCTTAACATTTAGGGGAAAAATAGATGTTGTCCGATTCTCAGACATACCCAATATGCACACAAAATTTCATTAGAATCGGTCGAGCCGTTTTGGAGGAGTATGGCAACGAAAACTGTGACACGAGAATTGTATATATTAGATATATCTGTCACTTGCATAGTCCTAAGTTTTTGTGAGAAATAAATACTCTAGTGGCTTTATATATACTCTATGGCTGAAGACTCATTGGTCTAGTGGTTAGTAGACTGAGAATCCATGGGTCCCGGGTTCGATCCCCGGCTGAGACGAACATCGATGTGATGAGCATTTGGTGTTGTGCTTAGGTCTTGGGCGTTTAAATATCTTAATATATATATTTCTTCTGTGCGTGTGTATGTGACTGAACTCCTCTCAAACGACTGGACCGATTTTGATGAAATTTTTTGTGTGTGTTCAAGGGGATCTGGGAATGGTTTAGATTCACAAATCAGCCCGGCAGATGGCACTGCAGTCGGTACTTTCATACTTTGCTTAATATCCTAATCGCTTTAAATATCATGCAGGACAACGTCTGTGGGGTCCACTAGTGTATTTATATGTCTTTCTATCTATAATATGTATGTATATACGTTGCCTAGTACCCATAACACAAGCTTCACCAGCTTAGCATGGGACTAGGTCAATTGATGTGAATTGTTTAAAAAAAAAAAAAAATCTTTGTATATCTCAATAGACAACCGGCCTTAAGATGTTCGATATTTTAGGTTGGCGTGGTTGGGAGAACTGGTGCTGGGAAGTCATCGCTCATCGCTGCTTTATTCCGACTAACCAACATTGAAGGGAAGGTCAAAATAGATGGCTTCGATACGAACGGGATGCCGAAAAGTGTAAGTTTAAAGTTATAGCATATCCAAATAGGTGCAAACATGGCGTATGGGAAGTCACAGACCAAGTTCATAACCAAGACCGTATTAATTCTAGAGACAATATTTTCTACCTATAATAAAAAAAAGGTTTTTTAGCTTACATGCTGAGTTAAAAAAAAATGTGCCTATACTAATATAAAATGTATTATATAATACAAGCTGCCCCCGCGAACTTCGTTTCTTCTTAATGTGATTTTACTTCCTACGCCTTCCATTTACATACCGTAAAATTTTGCTATGCTACTAGGGTTTTCTGTGATTTTTTTGTCTATAATAACTCTGAGGCTTACCTCAGAGTTCAAGTCATAAGATTTTAATAAAAAAAAAAAAATAGGGGTTTATCGTAGAGGGGTGAAAACTAAGAGTTGTTTGTATTTTTGTATGCTATATCATAAAAAATAAAAACAAAAATTGTATCTAAAAAATAAAGATAAAATTTAGGGGACCACCCTTAACATTAAGGGGTTTAAAAGATAGATAGCCGATTCTCAAACAAACAAAACCTTCCTCTATTTTTTTCCAATCGTAGCGTTCTCTAGCGGTTCGGATCCACATTGGACCCGCTACCTCTTTTATATCGTCCTCCCATCATCTTATCTGCCTTCCTACACAACACTAATTCCATAGAAAATAACCTTAACCTTTTCATAACCAATAATAGACAATCCATCTTGTGAATTCTGTGTTAAACTAAATATGTCTCTACCGTTTCCCATGCCTAGTGGCTTATCAGTACTCGCAGCACCAACCCCTCGCCTGCATCACCTGCATATTCCATAAGGATTTAAAATAGGTTACAGCTAGATCGGACTGTATCCAACGGTACCCAAAACGAACAATGTTGGATACGGTAAAACGGGTTGAACGGGTTAATATGATACATTCTCAAGTTATTCTACTATTCTACTATCATTTTATGCTAAGTTTCGGGGTCTTAAACTAAGTGTATCCAATCTTACCCAAAACAAACAATGTTGGATGCACAACCAGGAAGAACTGGTATAACTTCATACATCCTAGTGGATACATTCAAGTGGATACAGCGAGTAAACTATTCAATGTTTTGGTACAAAAGGAACACAATTGTTAAGTTTTAGCTAAGAAGCCGGCTTGTATGCTTAGTTTCATGGTCCAAAAGTTTTAAATTTCACAGATGGACTCATATAAAAAAAGATACTTCGTTCGGAAGTTTACGACCTTACGTCAAATAAGGTGAACATTTACTTTGCAGCTCTTACGTTCAAGAATATCTATAATTCCACAAGAGCCAGTCCTGTTCTCGGCTTCGTTGAGGTACAATTTGGATCCATTCGACAGTTATAGCGATGAAGATATTTGGAGAGCTTTGGAACAGGTATTTCACATAAATCTAATCCATGTGTGTGTATTTTTCTGTTAATTTTTAAATCTATCACTTTAGTTTTAGTTTGTGTATAGATTTTTTGAAAATTATGATCGATGAAGATTCCGCAAATTTTTCCTTACTCTTTTTTGGCCTCCTTAGTTGTTGTCAACATTATATGTATATACTAGTTATTTGCTATAGTAATATAGTCATATTTCGATAGGGTCAGCCTATTGGCATGAGTGACTTTCTAAGAGTCAAATCATTTATATAGGCTATGTTCAGATGGCAAAAACTTGACGCGCGTTTTCAAATCGCGCGACTAGACATTGTGGTATTTTTATACAACTGTTCACATGAGCGCGCGTTAACGCGCATCAACGCGGCGCTCATAGAAAAAGTCTCTAGACGCAGGTGATCGCGCGTTGACGCGCGCTTTGATATTAATGTAATGTCCGTATGCTGTTCAGTTGAGCGCGCGCTTTCATCGCGATCGCATGTAATTTTGTTAATTTTCGTAATTATATTTTGTTCTCGCATTTAAAATGAGTGAAATTGAAGATATTGACATCGACTTACTAATCGATGAAGTAGAAAAAAGGCCAGCAATTTGGAATATAGCAAATTTGTATAAAAAAATAATATAATTTGTATTTTTTTTCAAAATTGCATGAACCCAATGTGTACGTTTTCTTTTTCTATATTTTTCTTTATAATATAACCACAAAATAATAGCCTCTTCCACGTCCATTTTCTACGTTCTACCGAACTAGACTGACGAGTACTCTCGCAACGCGCATTAGCGCTCATCATCTGAACTCTCTTCAAATTTGATCGCGCGTTACATGTGAACATAGCCTTAAATTAGGCACTTTTGAAAGTCAAAATGGCAAGTTAAAATATTTAAAAAAATACTAATTGTCCCGTCTAGAAGGTTTCATATGGAGAAGAATGGGCCAGAAACTCCATACTTACTTTTTAAAATAGTTTTCACAATATTTTGTGTACATTGATATTTATATCTGAAGACCAAAAGAGTACATAATTATATATCTGAAGCCCATTTACCTAACAAAAAACTGATATACTAAAATAAAATGGCACATGGTGTTATGAAAATAATCCAGCTGATAAACTAAATTATTATGTTGATACATGGTGCTCACATATCCACAAATATTGCAACTTTAGATTTTACATCCCAGAGGTTGTAGGTTCGAACCCCGGCTGTGCGTCAATGGACTGTGTATATGTTCGCATTCAAAACTTGCTCGCACGGTGAAGGATCAAGGAAGACATCGCGAGGAAAGCAGCTGATCACTTACTTGCCTATGATAAATAACATTTGTGTGTACTTATGTACACGCGTTAGAAGTTATACTTTTTTGGCATAATAAGACAAAAATCTTTTTAATAATTTTATCTTTCGCCTTATTCTACGTGTGTAGAAAAAACGACACTAACAATAGAAAAAAGGTATTAAATACGTTGAAAGTTTTATTATAACGCATTATCTACTTAAGTAAAGATATAAATATCACAAAAAATTGTTTCTACATAATTAAGGAAATTGACATTATTTATTTTAAAAGTTGACTATATCTAACTTCAGGGTGTCGGTTTTTGTGACGGTGTGCGCGCGCATCGTAAAAATTAAGCCAAAAGAAGTATAACTTCAATAAAAGTTTACAAAACCAAAAGGAAAATGAGGCCTAGACCAGGTGTTGTTGCGCCATTGTGTGTATACTCAGCCAAAATCTTCCAAAATGTAATGACTATCAATTACAGGTGGAACTAAGAGATGTTGTACCAGCATTGGACTACAAGGTTTCCGAAGGCGGATCCAATTTCTCAGTCGGTCAAAGACAGCTGGTGTGTTTGGCACGGGCTGTTTTGCGTTCTAATAAAATTCTGATAATGGATGAAGCTACCGCCAATGTTGATCCACAGTATGTATATTTCTGGTTCCATGACAATAATAATAACTGGCGACGCACTTGCGAGCCATCTAATAGTGTCTTCTAAGAATGCCCATGGGCGCCGATATCACTTAACATCAAGTGAGCCTCTTGCCAGTTTGCTCCCAGTTCTATTTAAAACCAAATACAAGTAACAATAGTGAATTAAACAAGTTTTTGTTCAAATTAACTTACATTCTTCTGCGAATGTATTATTTTATTAATGAACAAGATTTTTCAACGAAGTTCTGTTTAAACTGTGTAGCGGTGTTCGTTACACAACTGAGCGTTTTTAAGGCAGTTTTTGCCGTGCGCCACAACAATGTGGAACCAGCTACCTTCTGAAGTATTTCCGAATTAATTCGACTTAGGGTCCTTTGAGAAAAGAGCGTACCAATTCTTTAAATTCCGGCAACGCACTTACGAGCTTTCTGGCAATGTAAGTGTCCATGGGCGGCAGTATCACTTAACATTAGCCCTACGATTCTGTAACTCACTTTTCGAACTCACACAGCGGTTTTCGCATCGGCGGTCGCTCTGAAATCAGTCGTGAAGCAGTCATTTCATGATTTGGCATTCTAATAAACAATAAACTACAAGCTCCCACGTTTTCAGAATGTCAAATCATAAAATGACTGCTTCACGACTGATTTGAGAGCGACCGCCGATGCGAAAACCGCTGTGTGAGTTCGAAAAGTGAGTTACAGAATCGCAGGGCAGGTGCCCGTTTGCCTGTTTTCTTGGAGAGGATTATCGTAATGTATCGTATCGTAAACTCTCAAATGGGACATGTTTTACGTAGATATTATAAGATTACATCTATGTAATACGATTACATCACTACCCACAACAAAACTTCATAAAATTTTATTTTATTTTATAAAACAGGCAAACGGGCACCTGCCCTGCGATTCTGTAACTCACTTTTCGAACTCACACAGCGGTTTTCGCATCGGCGGTCGCTCTCAAATCAGTCGTGAAGCAGTCATTTTATGATTTGACATTCTGAAAACGTGGGAGCTTGTAGTTTATTGTTTATTAGAATGCCAAATCATGAAATGACTGCTTCACGACTGATTTGAGAGCGACCGCCGATGCGAAAACCGCTGTGTGAGTTCGAAAAGTGAGTTACAGAATCGCAGGGCAGGTGCCCGTTTGCCTGTTTTATAAAATAAAATAAAATTTTATGAAGTTTTGTTGTGGGTAGTGATGTAATCGTATTACATAGATGTAATCTTATAATATCTACGTAAAACATGTCCCATTTGAGAGTTTACGATACGATACATTACGATAATCCTCTCCAAGAAGAGACTTAGAGATTCAGAAACAGAACTTAGCGCGAACTTTGACTGAATTCTATTAATAGTTTTAGATTTTTTGTGGTTGCTTGTTTTTCCCTTGCTAAGCTAGATCTAATATAATTTATGTGTATGTGTATAAAATATATAAAGAGGAAAGATTTGATTTTTGTTTGTTTGAAATAGGTTCCGGAACTACTGAACCGATTTCAACAAATCTTTCACCGTTGGCAAGCTACACTATTCCCGAGTGACATAGGCTATGTTTCATTTTCAAAAAAATTAGGGATGCTTACTAAAACTTGAATAATCTAACCCAGGGTGTAAAAAAATAAACAAAAAACTTCCTTCAATCGCGTGCGCTGCGAAAACTATTAATGATAGAATAAAATTATGTATTACAATTTTTCAGGGCACATCACTAACTATAAAAAATATCACAACAGCATGACTCTATCTTTTATAGTTACGTCACAATAAGCGCCCTTTTATTATTTTTTTTATTAAAATTAGGGGTGCATCGATACGCTTTTTTGCCGATACTATACCGATGCCGATACACTTATAGGAATATCTTCGATACCGATACCGATACCAATGCTTATTGAATTAAAATTAAATTAAGGTAAAATATATCAAGTTAATTTAAAGTTTATAATTTTTATTAAAAAAATATACATATATACAAAAAATAGTCACAAACTTTGAATAATTTTAAAGGTTTTGTTACTAAAATTAAGAATTAAGAGTAATAATTAAATTAAAATAAAATAAATAACTGTTAAGAATTAAAATTAACAATGATAACATTGTTGTAATTCTGTATTTTATGAAATTTGGTATCGAAAAAATACTACTCGCGATAGCAGTTAAAAGCCAACTAAATGATCTTCAAATCTACGTTCAATAAAGTCTCAATGATCTCCCGCAAGCCATAATATCTAATAACTATGAGCTGGCAAATATAGTTGACTCGAGTAAAAATTTTGGTCTACTAATCAACCCAACAAGAGTTTTTCGTACTAACTACTAACTGACGTGAGACTGATCGTAAATTATCGTGATTCATGTGCACTTTTTATTTTTCATGTAGACTTTTTTTAGTTTATATGTAATATGTATTTTTGCCCTCCTTTTCATTTAATTATGTTTAATTTTGTAATGCAACAAAGTGTTAATAAATAAATAGTGTTTAGCGAAATGAAATACATATATACATAAATAATAATGCTTTGTCCCCAAGCGAATGATAGAGACAACAAACTGAATAAATCTCGGGGATTTCTCGGGCAACAATAGTCCGTGGCTCGTTTACAACAAACTAGATCATACAAAATGCGCGTTTACATTATTTTTTTAAAGCGTGAAATTTGAAAAATATCGGTGAATCGGCAATGAAAATATCGCCGATGCCGATATATCGGCAAACCCAAAGTATCGCCGATATATCGGTATCGGCATCGGTATCGGATGCATCCCTAATTAAAATCCACCGCTAGAAAAGACTCTTTATTCGTACCTAGGTATTGATCCTTATCAAAATAAATACCAACGTTTCACATAAGCTACAATTTAATGGCATAACCACCAAAAAGCATGGTGGATTTGTGTTCTCCTGCCGTTTCTCTTGAATAGTTTACTACTATGTAATATAACAAAAATCTTAGCCACAGCAACGCTTGGCCCAGTCTACTAGTATGTGTATAAAAATTTGTGATGTCATATTTTCTTGTATAATTTTATGCATACACGTGGTTTTAGAACTTATAAATAAAATCCAATACATTTTTGAGATACAGGAGTTATTTGTCTCGTCTCATTTGTATTACATTTTTCAGAACTGACGAGCTCATCCAAAAAACCATAAGAAAAACCTTCGCATCTTGTACTGTATTGACAATTGCCCACCGGTTAAATACAATTATGGATTCTGACCGCGTTCTAGTCATGGACAAAGGAAAAGTAGCAGAGTTCGATCATCCATATATACTCTTAAAAAACCCAAACAGTTTATTTAAATTTATGGTTAATGAAACTGGGGATAGCATGAGCAAAGCTCTCTTCGAAGTGGCGAAGAAGAAATACGAACAGAATACTCGAAATATCAGTTAAATAGGAGTTTGTTTGTTAATGACAAATTTGCGGAAATCGTACTTAACAGACAAATATATCGTATAAATTAGTTTATACCAACCCGGCAACCTCCAAAAGGTTCTTGGATTGAGCTGTTTGTATATTTCGTAATCAGTTTGACGTGACAACGTCTAATCTAATATATACAATTCTCGTGTCGCGGTGTTTGTGGTTAAACTCCTCCGAAACGACTTGACCGATTCTCATGAAATTTTGTGTGCATATTGGGTATAACTGAGAATCGGACAACATCTATTTTTCATCCCCCTAAATGTTAAGGGTAGTCCACCCCTAATTTTTTTTTTAATTTTTAGATAAAAATTTAAATTTAAATTTTTTTATGATACAGAATTAAAAAATACATACAACCCCTAATTTTCACTCCTCGATCGTAATCATCCCCTATTTTTTATTATAAATGATAAACATGGCAAAACAACGTTTGCCGGATCAGCTAGTAAGTAAATCTATAAACGCTGGCTGCACGCACAAAAAAAAAATTCATGACTCATTGTCCCGTTACGTCCACTATCCCGTTACGCTCATTGTACGTTTACGCCGCGTCTATATTTCTTCCACTCGATTAGAGGATGCACTCCTTCCTTGTGTCAAACAAAATAGAGATAATTCAATAAGAAATTATTCAATTTTATTCTTAAAAGTATGCAATCATTTTATCAATGTTTTGTTATGCCGTTGTCACGTTAAACTATCGTGCGTAAACCGACTTTACAAACAACCATTTCTTTAATATGTATGTGTTACCCGTGCCTGCATCGATTTTTAGGTCTAAGGTATGCCATTCAAGTCCATTGATGGACAGCCGTGATTCGACCGTGATTCAATTGATAGGGCACACATAATTATTATTATTAGTAATATATGACTGTTCTATCTGTTTTTGGTCTGTAATTAACATTTCTGTACAAATTTAGATATTTTTGTATATTTAAACTAATATTATGCAGCCTTCGTTTGTTTAAGCCCTTCTAAGGAAGCTGTTTTTATAGTCCGGGGAAGTTCTATGATTTGCCACACATAAATAATTTAACTAATTTACGATCAGAAAGTGTCTGAGCGGCTTGATCCCTTGGCGTTGCGTGGAGATGTGGGTTCTGAAGAGTTTTTCGGAGCCCACATCTCCACGCCTCCTGCAGCCGAGTTTCACGAACGTCAACGCAGAATACAAAATACCATCCGTATTACCACGACGTCCGTCGTTCCACAACTGAGCGTAGTTTAAGGCAGTTTTTGCCGCGCACCACTACTATGTGGAACCAGCTGCCCACTGAAGTATTTCCAAACCAATTCGACTTAGGGTCCTTCAAGAAAAGAGTGTACTAATTCTTTAAATACCGACAACGCACTTGCGATCCTTCTGGCAATGTGAGTGTCCATGGGCGGCGGCGGTATTACTTAGCATCAGATGAGCCTTTTGCCCGTTTGCATCCTATTACATAAAAAAAACTGTTTTTTTAACATTTCCTTTATTATCTCGTATCGCAATCGTGTTTTTATTATGTTAGAAAGGCTATCCAGCATTGTATAAGTTAGAAAGAGACACACACTGTTTTGTGGGTTTACTCTCAATTTGTATGAAAGTTACGCTTATTTTGTCGCGTGTGTACTAATTTAAATTATAATTATTGAAATAAAATGTCTATACTCTAATAAAAGACAAATTAATGAAGATGTGTTTTATTTACCGACTTCAAAAAAAACTTTAAGACTACGGATTTCAAAAAAAAATTCTCCATAGCTCCTTTGTCCGTGGACTTTCAAATAAATATATTAATATTCTAAATTCAGTTCATAATGTTAATTAATATAAATAAATCAGAGGCGCTACAACCTATTAGGCCTGGGCCTCAGATTTTTGTGTGTTTCATGATCATTTGACAATCTAAAGGCCTCCCGTGCCTGACACATGCCGTCGACTTTTTGGGTTTCGAAACAGTTTCCTCACGATGTTTTTCTTCACCTTTCGGGCGAAACTGGGGTTTGAACCTAGGACCTCAAGGGGCCGTACAAGTATCACACAAGCAGATTTACTGCAATTTATTCCTCCCCTTCCTCTTGTCAGCAAAAGTAAGCAAAGCTCTCAAGAATAATAGTACATAAACGTATTAATGTTCTGTAGGAATACTCGAAAAGCATTTCAAGCATTGACAATGTGTGGGTAATATGTGATCTACTAAGTACTTATTTACCATGACCTTGCACAAATAACAAATAGAAGAATGTTTAAGGAATTTATAATAAAATGAAACAACGTGACTTCACTTAGGGTCTGTTACACAATGTATGGATAAAGTACCAAATAGCTATGCAACACATAAATTATTTGGAAGATAAATTGTGCTATTTGACATTCACCGGACTCATAACTAATGATGGACTTTATGTGACGAATAGCGCTATCTGACAGTCGTGAAACGCAACAATAGTGTTTATCCTACCAATAAGTAGTAAATAGCTAATTTGGAACTTATGTAGAACTTATCCGTACATTGTGAAACCGACCCTTAGTATCAGAAGCAACTGACATTTTATTATGACAAAGACACGACATGATCATACAGTAGAACCGTAGATCGAAACAGGTGGCGCTAAAATAAACTATGTTTTTATTTTTATCTTTACTGTCAAGGAAAATATGAGAAGAGGAATAATAGAGCAGTAATAGCTTTAGCGTGCGACTCTCATCCCTGATGTCATAGGTTCGATCCCCGGCTTGCACCAATGAACCGTAAAGGAAAACTTCGTGAGAAAATTGTCGTAGACCCAAAGAGTCGACGGCGTATGTCAAGCACAGGAGATTGGTCACCTACTTAAAATAATAATAGTAAAAATTCATTTAAATGAAAATTAAAACATTCATGAAAATAGGTTGTGACAAAATTCATCTATCGCTGAGGGGTCAGGGAGTTCCTGTGTTGTGGGTGACTAGATAACTAGATAATTTGCCTATTAGATTGATTATGAAATAGATACAGAAATCTGAGGCCCAGGCCTAAAAAGGTGGTTTATAAGGTAAGACAGTCGTTTTTTATGTTTATATTAAGAAAAATGAATTTCAAGATCAACAATGGTTTGGTGGTTTTAATTTTTTAATATTCTTTTAGATATTCTTTCCGACTTTCTTCAAGGGTTCGTTTGTCGCAGCTATTTATGTTTTTTTATATTTTTTTTGTTTTATCTATTTTAATGCTTATACTATTTGTCCTGTTCACATAAATATCGTTGTCTCACATTCGTAAAACGTCCTACTCTATGTATTACTTCATCTGTAATACACATGACAGCGTCACACATTTTATGAAAATTTTACAAAACTTTCTAAAAAATAAAAAAAATCCAAAATGCCATAAAACATAACAATGGGTTGCGCATGCACTGATTCAACAAGCGACATAGATAAATCGGGGCTGTTCGCGAATCCTCACGTGTTCTACATAAGCGTTGCATTGGGGCTGGTGATTCTGTATTTAGTTTGGTCCCTGTACCAGTGTGAGCTGTGCTGTTAAAATAGCGGTGATTAAGAAGCAACGTAGACTGAGATGTTACCGCAATACTCCGATCACCTTTTCCAAGATGAGCTGCTGCGGGGACTGTTGTGAGGATTGCGGTGATATTGCATTTTATGAGAACCCCAGAGTTCAAGGACTGTTCCTGAGCCTCCTTCTCATTATACTGTACCTGAGTTATAAGATCTTTCGATGTCGTCATCCACGGAGGTGCATTCTTTAGTGAGTATTATTTTCAATAAATTATTAAGCTTTTTTTGCTGTTTAGCTTATCGTTGCGTTCTCTAGCGGTTCCAATTCACACTGGACCCGCTACCTTTTATATCATCCCCCATCTTATCTTCCTGCTACTCTTTCTTTTCCCACTTCTGGGTACCAGAAGTACCTCCGTGACAATTCTTGGTAAATATACCGTATCGCGCCACCAGCGATTTTGAGGCAGATTTTTTTTACAGTCGCGTTATGATCTGTAAACATCATAACTAGTATTGTTATAATGGCGCATGACTATTTTTGGCTAAAAAAAATCCAATTTTCAAAGTATTTGGAATTGATTCTCCTGTATTCACACAAGCAATAAGTGCTGTGCCTATACTTGTGGGGACAACGAAACCAAACACAAACAGAAACAAAGCATCATAGAGTTACCAAAAAAACTGTTTTTTGGACAGCACCGGCGCTGCGGGAAATGCACCCTTGCTTTTTTATATACACTCCAGGGGTAAGGCAGACAAGTGCACGTGGATAGTCGTGTGCTCTGATTCGGTTTTGGGTACTTTTTGATGAGATTTTTTTTTTGGTAAAAAATGTCATGCGCCATCATAACAACACTAGTTATGGTGCTGAGAACTCATGACGAAATCATTAAAAAAATCAGCCTCAAAATCGTTGGTGGCGCGATACGGAATATTATCCAATTTTTTTTTATTTTCATATCACCTAATTTTATTTCATCTTTGCTTTTCAAATTTTTCTTAAGTGTGTGTAATACATACACACACTAATTAAGAAAATTTATACAAAAAGATAGGATCACTTCTACAGTATAGCCCTCATCCAATTGTCTCCCATCTCTCTATCTTGGGCATTTGTTCCTAGTCTTCTCCACCAAATGGTGTGTTGGTATTAGTTGTAATAACGGAAATAAAAGATTTGAAAAAAATTAAAAAGTTTATTCATAATTCGATCTAACCAATAATGATACTATTCTGATGTTCTAAAACTAAAATATTTCAAAAACTAATTTCACATGAATATTGCAATCACTGAAAAATACAGCACACACACATGAAAGACGCTATAATGATTATTAAAGTGTTACCACAAAATAAAATAGATAAATTTACCATCAATACAAATGCTGCAAATTAATACTAACAATAATTCTTCATTCTTCGTCTATTAAACTGTAGAGTAGTGTTGCTGCGAAGTCGTAAGTTTGATTCTGGACCTTTGGACTTTCTATGTGCGGATTACCTGCCCATTCGCAGGAAATATCTTAAAACTAGACCCTGAATTTTGTGGCGTGTGTCAGACACAGGATACTTGCATATTGGAAAAATCAAATTACATGTTTGGTAAGGCTCGCAACTTGGCTTCATTTATTTATTTATTTAAAAGTTCTAAAACAATGTTTATGCTTAAAATTATACAAGAAAATATGACATCACAAATTTTACACCTATCAATTATATTAGGTATAAAGGGAAAAAATTAAACAAGCGACCACAAAATAAAAATAGAAGTTTCGGCAATAACCGCTCCCGAAAATAAGAGGTACACTATGTTAATTTCTTTGAATTGTACCTTTAAGATTGCACTGTACATCGCTCAACATTTTTGGCTTGTTTAGTGCATTTCCATTGCTTTATAATTTATGAATCACTATTCAACTATCTAGAAATCCACTGATTTTTGTAAATAAAACAAAGTAAATGAGTATTGTTTATTTTTCTTTCAGATCGCTTTGAAAGTAGGAAGTCTTTGCTATTTCGTAGAGTTGCTTGCTTATCTTTTCGCCGGTCTCCTTCACCATGCTGGTGAAGTGGCTGTTGGGGTTTGAGAGGAGGTGATAAGGATGATCGAACTCTGCAACTTGGCCTGAGCTCATCACTAACACTCTATCAGAATCCATGATGGTGTTCAATCTGTGCGCTATAGTAAGGACTGTACACGAGGCGAACTGTTTACGAATCGTCTGTTGAATGAAATTGTCGGTTCTGAAAAAGCATTGTTAAATTTAACGTTTCAATAAAACACAAGTTTTTAATTGTTTTTTTTTTTGTAAAAGCAAAGGACGTTGCCAGGTGATTGCCAAGTTCAGGGGACCAGTAGCAGTAACTACAGATGGGAAAGCTATAACTCAACATGGTCTTGGCTATAAAATAAATGAATCCGTAACTAATAAAAAATAATTTAGACAAGTTAATTATTAAAAAAGAGTTTTTCATACTAAAGCTGTCCCTTTGGCGACGCCCTTACACAAACACACAAACACACAAAAATGATATGTTACAGTTAGAATGGGAACTGTGAATCAAAATGATGAAGACGTTAATACCACGAGACAGAAATTAAATAGCTATTAACGGAATACTATGCTTGTTTTTCTTTAATTAAATTTTGAGTATTTTCGATCGAATTTCATTGGAATTGAATTGAGAAGCAAAACAAAGCGAAATGTTACTTTATAATATAAAATATTTATTTATCATTGATGCGAAAATATCAAATGGGTTAGGGAGCGTTCAAATATTACGTAACGCAATTTTTGGAGATTATTATAATCTTAGTGATGTAGATGAACAGAGGGATGATTACCTCCTTCCCTAATGAAAAATTAAATGCCTAAATAGGGGGTTGTAGCGCCAATACTTACTGTGGATCAACATTAGCGGTAGCTTCATCCATAATCAATACCTTGTTTGATCTAAGTACAGCTCTAGCTAAACACATTAATTGCCTCTGACCAACGGAGAAGTTGGCTCCACCCTCAGTCACTTTGAAGTCCAAGGACGGTATACTACCTTTCAAGTCCACCTGAAGGTTTTAATTGTCTTTTTAACTGGCTTCAAAAAAATTTTATCAGTAAAAATATTCTAACAGTCCAAATTTCATGAAATCGGTTCAGAATTTGGAATGATGTTTTGAGTAAGCAGTGACTCGACTCGACTACAGGTCTGTGGTTCAATTCCCGGTCTGAAAATTAAGCTCCAACTGGCTGTATATCCAAGCGAGCGAGGTCTGGGTGATCAAAAAATATGATACCACTAGGCTATTAAAGTTAGGCAGCTGGTGGCGTTTTTTTTATAAAACAAGAGGCAAACGAGCAGGAGGCTCACCTGATGTTAAGTAATACCGTTGCCCATGGACACTCTCAATGCGCGAATCAAGCCTTTTAAATACGCTGGGTAAGGGTGTGAATACCCTTCGAATGAGCATGTAAAGGTCAGCTCTAATATTGCTCTAACGTGATTTGTTATGTCGATTATTTGTTGAATCTTTTATCGAAATATCAAACGGGCAGGAGGACCATGTGTTGGTAAGTGATAACGCCATGGCTCTTACACTGGCATGAGTTCGTTGAAGGCCATATCAGATCCGCTGTTTGCCAAAGGAGGTCAGAGTCGTGAGTACTTCTGTCCATCAAATCCTATGCATTTAAGAGTCTAGACTGTACTAGTCTGGGTTCGATATAACCTCGAAGAGAAATTAGATTTGGTAAAGCACTTTTTGCCACGCACTGGAACCAACTGCCCATTGAAGTATTTCCGAACCAATTCGACTTAGAGTCCTTCAAGAGAGTTCCAACTATTAAAAGGCAACGCTAGTCTACCTGTTGTGTGAATGTCCATGTTTAACATCAGATAAGCCTCCTGGCCCCTTCCCTCTGTAAATAATCTCAATGGAGAAGCCTAAATAAGAGAACAAAGGTGTACCTGTTCAAGCGCTCTCCATAGCTCTTCGTCACTGTATATGTCGAATGGATCCAAGTTATATCGTATCGTAGCAGAGAAGAGAACGGGCTCTTGTGGGATGATGGAAATTTTTGAACGTAGATTCTGGAATAGTTATTTTGAGGTTTCAATAGGTTTTGGGACATGACTCTTCTATAATATTGTAAGTCCAGAGAGTTTCCTGAATATTCACTGATCAGACATGGTTTAGAATTTCTATATTTTTATTAGCATAACAAAAACTATTCATACATTTGAGTGCCTGATGGGATCGTAATCGCTATGCCTATTGGGAGCAACTACCTGATCATCATGTCACTCCCAATGCAAATCTAGAACATGAACTCTAAACAGAAGGACCAGGGGTAGGATTATCATCCTCTTTATAAAGTGACCTCTGTCATTAAATTAAGTACATAGCACAAATCGCTGAATTTCAGTATCGTTGTTAAAAAATGATTTTAAATGTTATGCCTTTGATATCATTTAAGATGATGAGGAACCGCCATTTAAAGACGTCCATTTTTATTATATAATAGATTTAGCCAAGAATTTTTTAATCTGGTTTCATTACTGGAATACAAATAAAGAGGGGCCGTTCAAGCATTATGTAAGCAGATTTACTGCAATTTATCCCCCCCTTCCTCTTGTCAGCAAAAGTAAGCAAAGCTCTCAAAAATAATAGTACATAAACGTATTAATTTTTTGTAGGAATCATCGAAAATTCATTTCGTTTTCAAGAATAGACAATGTGTAGGTAATATGTGTAAAAAAGTAAATAGATACTGTTGACGTAATCACTAAATAAGAAAATCAAGGACACACTCCCCCTCCCCCTCCCCTATAATGTTTACGTATATTATTTATTTATTTTTTTATATTTGAACGACTCCAGGGAATAAATATATATGTATCCAGAAAGCATATTAAGGTTTAAAAATGATTATTCTTTTATAAAAACATCGTGTTTTTGCAAGAACGTGGTACATTTAGATCGATCAATTATAAAAATCCGCACAATAAGCAATATAATAGGCATGCAAATGTAATAATTTCCTTAAGTCATATAATAAGAACATTAACGTTATGTCATAATAGTAAGTCATTATTGTTGTCAAATCACCTTCCCCTTCAAAGAATTACACGGCAGTGTCACATACATCAGAAAAACATAATATATCACGCCATAAAGAAAATATATCACGCCACCGTTGTACGCATTAGTGTCTATCTACCAAAAAACTTCGCTATTTTCCGAATCTCAGGTTATTCATCAAGACTCGAAATACGTGTATTGTGATTTTATGTAAATTTAATTAAAATAACAAAAACAAAACAAACTGCTCTTGACTGCTATGGGTTAGCATTTAAAACATACATTGATAAAGTAGAATCATTACAAACAAGATTTTTAAAATGACTAGTAAATAAAAAGACAAGGAATCTATGTAAAGGAGATGATTATAAACTATATAAAATATGTAAAATTCTACCGGCTAGCCTGAAACATAAATTCCTTGTTCCTGTAAATAACCATAGCCGGCAGGATCGTGTAACTAGTTTAGTGCAACATATAACTGACACAAGGTCTATGTCCAAAGGTAAATCTGAAATACCCATAGTGCAAAATTATTATGGAGACAGAACGTTGAAGAAACGGGTTCCATACTTGCTCAATAGTTTACCCGAGGACATTAGACGTGAGCCTTCACTGGATAAATTTAGAGGTTTACTAACACGTTCACTGCGTCATCATTTTCAAAGAACTTTCAGCTGGTGCTTTGGAGACCTAAAAGATCTCGTAACAAGCCTATCCTTTGGTGCGTTGGAGATCTAATCAGTCTCCTAAACATACAGTTTTGAAAATAATTTATATCTTCCAAAAAAACAATGACATATATTTTTAAGTTTTTGTGGGTGAAAGATAGCTTATTGCTTTATATTTTGCTAGGTTCGCACGCAGTTACGACATTGGAATAAACTACAAATACCAAAAAAAAATTAGATATCGATTCTATCTCGTACCGCACCCGAAGATAGTTCAATATGTGTAGTAAGTAGTGATGGGAATAAAATAATATCTCAGTTATCAATTCTAAAAGTTTTATTAATCATGCAAAGTGTTTTTCATTTAAACATGGTAAGCACATTGATTGCTTGCACATTACGCGCAAAAGTATAACAATTCGTTTAGATTTTTTAGAAGCGTCAGTGCTGTTTAACTGCGTGTGCTCTAACGAAAAAGGTTCATCGTTTTCTTTGTAGGTACGTCAAATATTTCATAATCAGAATCACTGTCATTGTTAGCCAATGGGGGGCAAATTTGGACGTTTTCCAACATTTTTATCGACTTCCCATGTCGATTCTGAACAACACTAAAAAGAGTCACGCAGCGCCCGCGTCGCCCATCCTCCCTCTCTTGCGTCTACGAGGCGTACGATTTTACGAGTACCGACATATCTCCTAACGCAAGGAATTAAAACAATACATTACTGTGCGTTAGGGACCTAATCCATCTCTAATTTATTTTTTAATGTCCTTTAATTCAGCTTTAAGTAAGAAGAAAATATATATATTTGTCCTGCTTATACTTAAAGAACTTTACAAGTTACATCCTCCCGCAAGGAGTGAAAAAACACGATTATGTTCAACGCACAATACAAGTCCTGCAAGAGATCTGATAGATCTCGTAATGCAACGAATGTGTTAAAAAAACATTTGTTAAATATGCTGTAACCTATAAGTAAATTAATTAGTGTGACCTAATTTAGTGATTTAGAAGTTATGTTTTTTTTAAGGCGAGTTACCTGCAGACATGGTTTGAATTAAGGTGTAACTTTTTTGTGAATAAATATATTAAAATAATAAATAAAAAACAAAGTAATTCCTTACCTGCCTAGCCACCAGAGATGTGTCAATTCCATCAATTATGATATTTCCGTCAATAAACGCAAATCTAAAAATGGCGGAGATGAGCGATGATTTCCCAGCTCCCGTGCGTCCCACAATGCCGACCTGTCAGCACCAGAACAAATGTAGTTTATTATTGAGAGTTCGTGTTACACAAGACAAAGTTATTCGTGTAAGATATCTTTTATTAGAACAAAAATAAAATTATACTTTGTAGGTCTGAGATTAGAAGCATTTAATTTCCATTTCTTTTTTGACGTACATAAGTGTACAGACCCACCAACTTATCTGTGAAATGGAGAAAATGGGAACTACGGCCGCCATGTTGAATTTCGGCAGCTACAGGTTAGTGTTGTCTACTTTCTTTTTGTAAATTACCCGATATTTTTTTCATTAATTACTTTTTAACATAATTGTAACTTAAAGAATATAAAGCTGAGTGATTAGTGAACCTATAGTTCTCATCACGTAAAAATAACGCTGGAATATGTATGTATAGAAGCTAATGTACGTATCTACCTACATTAATTTCCCTATGTTTGAAGACTATTTAGTACTCATATTACCATTTTATTATTATAAAACAATGTTAGGTATTGTTTAAAATAATAAAATTATGTTTATCTAGTTTCTTATCTGTTATACCCAATCATGGGTAACTTCTATTAATTTGCAACACTAAAGCGACGGTGGCGCCACCACTAAGTTCACAGATAAGTTGGTGGGACTATACATTGTGTTACCTATATGAATACTGATTTTGATTGATTAATTGAGTATGAATAAAATTGTCTTCAAACCTTCCAACCACTTTCGATAACAATATTTAAGTTTTTCAAAACTGGAGCTTCATCCGGCGCATATCTCATGTTGACGTCTTGGAACACAATTTTACCTTGGGACGGCCATGTTGGAGATTCTGCAATTTCTGAAAGAAACAGGGAGGAAGCTAAATTTCTATTTATAAACACAGATAATAATGATAACTAAGCCTCGTTTATTCCTTGAAACATTCATCCATCTTTAAAAAATATATACACATTTAAAATTTTATACAGAAATAATTATAAATAAGTTTTCAAAGTCAAACTTCTTTATCGGCGTTAAAATATGACATATAGTATGTTTTTGACTTTGAAGTTTGACAACGGATTACATTTTCGACTTGAAATTTGCTAATCGCAATTTGCAGCAATTAATTTGTAAATTGTATGCTAGGCAGTGTATCAAAATTTACTGTGTTTAAAGAAATAGTTTCTAATAAGGTCATAAAGAAGTTTCACTTCTTACGTGTGTATACCTAGTACACGCACACATTTTTATTTTTACAAGAACTTCTTATGCCTCTTCCAATTGGCTCTATTTTGAGCATTTTTCTCCCAATCTTCTCCACCAACTTCTTTAATATCATCAGCCCGCCATTAATCACGGTGACTTCTCTTTCTTTTTCCTGGTGGTCCTTTCCACCTGATACCCTCTTTTCCCAACTGCCATTGGGTATGGCCCACCCATTTAGACATGGACATAACATTAATTACCAGCGGAACACACAAATAATAATAATAAAAAAAGTGCGTGCGTACAAAGTACACATGTCAGAAGTGAAACTGCTTTGGCAAACTAGTTCTTAAGTCTTGTTCATATTTATGCAAATCTAAAACTTTAGATTTCTGAGACTTAGAGGAAGGGATTTTTTTTAAATTTATTTCTTCGGTAATAAAAACACGTGTCATTTTAATTTACCATTCGTCATTAGACATTCCAATAAATTATTGTGCATAAAATATAAAATAGTGATAATTCATAAATTCTCTTTACGAAATTCAATTGCTCTCTCCCTTTCCTTCGACAAAAACGCTGCACATTTACGTGACGCTAATTATTATAATTATTACGTTTCATCCGTAAAATGTTTACCCTCATGCGCCTAAAGAAGTATCACTTCAAAAAAAAAGGATGAAAAAAGGATTTTTTTCTTTACAGAACAAGGGGCGTTGTAAGTGTGTAATGTGTGGGTGTTCTGGTAGTAACTGGCCCGGGCTCAGCATTATCCTAGGAGCAGACTGAACAGCTTCTAGGAATGACCAGCGCTGCGGTTTCTGCCAGAGACCATAACAGCTAGTGTGTTTTTCCACTAAAGTTTTTTGCAATGGCATAGGGCATCAATAACTTTTGATTTATTTCTTATTTCTTTTCTTACCTTATTCTTTAGTTTTGAATTTAACTACGTTCCATTCCTTGTTGACAAGTTGTTATGTTACAAACACAGATAATACAACAAAATACTAATAACAATGATAAAAGATCCAAGTTTAAGAAGAGAATATTTTTTTTTTAATTTATTCAAAAAACCTTTTTAAGTCCTCTTTCGTCTCTTTGACAATATTTTGATTGCACTGTTATGAAAAGAGACAAAGCTTGCGTACCCTACCTTATGAAGTCTAATGTTCTATGTAACTGTCTCTTTCTGTCACATTTTGTATTGATATAATTAAAAAAATAACAGCCCTGCGATTCTGTAACTCACTTTTGTGAGTTCGAAAAGTGAGTTACAGAATCGCAGGGCAGTGCAGTGGTAGTGTAACTTTTAATATTGCCTTTGATTTGATGACTACTAAAGTAATTAGTAAGTAAGTCTTAATTAATACAGGGCGCGGTCAACTGTAACCCGTAAAACTTGACAAATACCTAAATCTCATGAATAATTCTAGACATTGGTGAAAACCTCTATAAATTCCGAGCGAGCTCATGAAACTGTCCGACAGCGGCGGAGGACTGGTTTTTATCTATACTAATATTATAAAGAGGATAGATTTGTTTGTAACGAATTTGCTCACAACAGTACTGGACCGATTTTAAAAATTATTTCACCATTTGAATGCTACATTATCACTGATTAATACAGGCTATTTTAATTGACAGGAAAAAATAAGCATCCCTAATAAAACTACTATAATGTTACCCAAGGTAGAAATGAAATGCCTATACAAAAAAAAAAAAAAATGTCGACCCGCGCGAAGCCTGGACAGGCCGCTAGTAGATTATAAAAGTTAGACAGAAATTAGGTTAATATATGACACACAACTTCGTGGCCATTATTATTATTATTATTTTTAGTTGTATTTTTTACTCATAATTTAATTTAAAACAATGTTATCTGTGAAACAATTAAGGGCATATATAACCTGTATATATTTTTGATGTGAAACATCTATAGCCGCACGTAAAACCGATTTCTGGCGTGGCGACGCATGCCGTGGCGACGCCACGCTATATGATGGTATATTTTATACAGTCTTAGATATGCAGTAGTGTGTACGGTGTGTGTATTTCTAAGTCACTGATTAAACGAATTAAGTAGTCACGATTTGAAATAAATTCGTAAATTTTTGTATTTAATGAAAATAAATGTTTATTCAATAAATAGTCATCGTTATCTGGAAAAAAATCGTAATATTTTATTTTATCATTATGACATATTTAGTTCCTTTCACAATCTGTTCTTTTCTGCATATTACTTTTACAAAATAATGTCGATGTTTCACATCTGCCAGGCGTCCCGTGACGGCTCACATTTTTTTAAGAGCAGTGTTGGCCTAGTGGCTACAGCGACTCTCATCCCTGAGGTCGTAGGTTCGATCCCCGGCTGTGCATCAATTGACTTCCTATGCATTTAACACTCGCTCGTACGGTGAAGAAAACCATCGCGAGGAAAGCGTCTTAGACCCAAAAAGGCAACGGCGTGAGTCAGGCACAGGAGGCTGATTGTCTATTAGATTGACAAATGATCATGAAACAGATACAGAAATCTGAGGCCCAGACCTAAAAAGGTTGCAGCACCACTGCTTTTATTTATTTATATTTTTCTACATTTCTTGTATTTGTGATGTGTCATGTTTCCTTATTAATTAATAAGATTGACCTGTATTGATTTTCTAGATATATTTAAGTATCCATTTAGCCTTCCAAACACATGTGGGCTCTCACACAACACAACACTCTTTATTATTTCATTATAATTATTGATTTTTGCAATCTATAGAAATAAATAAATGTCTATAAAAACGTGGATTGGTGTCGGTTGTTACATTGCCCGTTTAAGATGTTTTACGCGTCTTGAAAAGCGTAACGTGCAAACAAAACGTAATTATTATGTTCTAATGTGAGAGAGAGAGAGAGAGAGAGAATATGTAGGAATTCAATTATAGATTTGTCAGGGAATGATTTAAGGATTATTGTTACAACCAATCAGAGCAGAGCTAATGCGTCATTTTAGTTTTTTTGAAGTTATACTTCTTTTGGCGCGTTAGGGGAAAATGATGAGAGTAAATTTTTACGATGCGCGCGCACACCGTTAGAAAAAACCGACACCCTGAAGTTAGCTATAGTCAAAATTTTAGTTTTTTTGAAGTTTTTGAGGCGTTAGGGAAAAATAATGAGAGTAAATTTTTACGATGCGCGCGCACACCATCACAAGAGGCCGACACCCTGAAGTTAGCTATAGTCAAAATTTTAGTTTTTTTGAAGTTTTTGGGGCGTTAGGGAAAAATGATGAGAGTAAGTTTTTACGATGCGCGCTCACATCGTCACAAAAATCCGACACCCTGAAGTTAGCTATAGTCAACATTTTAGTATTTTTGAAGTTTTTGAGGCGTTAGGGAAAAATGATGAGTGTAAATTTTTACGATGCGCGCGCACACCATCACAAGAGGCCGACACCCTGAAGTTAGCTATAGTCAACATTTTAGTTTTTTTGAAGTTTTTGGGGCGTTAGGGAAAAATGATGAGAGTAAATATTTACGATGCGCGCGCACACCGTCACAAAAACCGATACCCTGAAGTTAGCAGTTAGTCAAAATTTTAGTATTTTTGAAGTTTTTGAGGCGTTAGGGAAAAATAATGAGAGTAAATTTTTTCTAGTGTTGTGTCGTTTTTTTTTTTTTACAAACGTAGTATAAAATTTTTGAAAACGTTTTTATTTTGTTACTGTTAAGTATAATTTCTTAGGCGTGTACATAAGTACACACACGTTTTTTATTTGTGACACACATTTGTGACACCCATGAACCCAAATTCTTTTTGATTTCTTCTGTCTTTTATTTTCTTATTTGGTGATTACGTCAACAGTACTTATTTACTTTTTTACACATATTACCCACACATTGTCTATGCTTGAAAATGAAATGCGTTTTCGAGCATTCCTACAAAAAATTAATACGTTTATGTACTATTATTTTTGAGAGCTTTGCTTACTTTTGCTGACAAAAGGAAGGGGGGGGGGATAAGTTGCAGTAAATCTGCTTTGTTTACTTGAACGGCCATTACATGTTTCCTTTTTATTCCGTTAGTTAAATTTATCCTGCAATTCTAATTGATATTTATGTAAGTTGTTGATCACGTTGAGCGTTAATTAATTTAACTGAACTTACAGTTAATTAAAAGTTATCTCCGAAGTAGAATCAAATAAAAGTTCGCAATTTTTCTGTCTGATTCATAATCATTTGTCAATCTAATAGGCAAGTAGGTGATCAGCCTGCTGTTCTTAACACGCCGTTGACTTTTAGTGTACTTACATATTTTAACACATTAGGAGATTAAAGATTACTGTCTCTTTCTTCTTGTATTATTTTTTAGTAGATCTACCAATTTTGAAAATTCTTTTACCAATAGAAAACCATGTTATTTGCGAGTGTAATACGGTGAGCTGAAAAGTTCGTAGCCTGACACATAGATGGCGCCACTAGTAAACAGCAGCTGGTGGTGCGCGGCAAAAACTGCCTTAAAATATTTAATAATCCATTCAAATTCTATAGAAAAAATTCTATGTTAGGCTAGGAACTTTTCACCCCACCTGTTACAACACGAGAAATGGAAAGCCTTTTCATGGTCGTCGGATTTGCAAAGAAGGAAAACGTTTTCAAAGGCTGCTTTTTGTAGAGAGAAAATGGAGCTTGATAATGTTTACAAAACGACAGCATATCCAACACTCCATCAAAACTCAACTCAAACACTGAACAAAATATTTTGCGATTTTCACCAATATCTAGAATGATTTATGAAGTTTAGGTATTTGTTAAGGTTTACGGGTTACGGTTGACCGCGCCCTGTTTCAGTTAAGGCTGCTTTAGTAGTTATCAAATCAAAGACAATATTAAAAGTTATACTTTATCTACTGTACTGTTATTTCTCTTTTTATTATATCACATTGACAGAAAGAGACAGTTACTTAGAAAGTTAGACTTCATAAATAAGGGGGTAGATATAAAAAAAACTGTGTCTTTTCATCAGTGTGCAAACACTTTTAGGTTTTACGATGGTTCATTAACGGACGTCGAGGCAGAATACGAAATTCCACCCGTATCACCTCGACGTCCGTCGTTCCACAACTGAGCGTTTTTTAAGGCACTTTCAGCACCACTATGTGGAACCAGCTGGGTCATATTAAGTATTTCTCAACCAATTCGCCTTGGTGCCCTTCAAGATAAGAGCATTCCAATATCTAATAGACTAGCAACACACTTGTGAGCCTGGCCTTGAATGTCCATGGGCTTCACTGCACTTCACCCATTTTCCTCCCTGTTCTATAAAATAAAGATACTCACGTCCTTGGAAGAGATTTGGTTCTGTATCAATTTTGGTGTATTCCAAGACTCTTTCAACGCTGGTGAGTTGGGCTAAGAACTCCACCAACATACGAGCTCCATGCTGCAACATAGCCGTCAGCATGTTGCTCTGGGTGACGGCCAGACCCACGCTGCCTACTGCTATTATACCACCTAGAAAGAAGATAAGAGAATGAAGTGGATTCTTGGCAAGTCTCTATTGAGACCCAGGATTGTAGCGCACAAGATCCTATATCATCATGTCAATCCCCCTTCTCAAAGTGATAATTCTCTAATTTCGCTTGGGAATTTGTCGTATAAACGAATACAATTTCCATATAAGGAGTGGTCCTTCTGGAGCCTGGATGGTCGTACACTCAAATTAGTTCTATTTCGCGTATTTAACTGGTGAGAGTCACCATTTGTTTTAAAATCGTTTATATTTTTTTGTACATACAAAGGCTTCAAGAATATATTGACCAGATAGTGTCATAATGTTTAATTCCTTTAACTTATTCCGTAGCTATACCCCGAACAGCCGCCGAAAGATAAATTGTGAAAAGATTTCGAAATATCTGAATTAGGGGTCAGGAAATGAGCATAGCATTCCCTTAGAGGCCGGCAACACACCCTGGCAGGTCCATGGACAGTTAACACTTTATTTGTGACCTACTTGCTGCTTTACCTCCTGTCTTATAAAATAATCGTACTACAGTTCAAAGTAGTACAAAAAAAATTCTTACCGAAATCAAGGTACAAGAAGACGAATATGATGACTGTCAGGTAAATCTGACACATCGTGTCCAAGTAGAAGCCGAATGTGCAGCCTCCGCCCAAGTAGCAGTTCCATGCTGATGTGTGAACGTCCTGTAATGATATTCATTCCAATCAAGCGTTTTTTCTCTAGTCACGTGACCATTGCTTTTAAGGCTCGCGATTGCGTTGTCGATCTTTTGACTGCGTGTGAATTTGATTATTTATTGAAGAACCGCCCTTCTATGGAAAACTTGATCACTAAACTAACGAAAGTAAATCTTTATTGAAAGACTGGTCGTGCAGGGCAAGACTAAAAATGTCTTTCGTCTTTTGAGGCCATAGAAAAACCACTAGGCCAATGTTTTTCAAGCGGGGGAGCCTTGAGGGGGTCGAGATTGTATTAAAAGGGGGTCGCAGTCTGTTGAAAAATAATAAATACAAACTACCTATAGGTACAAATACTTCGTTAAAAATAGCGCGCTATGTACTTAATATAACTTTACAGTGACGGGGTCACAAGACTGGTTTACTCTACTTTTTGGCTTTTTCGTGGCGACATAAAAATTGTTGAGAAACGATGCACTAGGCCGTAGCCTAGACTGATATGATTCTGAACCAAGGAACTCTTTATTGACAAGATTATGAATGACTATAACTATGATTAGATTATGATGCACCATTGGAGTATTTGAAGTATGCATGTAACTATGTGGAATAGGGGCCTCATAGCCTAGCGGTCTTATTAAGTGGCAGCTAGGTGAGGGGTACCGGTTCGAGGGCAAGTTTTTAATTTAATTTAAATTTGTTCTCGGCCTTTGGGAGGGTTGTGCGGTACCGGGCAAGTGCCTAAACCGTACATGGAGGACATGGTCGAATTTCTAAGGCAAAAAGCGCGAATTACAAAAATCTTATACTTGACGCTGGCTAATGCATAAACCGTGCCAGAGCCATGAAAAAAAGAAAAAAAAAATATGTGGAACCAGCTGCCCACTGAGGTATTTCCGAACCAATTCGACTTAGGTTCCTTCAAGAAAAGAGCGTACCAATTCTTGAAAGGCCGGCTACGCACTTGCGAGCCTTCTGGCAGTGTGAGTGTCCATGGGCGGCATAACTTAACTCCTGCCCGTTTGACTCCTAGTTTTTATAATTTATGAATCGATGTAGTTTTCTTCGTGTTTGTTATGTTTAAGAGCAGTGCTGGTCTAGTAGCTTCAGCGACTAACTCCCGAGGTCCTAAGTTCGATTACCTTCTGTGCACCAATGGACTTTCTTTCTATGTGCGCATTTAACATTCACTCGAACAGTGATGGAAAACATCGTGAGGCTTGTCTAAGACACAAACAGTTGACGTGTGTCAGGCACAGGAGGCTGATCACCTACTTGCCTATTAGAACAAATGATCATGAAACAGATACAGAAATCTGTTAGTGCTACTGATTATTATTATTGTTTGTTATTCCTATAAGTGCTTGTCACATAAAAATCTTGTATTTTATTTTCTTGTGCCAATGTAACCAATGTATCAGTTTGCCGAGCGTTGACAAGCTTTCATAAATAAATGTATATTGTCTCTGAAACTTAAAGTTATAAGTCCGTTATATTCAAGCTTAGACCAGGATTCAATCAAATTGGCAGAGTAGCGTTGGAGGTTTTTGGGTATCCATTTTTGAAGTGGAGATCTAAAATAAATTATATCGCTTCAAAAACTTTTGCTTATTTCATGTCTTTTAAAGGACCTTACCTGATGCCGGTCAAAGTCATCAATCAATCGACTTTGTGCACCAGCAGATCGGATAGTTGCAATTCCATTGAGGGATGATGTCACCATCGAAAAGACGGGGCTTTTTGCTAAAAATTACAATGATTTGTTATTATAATATGGACTGGATTGTCCACTGCTGATAGAGGATAAATGTTTCTTTATTTATTGTTTTATTCCTTGGCGATTAAAGTAGAGGGGAGTTGCCAACTCTTCTGTACTACAAGGACAAGGACAGTTTGTAAGAGACAGAAGAGTTTTGAATAAGTTCATGAATGAATATTTTGAATTAATTTTCGGTGAAGTATGTCGCGACAGCAAAATTATCGGATAAATGTTTTTTTTGGTTTTTTAGGAGAATTTTCAGATTTCCTTTCATCAGGAATAGAGCAGTGTTGCTCTAGTGTCTTTAGCGTGTGACTCATCCCTGAGGGCGTAGGTTCAATCCCCGGCTGTGCACCATGTAAACATCGTGAGGAAACCGGCTTGCCTTAGACCCAAATAGTCGCCAGCGTGTGGACACAGGAGGCTGATGAAAATGATCATGAAACAAGTACAGAAATCTGAGGCCCAGATCAAAAAAGGTTGCAGCGCTACTGATTTATTTTATTTTTTAAATTTTAAGATTCTTTAATACTTCATATTTATTATTTGATAATGATTAAAAATATTAGTGTTATTATATATAAATCAACAATCCAAATAGGATTGCCTAGATAAAACTCCACTGTCAGCAAATAGTAAATTAATAAACAAAATTCATATAACTCACTTGTTCCCTCCAATCTCTTCACACCTTGGGCCGTTCGAAGATAAACTTTGACAAATAGTACGAAAAGAATCATCAGCAAAGCCGAAGGAATCAGTGTCCAATACAGCGCGATAGCATTTAGTACCAAAATAGCAATCAATGTACTATATATTTGTAAAACATCAAGCAATGTCCGCGGTAATATCTCGTCCAAGGCTCCCATGTCTTTCGTAAATCGGTTGAGGATACGACCTGGAAGAATGTTTTCGTTTATATGAGCTGTTTATTTTTATTTATTTATTAATACTTTATTACCTTAATCAAAAACTTACACATAACAAATATAAAAAAAACTGGTTACAAAAGTTATAAGGCAACGGGCGGCCTTATCGCTAACAAGCGATTTCTTCCAGGCAACCCTAAAGTGGAACAATGAAAAAGAAACACCTACAGAGGGTAGAGTACAAGTAATGCAAAAATTATTAACAAAAAAAAACTCAAAATAACAGGTTACTATAGCTAAAATAAAATAAAGTAAAATAAGACAAAATAACAATAATAATAAGTAAAAATATGTAGAAACAAAAATTTTAAATACAATCAAAAGGTTAACATAATTAATATATATCAGCGGAGCTAATTACGAGGCAGATAGAAAATGATCAAAAAGGAGCTGTTTCCTCATCAATTACCAATAGTCCGTAAATCGTACGGTGAAGGAACATCCTTACTGAGCTCCAGATGGCTGAGACCCAAAATGGCATGGCCTAACCAGGAATCCCCACCGCTCTCTACCCTGTCCTACTTCCCGCCAGTAACTGGCTTAAACTTACACGTCTTAGATCCAAAATATAGGAATGGCTGATCATCATTGTAGCGCCAATAAGAGAGAATGACGAGCAAGAACTTGAGACACTGGTGTGTCACCACAATCTGTTTCTGCTGTCAGATAATATAATTATGACACCTTTGGAACGCTCATAAGAAGATGAAAATGAAAAGGCAAATTTGTGAAAGATAAATTTAAAAGTGTAAAGTCTAAAATTAAAAATATTGATTTTTACGTAAGTCACGTGACACAAACCGTTAACAAATAAGTCGAATGGAGAATAACGTAGCATGTTTGTTATTGTGTGCCTGCCTAATTGCAATACTATATTGGAGTTTAAAATAATATATGTATGTTCTGTTTTTTTATTTAATTTATATAATAGGGGGTAAACCAGCCTGCGGAACGCCCAACAAGGGCAGTCATCGCAGCCCATAGACACCCATTTTTAGTAGGTGCGTTGCCGGCCTTTGAGAGAGGAGTATACTCGAATTTTGAACATTCCGAGCTCGTATCTCTCAGGGAAAACCCCCACCGGGAGTCGAATCCACAGTTCGCTAGTTCGCAAAAGAAAATGCCTTGTGAAACGGACTGAAAGACTTCCAGCCATCAAGGAGATGTTGGTGAAATTTAGACTTCATACGGCTCGTACGGTGTTGAAACGAGGCAGGAGGGATCAACCCAAACAATTTCAGAACACTCACCGTAGTACACTTTATAGAAAACGCAAAGAGACGCAATGTCTCTGCTTAGAAAGAGATAATCAAGCCGATCAGTAAGACATTGGAGATTGACAATTCGACAAGCCCTTCGCTGAATTTGGTCAAAAGGAAGAAGCTGGTATTTGGGAGCACCAGCCCAGCTGTTATTATATATGTATATTATTGTATGTACCATGTAGCCTCAATAGCCATAGCGCTATTATTACGTGGTATTGCGTGGAACAAGTCAATATTGAAGTTAGCATCACAGAGAGCATACAAGGAGTTGTAAACTAAAACTCATACACGTATAAAAATACTTAAGTTTTGTTTAAATAATTAAAAACAGACGCAAAATTTCTTACGAGAATTTAACCGAGGGTAGTTACAATAAACTATTTATCAAACTACCTTCATTGTATGATTTCAACTCTAACAAAAATAATATAGATAACTAGCTGACCCGGCAAACGTTGCTTTGACATGTATATTATTTCTAGGAAACATTTTTTTAGTTTAATAAAAATAACTATCAATAATAAAAAAATAGGGGTTGTATGTATTTTTGTATGTTGTATCATAAAAAAATAAAAACAAAAAAATTTGTCTAAAAAATTTAAATTTAGGGACGTCCCTTATCATTTAGGGGGATGAAAAATAGATGTTGTCCGATTCGCAGACCTAACCGATATGCACACAAAATTTCACGAAAATCGGTCGAGCCATTTTGCAGGAGTTTAATTACAAACACCGAGACACGAGAATTTTATATATTAGACTAGCAGACCGGCCAAGCGTTGCTGTGGCTAAGGTTTTTGTTATATTACATAGTAGTAAACTATTCAAGGGAACGGTAGGAGAACACCAGCCATGGGGACCACCATGCTTTTTTGGTGGTTAAGCCATTAAATTGTAGCTTATGTGAAACGTTGGTACTTTCAACACAGCGCCATCTGTTAGAATTGTGACTATCAAATAATAAACAAATATTTTGCAATAAAATAATATTGCGGGTATAAATTGAGATGTAAGCTATCCTATCTTTTAAGTTGGATCAAACTACACACGGTGTGCAAATTTGATTGATATCGGTTCGGTAGTTTAGGAGTCCATCGCGGACAAACAACGTGACACGTAATTTATATATATTAAGATTATAGGCTTAATTCCATCCTATATAATTAGTAGTTTGAAACTGGTGTCTGGCTATGTGAATAAATTATAAACTAATACATATTAATGTAGCCCGCCATCCGCATTGCGCAAACTAAACTCAAAGCAAGCTTTTTTATGATTATCTCATTTGCGTAACAAGTAAGTAATTTATTTGCCAAAACCAATAAAATTTGAGAAAAGGTTTCCCTCTTAAACCTTGCACAAAGACTTATGACGTGTGGCGTCCCTATTCGGAACTACTCCAAAACGAATGGACCGATCATGATGCAATATGCTATTTTAGAAGAGTACCGAGAGTTTTTTACGCCGGCTTTTTCTCTCGGCCTACACCCTGTCTTCTTTACCCATGAGTAGGGATGCCTACAGATTTAAATTTAATGACGTGGAATAAGTGATACCTGTACCTTATATTGCAACATAATATTTTATTTATTTTTATTTTATTTTAGAAGATGGAGAAGGTTCTCAGCTGTTGTAGATACAAAATCTTCTTAACGCTTAAACATAGATATGTTCAAGCGTTCAGCTGTTTGTTGTCTAAGTTTGGCCACGTTTGACAGTTGATGCTGGTGATTGATTATATGTATATCAAATTACGAATTGTAAATTAATGTCACACGTGATTTTATTATTGAAGAAATAAATTAAAAAAATTAAATTTATAATTTGTATTAATTTTCGCAACTTTTAATATTTTAATAACAATAAAATTCATTAAATTTCTAATATATCTTCCTTTTTCCCTCCCTCTAAGTCTCGGAAATCTAAAATTTTAGATTTGTATAAATATGAACAAGACTTAAAAATTAGTTTGCCAAAGAAGTTTCACATCTGACATGTGTCCTTTGTACGCACGTACTTTTTTTTATTCCACTCGATGTGCTGTAAAAAATAAACAACAATTCTTACCCGAAGAACTTGTATCGAAGAATCTCATGACACCCTTAATCATGGTGGAGAACATGAAATCATGTAGCCGTTGAGAGGCTTTTGCGCAAAGCGAGGCGAAAGGCCAGACTCGGAAGTTGGTGAAGAAGATGCACGCTAATACTATACATCCGTGGATGAGGAGGTACTGGCCCGTTGTAAATGGACCCACTTGGACATTTAGACCTGGATCTGGAATGCAACAGGTGTTATAAAATCTGTAAAACCTCAAATCGATAGGAGGACTGTTAAAATTATATATCATCCAAAAAACCGTCAAGCCAAAATCGGTTTACGGTTTAAGACAAAATTGTTTTGACAAAAATAATTTAATAATTACCTAATTCATTCCCTTGCATTTCCTCCTCGTATGCTGCCATTTGATTGGACCTGAAATCATCAATCCTTTAACAATTTGTATGAACCAAAATAAAGAAGATTCTATACTCTTGAAATTGGGTATAACGCTATGAATACTTACAATGAATACCAGCTTCCTGAACTTTAGATTTAAGACAATAAACGAATAATTTTGGATTCAGGTGACTTTGAATAAGGTAATAACCGCCGCCCATGGATACTTGCAACGCCAAGGGTGTGTTGGCGACCTTTCAGGGAATGGTATGCTTTTTTCTTGAAGGCCTATTCCTATCGGTTTGGAAATACCTCTACTGGCAGTTGATTCTACAAAAAGGTGGTACGCGGCGGAAAGTGCCTTAAAAAACGGTGTGTTGTGGAACTACATACGTCAAGATGGAAAGGATGCTATTATACCCAAATATTCGGCAACTCCAACAATGTGCAAGTTAATATGCAGATTTGGCATGTCTTTGATTCCTTGGAGGATGGGGCGGGTATGGGATGCTACTTGTGTGGACACGTAAGAAAATTACCGCAGAGCAGAGCAGGAAAAATAATAAACGGCTCAAATATAAGAGGTGCACAGTCATTTGGTTAAAGTGCACAGCCAGTTAAAGAATTCAGTTGACGCCTAGTAGATAGTACCAATGACCCCAAGGCTGGTGCTGTCGCAAAACTAATAAATATCGCAATACAGCGAGTAAATGACATTAAAGGCACACAGGCACACAGGCCGCCGGGGCCAAACTTTTTAGTTGTGTCTTTGTTCATTTTAAATTATTAATATTAGTATATAGAATTATATGTACTATGTAAGTAACACGGGTGTTACATTCTTGAGGCCTGAGCCTCAGATTTCTGTGTTTAGTTTTTTTCTGATATGCCTTCTGTGCCCAAAGTACCGTCGACTTTTTGGGTGCATTGCTAGTTTCCTAACGATGCTTTCATTCAGCGTACCAGCCAGTGATAAATGCGCTAGATAAGATAGTATATAATCTAATTGGAATTACCATCTAATTACCTATATAATAAAGATAATATTCATAAGTGTACATAGTACATAAAGATAGGTGTAAAATGTTCGGTATTTTCTTTGTGTATAAATTTTCAAATAAATACCAAAAACTAATCCAATAATCTGCCGCCGCTGCTGATGCTGCTGCTGTGAGAATGATGCCGATTGTGAATAGGATGAAGCATATGTTTCCGCCAGATCTGAAGTAGGACCTGATGACCTCCCATCGCAGGTTCCCGGACTGTTTCTCTTCGGCTGCCATCTTCTGCGTTTCGAACTCTTCCAAGTCCTCGCTCTCTGTTGCCGATATTGCTCTTAATAACTGCGGAGTCTCTTTCTCATCGCCTTTCTGTATTAGAGAAATAAAAGATGGAACCCGTTTTTTGTGTTAAGTTAAACCCAATCCACGTAGAGTAAAAATCGTGGATGGTAAGGTTTAAGGCGCTATCCCAGCACGAATTGCTGTGTCAGTATCTTGGGGTGGATTGTGGGGCGCAGTGGAGAGCTGGAGCACTGAGGCGCGCCGGCCCGTAAAAACAATTAGTTATGTAAGACATTAAGTTAATGTAATTTTACCAATTTTTTTTCTGAAATGGATTACTTGGCTTGCGATTAAATATATCGTGTAAATTTCAAAATCATGTTCTATATACATTTTCGTCATAAAATGAATTCAAAGTATCAAAAAATGGCTATGTTTGGATTTTTTTTCTATCGAGCGAAGTTATTTAAATCGTGTATCGATTTTTCAGAATGGATACATAAACTTTCAACTATATTTTTTTCATTCTCCCTACTTCAAGAAACGATGACGAAAAATGGAAAGAAACAATGTACTTTTTTGGAGTTAGCGACCAGATCGGTCCTTAAAGAAGATTATTCTCATTAAAAACATATATGTCACTTATTTTGTGGTTGTTTGTTTATTTTTTTTCCTTTGATAGATATAGACACATATATAAATATATATATATATATATATATATATATATATATATATATATATGTATATAATAAGTTACATAAACTATAATAAATAAAGTGATATAAATAAGTGACATATATGTTGTCACTTATTTTGTGGTTGTTTGTTTATTTTATTTCCTTTGATAGATATATTTGACATTAGAACAAAAGCATATATATCATATATGCTTTTGTAATATATGCAATGTAATTGATGTGTATGTATGTGTGTTGAAGTTAAACCGCAACAAATCCACAAATATAATTATTGATCTTAAAAAACTTACCAAAGACCCAGTATCTTCCTTGCTTTCTTGTAGATTGGAGAGCATCATTGAAAACTCTTTCCCAGAGGACACCAGCTCATCAAATGTACCCATATTTTCTACTTGACCCTGGATTAAAACAATCTTTGGTTAGTGGCAACAGAGTACTCTTACTGACTTACTTTATACGTAGATCAGCCTTCTGAACGACACATATCGTTGACATGCGTTTATTTTTTATCAATGGCGCTATAACCTTTTTAGGCCTGGGGCTCAGATTTCTGTATCTGTTTCATGATCCAATAGGGAAGTATGTGATAAGCCTTCTGTTCTTGACGCACGCGCTCGACTTTTTGGGTCTAAGGCAAGCCGGTTTCCTCACGATGTTTTCCTTCACCGTTCGAGCGAATGTTAAATGCGCACATAGAAAAAAAGTCCATTGGTGCACAGCTGGGAATCGAACCTACGACCTCAGGGATCAGAGACGCACGCTGAAGCCACTAGACTAACACTGCTCGCTACGCGTAACATACAAGTGTTTATTGTTCCTTAAGAGGAAATAATTTATTAATTGCATTTAACTAAATTGGAAAAATTTCTTTGAGATACAATCAGAGATACTGAACAAATTAAACTCGTAAACTGTATCCACATTGAGATCCTTGTGAATACTTAATTTTTAATATACCATGGTGCATTGATAATGTCCCGAAGCACCGGGAACTGTATTATTTCTAACTTTATCTTTTGTATAGAGCAGTTTCCGAACCATTTTTGTCCCATGCCCCTTAGTCTACCTAAAATTCTTATGCTCCCTTTGTACATAATTTAAATATAAAAAAATTAATTGTTCATTTAAGAAATTTATTTGATCGGTTTTAGGAAGAAATCACTAGGAAATTGTTAACGAACAAAAAAGTCAGTTTTCAAAACACAACGAAAAAATTCAAATTCTAAATAATTTTAATAAAGATTTTTAATTTAGTGATTTTATATTAGGTTCCAATTTGGTAAGCTTAAATCTCAAGTCCGCACGTTGTGTTATATTAATCCAGCTGATTTCGATTGCCCCTTAACAATCAAATTGCACCCCTCTGGGGCGTGGAATCAACACTGGTATTGTGTAATAATACTTCTAAATCATCTTCTTTATAAAGAATTAGGGGTTATAACTCTTGCAGTGAAATAAATAAAAACAAAAGAAAAAATATGTTAAAACCTTGCAATCATTGCTGCAGTTCCTATACATAATATGTATTTATTTATACAGTATTCCAGTTCGCTTGGAGCGATAATTGACATAATACAGGCCGATTAACAAGGCTTTTAGCGATCGTACATTACGAAATAATATCGTCGACGAGTTGAAAAATCTTTAAATAGTTAATGAAACACTCTGAGTACGACTAAGTTGAATTATTTGTAGCGACACCTACAATTTGAAGCTAGAATAACTGCGTTATACCCACAAAATACAAAATGTTTTTATACATTTTGCTGATGTTTTCGTAAGAGAATCATCACTAGAATACTGCCTTGCGATTCTGTAACTCGTTTTTCGAAACAATAAACAATAAACTACAAGGAGGGACCTTATCAGAATGCCAAATCATAAAATGACTGCTTCACGACTGATTTGAGCGCAACCGCCGCTGCGAAAACCGCTGTGTGAGTTACAGAATCGCAAGGCTGATCGGTGAGTCTGTACGGATAGAGATAAATTACGTATTTCTGTTAACAACTACGTCATTACAGTTCGACAAAAATCAATACTTAATATGTATCAAAAGTAAATAGTTTAGTGAATAATCAAGCAATAAGGAATATTATTATTATTATTATTTTATATAACAGGAGGCAAACGGGCTAAAGGCTCATTTGATGTTAAGTGATACCACCGCCCATGGACACACATTGCCAGTGGGCTCGCGAATGCGTTGCCGGTCTTTTTTTTATTTAATAGTATTAGATTTCTATTGATGAGATCCCTCTTGCATTGAGACACTCTCAATGCTCGTGGCTCGCGCGGGCGCTGCCGGCCTTGCAATTTTATTTAATAGTATTAGATTTCTATGGATGAATTTCTCTCATTGAGACACTCAATGCTCGTATCACGCAAGTGAGTTACAGGCCTTTACTTTTATTTAATTATTGTTTTTTTTTAAATTATATTAATCTAGACTAGACTAATAAAACCTTTTTACTTTGTTGTTGAAGAAGAAAATGCATTCAAAGATTATAGAGTTATTTTATTAGTATCACAATGGACGTCCTATTGAAGTTAACCTATTTAAAATCCAATGTAAGACGATATTGTACGGACAGCAAATTAATCATTTGTCAATCATTTGTTGCAATTAAACATTTCAAATGTAAATAGTTTAACAAAGTTAGAGGCTGTTTTTATTTATTTATTTATTTCGAAATTCTACAGCTAACATAAATTATATATAATATCAAACAGTTACACTGAAAATATAGCCAGAGATGGAAAACATAATACATTTTACTACAAAAAGGTTCAAAAATTTACAGAATCAAACAAAAAAAAAATTATTCAATACATTCAACTAAATAATACCTAATTTGGCTGTGTTGTGTGATGGTGTAAAAGTGAGTGTAAGTACGTGAAGGTGTGAATGTGGGGTATGCTCATGATGCAGGTGATTTTGCGCTATGGATATTCTTAATGCTCCTTTTAACCATATTCCGCGACAGCTTAAACAGGTCAAGGCTTAAATATTGGTCGTTGTAGGTCCGGGCTGCGCGATGGCTCTGTCTTCAGAATAATGAGTCAAAGATAATAATTAATCGTAATAGTTAATAAATAAACAAATCAATGGCACTACAACCTCTTTAGGTCTGGGCCTCAGATTTCTGTATCGGTTTCATGATCATTTGTCAATCTAATACGCATTTGATCAGTCTCCTGTGCCTGACACATGTCGACTTTTTGGTTCTAAGGCAAGCCGGTTTCCTCACGATGTTTTCCTTTATGGGGTAAGTAACTTAACCACCATTTTAAAGTGAATTAATTTAATTTCATGTTTGGTTAAAATATTCACTTAATATAATATAAAGAAATAAACATATGTGCGTCAAATACCAAGCGCACTGGCCACGTACCACCGGTTACCTGCGTACACGCACACATTCGCGCGAAATCCCGCAAGACCAGTTTTATGTAGTTCTGTGCGAGTGACGATATTATGATATCGATGTAAAATGTCGATAAAAATATGATACATGTGTATGCTACACCTTCACCGTTCGAGCGAATGTTAAATACTATGTGCGTATTACACAGAAAGTCCATGCGGAACCCAAAAAGTCGACGGCGTGTGTCAGGCACAAAAGGCTGATTAATTGCCTATAGATTGACAAATAATCATGAAAGTGATACAGAAATCTGAAGCCCAGACTAAAAAGGTTGTAGCACCGATGTTTTTTTTTTAATAATCTTAAATGCTTTGAAACCTTGTCATATACACTTAATATGTTTTTCTCTAGTAACATGAAAAACACTTGCTGACCGTACTGAACAATAATAACTGCAGAGGGAATAATTTCGCGGTTTTCCGTTGTGGCTTCATCTCTTTAAAATAAATTAATATTCCAATACTAGTTTTCTGATCCCGGTTCGTTTGACTTCTAGAAAAATTATGAAACTATAACTATATAGAAAATTCAAAATTCAAAAATCATTTATTCACGTAGGTAACACAATGTACACTTGTGATTCGTCATTAAAGAAATAAATATTAATGCTTCTAATTTTACATTTACTGCCAGTTCTCAAATCAAGGGCGTAGAACGGAAGAGAAGAACTGGCAATAAACTCTCCGCCACTCTTTTTAATCGCCATGTTTTTTTTACACAACGTTTGTAAGGAGCTGCAACCGTTACACCATGTTCCACATGACATCTTAAGTAATTAATAATAATAACATAAATTAAAAACAAAGACTTGTCCCCTATCAGCAGGAGGCATGGTGAAATAGGAGCACGCACTTACATTCTCGTGGGAACAACACGCAAACACATAGTCGAAATAATTAACATCACCGCATACACGAATTCAAGTACGACCAGTCACCACAAGTAGCCCCCGTTCACGAGTATGACGCATGGCCAGCCATCGGCTGAAATTTGCTGATTCACTTTTTTAACTACTACTGAAGTCTACCAGCCACCCATTTTAGTGGGTGCGTTGCCTTTGGGAGGAGTATACTCTTACTTTAAACAATTTGAGTCATTTCCTCAGTTCGCAAAAAAAGTGTTTAGTGAAGGAAGACCGCGGAAGACTTTCAGCCAGGGATCAACCTAAACGACTTTTCTTCTCTCTCATGGAACATGTTGTAAAAAAAGTGCGTGCGTACAAAGTACACATGTCAGAAGTGAAACTTCTTTGTAAATTCATTATTACTTAGGTAAAAGCACCAATAGGTGATCATGCACCAGTATATGATCACTCGATGTTTTTGTATATCTATATTCACACTGTTAACACACTGTATACGTGCTAATGATAATATAAATAAATAAATAAAATATCTGCGTTTACTGCACAAGACGTTATGCGACAGAATTGCCATATTATGTAACTACTAAAAAAATACAACAACCAATAGCGTGTATTATATATTGTATGTAATGGTGATTTTTGTGTGGGACCTTATTGACATACATAATATTTTCTAACTAGCGAGAGCACTGTCGTAGCTACTTCTCCAATAATATTTAAAACTAGCTGATCCGGCAAACGTCGTTTTGCCATGTATATCATTTATAATAAAAAATAGGGGTTGATCGTTAAGGGGTGAAAATTAGGGGTTGTATGTATTTTTTAATGCTGTATCATAAAAAAAATACCTAAAAATAAAAAATAAAAATTTAGGGGTGGACTACCCTTAACGTTTATGGGGATGAAAAATAGATGTCCGATTCTCATACCCAATATGCACACACAATTTCATGAGAATCGGTCAAGCCGTTTCGAAAGAGTTTAACTACAAACACCGCGACACGAGAATTTTATATATTAGATATTCATAGGCAGCCCGCCGTCCCGCGAGCCACTATGCTTTTGTTGCAGTGAGTGATTTTGCAGTAATTTTCCTATTGCAATCATCTTTATATCGTGTCACAAGAAATCATAAATTCCGTCATTTATTACATATGACCCCAATAGAAATTGAAACTAATATTTTATTACCTTTAATAATTATGATAACGTATAAACGATTCCTTATCAGTCAGTGATAACAATAGTTTATCTAATACATGTGTACACGTTTAAATCCTTTAAACAAATTCAATATACAAGGTAAAATTATTATATTTGAGCTAGGGCCCGCGACTTCGTTTGCGCAGGATTATAATAACAAATGTCCAAATGATGTAGCGTGACAGACATATTTTATCTACTTTAATTACCTTACATATAAGATATAAATATATACTGTGGCGGGCTTTTTTGTAGGATTATTTAAGATAAACATTTCCATCATACATTACATATGTGTAACTCTAGCGGTTTTGGCAGCGCACGCCAGAATAGCTCGCACATGGTAGATTTTTTTCTACTTTCTTGATATTTTGGACAATTCACACAATATCTTTATAAATTGTAGCCTAAGTGTTATTCTGATGTATAAGCTATATTATTGTAAAGTTTCATTGAAATCCAATCAGTAGTTTTTACGTGAATGAGTAACAAACATCCATACTTACAAACTTTCGCGTTTATAATATTAGTAGGATTAATTTAAACGCCATAAGAAGAAAACACCGGCTTTACTAGTATCTAATGTTTCTATGTAATGACAAAATTCCTGATATAATCTCCTAATACCTTGAGACAAATAAAAAAAAATGGAATAGTTCTGTAAAATCAGTATGAAATCGTCAAAACTTAACTAAAACAATTAAATTGTTTATATTATTATTGGAAATTAAGTTTTTATTCGAAGAAAATGGAAATGGGTCGGACTCGTGTCCAGGTGAACGACAGGTAGACACAAAGACTGGTAACATGGCCACGGGGCTCAAGAATGAGAGACCCTGTCCAGATGGAGGGCGAAAGATGACTGGAGAAAGCAAAACAGAAGATTGTGGAATACCTTGGAGGAGGCTTTTACCAGTGACTGTGAGGTCTAAGTTTACTAACTGTTAATGTCTGGTCGTAAGTGTTTGAAATTTCATAGAATAAAATAAAGCTATATTTTTTCATAGTACAGGGGTAGCCTAATGTTAAGTTATACCGCCGCCCAATGACAGAGGACTCGCGGGTTCGTTGCCGGCCTTTTTTTCTGCATCTGATTCCGTGATCTATTCTAACGCAAGTAGGCGTTCAGCGCGACATACGGCGTTAATTTTTTGAGTCCAAGGTAGTTTGCATACGATGTTTCCTTTAACCGTACACATCTTTCGCAGCACTTTGCCAGAAGGCTCGCAAGTGTGTTGCCGGCATTATATTGGTATTTGGTACTCTTATCATGAAGGCCCCTTAGTCGAATTGGTTTGGAAATATTTCAGTGGGGCCGTTCAAGTATTACGTAAGCAGATTTACTGCAATATATCCCCCCCCCCTTCCTCTTGTCAGCAAAAGTAAGCAAAGCTCTCAAAAATAATAGTACATAAACGTATCCTCGAAAATGAATTTCGTTTTCAAGCATAGACAGTGTGGAGAATATGTGTAAAAAGTAAATAATTACTGTTGTTGTTAATCGCCAAAGACACAACCCCCCCTCCCCTTATAGTGGTTACGTTATTTGAACGGTCCCAGTGGGCAGAACACTACTGAACATTGCTGGAAAATAGCACAAACCTCGTTCAGCACAATGATGTAGTCCGCTGCCTTCAGGAAGTGCACTTGATGGGTGACTAATATTCGCGTCTTTCCCTTCAAATGCCCATTTATACAACCTTCGAAAAGCTGCCTTCCCACATTTGCGTCCACCGCAGACAGGGGATCGTCTAACAGGTATATATCGGCCTGAAATATAATTTGAATTTAAATAAACAATCACTATTACATATGATGTTAAAATAGCATGTGATATTCCGCGAGATGCTGATTAAGTTGGTGACTGAAACTACAAATCTCTTACTATGTTTTAAATCATTGGTTAACTAATTGGCCATTTAATTTAGTAATTGACTTAGTTTTGATTTATTACTTCGTTACATTAAACTAAACCAATATAAGTCATTAGGGATACAACGGCGATGCGATCTGTTCCAGGCAACCCTAATGAAAAAATCTTAAAAAAAAAAGAAATACTAAGGGCAAAAATTGACGAAATAACAAAACTAACATTACAATTAACACTGAAAAATTATACAATAACCAAACTTTATCTATTTAATATAAAAACATACATTAACATATAAATCAATATGAATCTATAATTTAAATTAATATATAACAGTTCTCAGAGGACAAGAAAACTTCACTCTGCTTTTGTTGTTTGTAATGTACAATTAAGTAATAAAGTACTCTGAGTACGAATGTCAACAATTGTTAATAATAGTGTATTAATTAAGATATGTAAGTTAAATTTTCACCAGAGAACAGAAAAAACGTTAATATAGTTGCTAAAACTACATATTTTTAAAGTATTTAACGAATTAATATTACAATTACCTCCAATAAGTGTAAGACAAAATATGAGAACGAAAACAAATGAAATGAGAAAAACAAGATGGAGAATGTTTTTAATAATAAAAAAACCAATTACATCTCTATAGACCGAGCGGGCCAAATTGATTCTGGCCCGTTGCCCTCCCGACATCGAAACCCCCCTCTCCCCCACCAGTGTCTGATCGCCATACGGGAATTGTTTGAAATCTTTCTCCAGAGCGCACACTTTGCATACCTATAATCAATTTAATATTATAATCGAAGTGAAAGCTGTTCCTACTGGACTTAAATTCCTTTTGAAAATTGAGTAGAATAATTTATATTGGTGCCGTGAGCGATTTGGGTTCAGAAATGTTATAATAATCATAATTGCTTGCATATGCAAGAATGGTACAAAAATACTATGGTTGCCACACAAAATGGCGTGCAAATTTGTCTTAGATAATTAAATAATTTTACTTGTATATTTCATAATCATATAGTCAATACATATTTTATTTTGTTAAAATATCTGTTTTGTTTTGAGCAGTGTCATCCCTGAAGTCGTAGCTTCGATCCCCGGCTATGCACCAATTGCCTTACTTTGTTCGCATTTATCGCTCGAACGGAAGGAGAACATCGCGAGGAAACCGGCTTGCCAACCCAAAAAGTCGACATGTGTTAGGCACAGAGGGCTGATCACCTACTTGCCTATTAGATTGACAAATTATCGTAATACAGATACAGAAACCTGAGGACCAGACTTAAAAAGGTTGTAGCGCCACTGATTTATTTATTTTCCCACAAATAATATTTTTTTTTACTGTGTAATTCTTTCGAGGGGATAGTGATTAAATAATTATAGGCAAGGTGCCCTTAATGGGAGAGTTTTCAGACCACTTGTTTTGGCAAAATAATGAACTTAACTGTTCTTATTATAATAACATTATGATAATTAATATGACGTTTGCATGTCTATTTTCCTATTTGATTGTGTTTTTTTTTTACAATGAATCAATCTGAATGTACCACTGTCTTTGCAAATAAACGATTTATTAATACATTTGTGAACCTATGTATTAATCTTCAATCTAGGTATGTCAAAATGCAAATCTAATCCAATTCCCAGTTAGTTTACCTCATAGTATTTCGAAACATTACAACTTTAAGTTTATCTGTTTTAAAAAAAGTAAAACAGCTTTAAAAACGTGTTTATTTTTACAAATTTGTTACATTCTAGGAAATAATGTACACTGGATAATTGGAAATGTACCACATTAAATATTTGTGTAACGAAATAAAGAATTTTTGAAATTGAAAAAAAATACATTTGTGAGGTAATCGCTGGAACTATATATATGCACGATTGAATATCTTAAAACAGTTTCACTTATCGGTATAATCGCTAATCATGAGTTTTGGATACTTCTAGAGACGTAAACTATTATCGCTGCAAATACTTTTGACCTTGAACAGACGGACCACGGACGGCGCAGCTGATATAAAAAATAAAGTCGAATTGTTGACCTTCTTTATAATCGGTTAGAAATAATATTGTATGCAATTCAGTTAATAAATTTATATGTCTAAAATATAACATTTAGTACGAATGGTATTTTAATAAGACATTTTTATTTGCTCCACAAATGCGAAATTTTTATTCAACGAAGAGCGATTCGATGTCGACGACCACTCACTTTCCGAGCGGCTTGATCTCTTGGCGTTGCGTAGAGATGTGGGATATCTCTACATTTTCTACCGCATTTACCATGGAGAGTGATCAGAGGAGTTGTTCGGACTAATACCTGCAGCTGAGTTTCATCATCGGACGTCAAGGCAGGATATAAAATACCATCCGTATCACCTTGACGCCCGTCGTTCCACAACTAAGCGTTTCTTAAGGCAATTTCGGCCGCGCACCTCCACTATGTGGAACCAGCTGCCGACTGAAGTATTTCCGAACCATTCGATTTAGGGTCCTAAGAGCGTACCAATCGGCGACCGCTTAGAGCAGTCGGTATCGGCTGCAACATGCGGTCCGTCTATGGCCCGCTTTAATGTGGTTTAAGTTTTCATTTAGTTTTGTTTATTTCTGATATTGTTATTTTTAATCTTTTTAGTTTTAGTTACTATCATTATTATTTTTTCTTGTTTTGTTTTATTTTGTTTTTATTTTGTTTTTATTTTGTTTTTGTTTGTTTAATTCTTTCCTTTGATAGATTTATTATGTTCTAATGTAACTGATGTGTATGTGTGTTATTTATGATGTCATATTTTCTTGTATTTTTAAGGCATACACATTGTTTTAGAATGTATAAATAAATAAAATGAAACATCGATTAGAGATAGGAAACCGCTTTTTATGAAATCAGTAAAAGAAAAAAAATTCTTCGATACGAAGCTTCGATAATTTATGTAAAATTTATTGAAACTATGCAGATTGCTTGAACTTTGAAGATCGGATTCATTAAAATTCAAAAGGAATAATATTCCGTTTAAAATTACTGAGTCAAGCACGCCCTAAACATAATACTAAGTTAACATCTCTATGTATATAAAATTCTAGTGTCACAATGTTCGTTCCCATACTCCTCCGAAACGGCTCGAGCGATTCTTATAAAATTTTATATTCATATTCAGTAAGTCTGAGAATCGGCTACTATCACGCATTACACACATTTTGATTATTGTATTTTCTGTGTGTGTTTTGTTCGTAATAAATGTTATTTCTATTTCTATGTCTATGTCTATACATACCCTCCTATATTTATCTGCGTTGTAAGGCAATCCAAACAGAATGTTCTCTCGTACAGAACTCGGGAACAGCCAGGCCTCCTGGCAGGCGTACGAAATGTTTCCATACACTGATACGCTCCCACTTGCCGCGGGCAACTCTTTCAATAATAACTGCAAGATGGATGACTGAAAACAAATGAATCAAAGTTATTATGCTTCGTAACTTAATTACAAAGTACTAGGAACAAATTTGGGCATTAAAAGTCAAAAGTCAAAAATCATTTATTCGTAGGTAACACAATGTACACTTATGAACGTCAAAAAAAGCGACAAAAAAAGAAGTTCAATACGACCTTAAGTTAGGTATAAAAAGAACCGTCATGGGCGCATGGAGACTTCCATATCTTCAGAGGCGTTATTAATTTTGGCATGACTAGTTCGGTGGCGATTGTAGTATATGTTCAAATATACGAGATGATACACTTAGTTTGAAGCTGAGTAACAACTGACTTTAATGGTTTAAAATATGAGCTAGTATAACATATATAGATTATGAGTTAATTATAACTAACATATATCATAAATATATATATAAATCTAAATGACACTTCAATACAGTCGAACTTTTTGGACACTATCGGAAACAAGAATGTTGTATTACAAGAGTGTGGGAAAAACTAAAGGGCTCATTTTAGCTTTCATTGTACGATGTATTTTTTTTTATTATTACAATTCACACCAATTGACCTAGTCCCATGCTAAGCTGGTGAAGCTTGTGTTATGGGTACTAGGCAACGGATATACATACATATTATAGATAGATAGACATATAAATACATATTTAAACACCCAAGACCTACAACACCAAATGCTCATCACATCGATGTTCGTCTCAGCCGGGGATCGAACCCCGGAACCATGGATTCGCAGTCAGGGGTACTAACCACTAGACCAATGAGTCGTCATTGCTTACATTTTGCTTGCGCTTCTAATTACTAACTAAATATATATGTAATTTAACTAATGTAAGGTTACATAAATCTTTGGGGTTCCAAAATCTAACAGACAACCCACGCCTGTATCAACTCTCAGCCACACTCTCAAATATATACGCACACACACTCACATACATTCACGCATAATGGCCTTATACGATTTTTGTTTGATTAAACTTTTTTTCTGTATTACCATTTTAGTGGGTGATTTGCCGGCTTTTGAGGGTAAATGAATAGTAAATGTAACACTACTTTTTTCTTTAAGAAAATGGTTTAGACATGCTCCATGTACCTTGGAATGATTGTAATCTAAAACCCACAACACAGGGGCTCCCAGATAGATGAATTTTGTCACATTCACCATTCTGTCATGAATAAAGTGTTTTTATTATTTTTATGAGTAATAGTTTACTGTATCTCAGGATCGATTCATGATCCTCGTACAAGAGAACACAGCTTTTTTTTAGATAAATAGTACTATCTTGTAGAGATGTTTATCGTGCTCTTACTGTGGTTAAAGTTTCTATTTAGTTTATTTTATTTATTTATTTATTTATTAACACTTTGTTGCATATACATAAATATAGTTCAATTGACATAATTAAATAAAAAGGAGAGCAACTGGCGGCCTTATCGCTTTACAGCGATCTCTTCCAGGCAAACACTGTGAGAAAATAAAATAAAAGTATTAGATTACATAAGGTAGACAAGAAGTGCAAAAATAAATGTATTACATGTAGTTGTTGTAAAAAGGAACTAAACAGGACCAAAAAAACAAACTAATAAAGGACACATGAAAAAAAAATTAATACCTAATAATAAAAAGTGCACATGAATAATTATAATTTCATTTCAGAATTTAATTTAAGATCAGTCACGGATGATTATCACGTCAGTTAGTGGGTATTATTAATGTTAGGGATACGATGTGGACAGGTAATGTTTGTACAGAAGAAATTTAACACGTTCACTGCGCCATCATTTTTAAAGAACTTTCAGCTGGTGCGTTGGAGACCTAAAAGATCTCGTAACAAGCCTATCCTCTGGTGCGTTTGAGACCTAATCAGTCTCCTAAAAATACACTTTTGAAAATAATTTATATCTTCCAAAAAAACAATGCCATATATTTTGAATTTTTTGTGGGTGAAAGATAGCTAATTGCTTTATATTTTGCTAGGTTCGCACGCAGTTACGACATTTGAATAAACTACAAATAACAAAAAAAAATTAGATATCGATTGTATCTCGTACCGCACCCGAAGATAGTTCAATATGTGTAGTAAGTAGTGATGGGAATAAAATAATATCTCAGTTATCGATTCTAAAAGTTTTATTAATTATGCAAAGTGTTTTTCATTAAAACATGGTAAGCATATTGATTGCTTGCACATTACGCGCAAATGGTAACAATTCGTTTAGTTTTTTTAGAAGCGTCAGTGCTGTTTAACTGCGTGTGCTCCAACGAAAAAGGTTTATCGTTAAATATTTCATAATCAGAATCACTGTCATTATTAGTCAATGGGGGGCAAATTTGAACATTTTCCAAAACTAATATTTTACTGGACGATGCAGCAGTATAATCCGGCGTTTTTTTTTTGTTAGAAACCTCACCAATAAAATAGATTTTTTACACTTTTTTCTTTTAAACTTAATCACTCATTGTTTATCAAAAATAATCAACACGCTGATATATACGCGAGTGTTATTTCCAAAACGTGAAAAATAGGGACTGGAAGTGAATTCCATAGCCTAAAGGACCTGAGACCTTAAACGACTCGCCAAGAAAGGAGGAGTTATGACACGGGATTTCAAGGATATAGTTTTCGGAAGAGCGTAAGCTATAGTTATGGGATCCCAAACATTTTATGGTTAATCATTGAATTTTTCCCTTAGCTTCCCGTCATTATAAAATTGATAAGTGTAAAATTTGTGGTGTCATATTTTCTTGTATAATTTTATGCATACATGCGGCGATGTGTGTGTGATTCGGTAAACGGTTTGGTAGCGTATTGCACACATAGGACTATATTTTTTTAGATTTATTTAAGACCGGCCGACAACTGAAGTATTTCCGAACCAATTCGACTTAGGCCTCTTTTCCATTACACGGTTTCTCGCCGTGAAAATCTACGGTTAATTCGCCGCGTGTAGGCACGGTCGTCAGTGTGGTATGGATCACTATATGAGCTTGTCGACATGCACGGTGGCGCCAAGGCACGGCGCCGCGGCCGCGGCCGCGTGCGCCGTGACTGCCCCTCGGCGCGCCGCGTCTACGCACGGCGTGATTTTCACCAGTGTTGTATGGCAGTCTATCGGGGTGTGTCGACGGTGCCGGACGTACGCACGGATTCGTGACCGCTTATATACGCTGTTTCGCGATTTTATTATAAAATGAACATAAATCAAGAATTATTAATTACGTTGATTCAAGAAAGGCCTGTAATATGGGATAAGACCATCGACGATTATAAAAATAAGCGGCTTAAATATGATTCCTGGAAAGAAATATTTATTCATTTCCAGCCCACATTTGAAGATTTAAGTGGTGATGAGAAAAACAAGTTTGGTAAGTTACAGATATTTAATTATTAACTTTTTACTTATGCATAGTTGTTTTGATAGGAGAGGCGACCTTCGTTAGATACAAAATATTGTGCAAATCTGTTGCGAACTTCATTAGCCGCCAAACTTCCGCGAACTGCATTCGTGATAGGTAACTGGATTAGTTCCGATTCTGAATCAAGGGTGGACTCATTTTCACTCGCATTGTGAAACTGAAAGTTTTCCTGCTTATGTATAAAATTTTGCAAAACACAACATGTTTTCACAATATCAACTGCCAAATCGATGGACACATTCATTGGCCGGTGAAAAATTCGCCATTTATTGGATAAAATGCCAAACGCACATTCAACAAATCTTCGCGCTCTTGTGAGTCTGTAGTTAAATGTACGTTTTAATTGATCAAGCTGATGACCACCAAATGGACGAAGCAAGTGATAATGCAAAGCAAAGGCTTCGTCCGCAACGAACACATATGGCAAATCGTAGTCAATTCCAGGCAAACGTGTTGCATCGGGTAGATTTAATCCGTTGTTTGTTAAATTTTTCCAAAATGGGGTCTCTTTAAACACACTGGAATCACACTCCTTTCCGTAGGCGCCAACGTCAACAAATATAAAGTTGTAATCGCTATCTACTACTGCCATCAAAACTATAGAAAAAAATGTTTGTAATTTAAAAACATCGAGCCACTATCAATTGGCTTAATAAGTCTGATGTGTTTTCCATCGACCGCTCCTAAGCACAGCGGGAAGTTGGAAGATTCTTGAAATTTGCTTGCAATGTGTAGCCAGTCTTCTTTAGATGGCATTTTCATATATTCTTTATACAGTTCTAACCAAATGTAGTGGCATACTTCACGTACGATGCAACTTATGGTTTTTATTCCAATTCTATAGCTGTAGTATAGGTCAGTAAAGGTATCTCCTGTTGCTAGATACCTGAAATATGAAACAAAACGGTTCAGGTTCAAATACTAAAACCCCATTTTAGGTCGGGGTCGATTCAGTTTAGGTCGGGGGTTTTCATAAATTTTGAATTTAATAATTATTATTTATTTATTTTCAGGGAAAATGGTGATGAAGAAGTGGACCAATATGAAAGATAGCTGGATAAAATATGACAAAAAAATTAATGAATGTAAGTCTGGTTCTTCAGCAAAAAAAAATAAGAAAATATATGTTCTATGATGAAATGATGTTCCTAAAAAAAATGTTGAGCATCGCAAGACCGATTCTAACATGACTGAACATGTTCATGATTCTAGCCTCAGTAATGAAAATTTTGATAGTGCAGTCCCGAATCAATCAAGCTCGGGATACACTGAACGGAGTGAGACGCAAAGGGCTAAAAAAAAGAAAAAATGAACTAAGTGAAGTTGACATTAGGTTTATGAAGTTTATGGATTCAGCAGAACGAGATGAGAAAAAGAAAAGCCGTAGTATGAACTTTTTTATGGGAATCGCTGATACAGTTGACAAGTTCAGTGATGAAAATATGATAGACTTTCAGTTTCAAGTAATTTCAATAATTAAAAATATTCAACAAAGACAGTGTACTCAGTATATACCCACATCAAGAAACCAATGGGATCAAGGCCATCAAGGATATTTAAGTAGTACAGCATCCTCAAATGCGCAATCGTCAACATATGGATATTCTACAGCTGCTAGATCGAGCTATGGAATAAGTCGTCCACAGACGTCTTCTCATGATTTTGGACACGGTTCTGGTTTAGAGCCAATCCACTACCGACCCGAATCACAATTATCTGTACATAGTGTAAATGCGGAAAGTATCTCGGCAGATTCTCAAGTTTCTATTGAAGACGAATTCGATTTTAGTACCGCACTTGAGTAGCATTTTCAGCGTAGTGTATTTTTTGATTTACTTGTTCTTAAATTAATAATTATTAAAATTCAATTACATGTAATAATTTTGTTTGTGTGCAATAAACAATTTTAAACTAAAATATGTCATTTAATTTTGTACCTACTTACCTCAGAGTTACAGCCAATCTTTCTGCGGGCGATATACTCTCTCGCATAAAAGTATCTTGATGTTTTAGTTCCTGGGATAATTTTTGGAGCAAGTTGTCGAATGTAGTTTTCTGCATTCTAAAATAATTGTAAAACTTGTCTTCATCTTCTCTCAATTGATTCTTGACAAGTGTATGAAACGCGCCATATTCCTCCCTTTTTTCTAAAATCGGATGTATCCAAAACCTTACTTCCCTTTTTTTTCTATTTTCTTTTTCCTATATATGTAATAAGCAACTATAATCTTTTTTTTCGTAAGAAAATTCATGACGCAGCACGTCCTACACAGCCCGAGTAAAAAGCGCTACTAGCCAGTACTTACCAATGTCTCGCGCGGTGATTTTGCCGTATCATGTACAAGCTAGCACGTTTTTTCAACCGTACGGCTTACACACCGTACGTTTGAACAACCGTGTAATGGAAAAGAGGCCTTAGGGTCCTTCAAGAAAAGAACGTACCAATTCATTCTGTCGCACACAACTGTCTACATATTTTATAAAAATAAGCAATAATTTAAATAATTGTTTATCCAATTGTCGCGTTCATCATTGCACTCACCCATGCATGAAATAGGAAATATTGAGAGAATAATTTTTCATATATATACGATCAGTTTTCAACATTCAAATAACATTATTTGATATGGTTTGATAATAATCGTATAAAGGCACGTGTTGCACCAAGACTGCTACCACCTCCTTCAATTATAATGGGTAAAATCCGGGGTAAATGGCGTGTTGGTAGAAGGAAAGAATCATGGCTTCGCAACGTTAGGGAGTGGGATTTTTTTGAAGTGAAACTTCTTTAGACGCATGAGGGTAAAATTTTTACGGATGAAACGCAATAATAACAATATTAGCGTCACGAAGATGTGCAGCGTTTTGCAGGGAGAGAGCGATTGAGAGACTGTGAAGGGCGAATTACCTTATAGAAATTATATTTTTAGTATTTATGAAATATTAGTATTTTATACTTTATGCAAAATAATTTATTGAAATCTCAAATGACGAATTCTAAATTAAAATGCCACGTGTTTTTATTATCGAAGAAATAAATTTAAAAAAATAAATTTATAATTTGTATTGATTTTCGACAATTTTAATATTTTAGTGACAATTAAATTCATTTAAAGAAAAAACTGTTTAACCGGATTGAAGTTATGTATTATTATAAATTTACAACTATTTAACATAATTTTAAATTTATCCGACGTTTCGCGTGCTTTACAGCGTGCGTGGTCACGGTGACATTAAATTCATTAAATTCCTAACATATCTTCCTTTTTCCTTCCCTTTAAGTCTCGGAAATGTAAAGTTTTAGATTTGTATAAATATGAACAAGACTTAAAATTTAGTTTCCTAAAGAAGTTTCACTTCTGACATGTGTACTTTGTACGCACGCACATTTTTTTTTACTTGGGGAAATGCATGAATGGTAAGTGACTCGCGATTGTGCATACCCACTAAAACCCTAAGGCGCCACCAACAATCACCTTAGACGGGATGCGGTAACAGCAGAGCCATATCCACTTCCCGAAATGCGATGCAGCGGTTGCGTCGGCTTCTCCACGGCCCACGCCCATTGTTAGTTTGTAAAGATACTTGACACAGTAAGTATCCTACACAGACCGGGTAATTCGCTTTTAGTAATAGCTAGGGGAGATCGGGTCCAGGACTTGCAGTGATGGATCACCTTCCCCTTCCCCGCGTGGGCACTTTTTAGTTGGTGAGGATTTATTGAGCGGTTACTTTCACCCCGAATGGGCTTTGGGACAAAGCTTTGGTCCTTTCCGCCTCTTTGTTTTTCATGATAGATAGATGAAGAGTAGTTTTAGATCTCATCACAAGCAAAAATACTTTCCTATGTGTAAATTTCTCTATACAAATAAATTGTGCGTGTACTAGGTGTACACACGTAAGAAGTGAAACTTCTTTATGATCTTATTTTTCGAAAAATGATCTACTATATGCAACTTTACAGAAATTCGTTTAATTAGATAAAGTTTAACAAAAGGCTTTTATTATCATAGACATGAATACAAATATTTCATTTTACCTTATTACTACGAAGATTATTATAGAATTTCATTAATTGTAATAGAATTATTACTATCATTGAAAAACGTGACGATTTGCTACAAAATTTCTCCCATACGTCGACAAAGAAGTTTCATTCCAACGCCGATAAAGAAGTTTGACTTCAAAAAGCAACATGGCGCGTAACTGAAAAATGTGACGCGTAACGAAAAAATTTTACACTAAATTTTTTTCCAACCTCGATAAAGAAGTTTCACTTCAATAAATATATCTTAAACTAAAAAGCGTTTTGCGTCAAGTTCAATCACCTTTAAATGGAGCTTCTTTAGAAATTTTTCAAGTGATGTTATCTAGTGTCTAGACTCAATAGAATCTCAACCGTGGACTACTTAATTCATGTTAAGTGAATGGATTTTGTTTTAATGACGATACAAGCCCATCCCGACTTCTAAACAGAAATCCAAACGCATTTAAACATTTATTTATGGATTTAATAATAATAATTTATTTGCAAGAATATAGTACAAAAATATTATGGTGGTATAATTGAAAGTTCGCATATTCTGCCACTTATAAAGAATTTTACAAATAATTTAGACATTACATTTGTAATCGACATATTATGCAAGTTTGTGAGGTTGAAGGGGAATCTAAATACACCAATACAAAGAAACGTTTTTAAAATAATAGAGGAAAACAATACAATGTTTAGTGCGACTTATTTTTTAACTCTTTAATATAGGAGACAAAGGCGTACATTTAGTGAAACATAACATAAAATACCGCCCATGTACACTTACCTTAATAATTCAAATTGAGAGAGTAATCTCTGAATCTACTGAAACGTGTGTCTTTAAATTTATTTAAAAAGCTCCTTTTTGACCATTTTCTTTCTGCCTCTTAATTAGCTCTGCTTATTAAGAGGTTATGATTAATTATTGTGACTGAGTTAACTTTTTGATTGTCTTTTAAATTTTTGTTTATACATATTTTAATTTATTATTATTGTTATTTTGTCTTATTTTACATTATTTTATTTAAGTTATAGTAACGTGTTATTTTGAGTTTTTTTTTGTTAATAATATTTGCATTTCTTGTACTCTACCCTCTGTAGGTGTTTCTTTTTCATTGTTCCACATTAGGGTTGCCTGGAAGAAATCTCTTGTTAGCGATAAGGCCGCCCGTTGCCTTATAACTTTTGTAAACTGCTTTTTTATTTTTGTTATGTGTATGTTTATGAATAAGGTAATAAAGTATAAATAAATAAAACGAGTTGGAAATATATTTACCAATACAAAGCCACACATGTTATTATCATATGCTATATATTTCACATACACACTCTCACGTACATACCCTCACTGTCACACCACACAGCACAGCCTAATTAGGTATGTAATCACTTTTATGATTTTTTCTTTTCGTAAATATTTGAACCTTTTTGTATATCTGTATTATATCTTTGGTTATATGTTTAGTAAAATTAAGGCTCCCATGCGCCCACTCTTATGACACTCTGTACAAACACTAAGGCTGTTGAACGGCTTAACCGATTTTGAAAATTCTTTTTATAAATTAAAGATGGAAAAATTTCCCGTGCTATAGGCTATAAAAACTCTATAATATTTACGAATAAATCACAAAATAAGCCGAAAAACAACTTCGAAGGAGACCTAAAACTAAAAAGTCCTTTCAACAAAATCAAATCTTTAAATTAAATGTTTTGAATCTATGTATTTTTACTCATCATTAAAAATTGAGTTGAACACTCGCTCCGCTCAAATTTGTGCTGAAGCGACGCAGAATTGCGAGCACTGCGGCGTCCTAGTTATTTTTGTTGTATATCATTTATGTTAGCTGGTAATATACAAAATAATTAAATAAAAATTAACCCGAAAGAAAAGATGTTTTGTAATAGTCGGAACTACAAAGTCGAAGGAAAACTTTGCTGCAGTTGATGAGATAGGAATTCTAGAAAAAAGTAGAGATTGATAATGCCTACAAAGTCAGATCTTGTCTCTTGTAATATTTTAATGACAAACCTTGCCAGATCCCACAGCTCCAATAATAGCGCAGAGTTTTCCTTTTCTTATACGTAGCGAGATGTTTTTCAGAGCCAAGAAGTTGGGGTCACCAGTCCAGCTGGCTGAGACGTCGTGAACCTCCACAATCATGTCTCCCGGGTGGGAGAGGCTTCTACGATTCTTCATACTGGCTCGAATACCTATTTAAATATACAATTATACTTGGTATTGTCAAAGGCACGATCAAGGGCGGTACATTATATTATCACATAGAACTCCCCCTATGGGAAACCTTCCCTTAGGGGAAAGCCCTATTCGTTTATGATACGGAACAGCAATAAAAGGCAGCTGCTGCAGTCCATGGACACCCATGATAGTGCACTATCGGCCTTTAAGAGATTAGACTTTAAAGATTGGAAGGACCTCCACTGAGAACCGATTCCTCGCAAAGGGAAATACCTAGAGAAGTGGACTATGTGTTTCAGCTAACGTTGTGTTTGTGTCCTTTATGCCATTGTCTACTTCGTTTTTCTAAGACAAACCAAGAAATAAAACCCTCTGTGGAAACCTTTGACGAACTAATTTTATATTTTTTAATTTTTGGTCTGTTTTGAGTTGAACAGTGTACATTGAACAAATGTAATATTAGAGCATGTGACAAACGGATCGACAACCTGATCCCTTTCTTTGTCTTTGGTATTCCAGTCTTCCTGTGGTTGACAAGCTGGTACCACAAGTACCATTAAAACGGCTTCAGTCTTTCCTACTTACTCCCTATTCTTAACGGCATGAAGTTAATTAGTTAATATTTCTAAAAACCAGCAACTCACTCGAGACTTCTGGCATGGTCATTGTCAATGTTTTAAGGGAATTGTGATGACACTAGAATATATTTTTTTATAGAACAGGGGGAGATTGAAAAAAGACGCACCTGATGCTTAGTATACCCATAGACACTCTAGGTATATAATATAGGAATAGGAATTCTGGACTCAATATATATACTGTTATAACTTGCCACCCACCATTGCTTACTCCATTCAGGGTATCTGACTTCGGCGCGTAGGATAGTGGCCGAATATCCCTGCTCCTAGATTTTCGTATGCTGTTAGTTTTATTAAATAGGTTGGGAGATGGCGCCACAAAGCTCCTACTCAAGTCTGGCCGATCCTCTGCAAATAAACAAAAAATCTTGGCAAGCAATTCATAGCGTTAAAATGGGAGAAACTATTTAACCGACTTTCACAAGTGTAGCTCTAGTGATAATGCCTTAAACTCGAACAGTCTTTGATCTGTGTCAGGTATAGAAGGGTGTTCACCAATAATAAATGATCACGAAATACATACACAAAAGAAGAGAAGATTGAATCTCCTAACATCGTTAAAATTTTCTAACGCATAAATTGTCGATTTCCACGGTTTTAATTGAAATTAATTTATTCGTATCAAGTATATATAAATTAGTTCCAGCTGTTTATGTATGTAAGGCCATTGTTCAAACAATTACGTATTGTATACAATATATACTTTTTATTTTATTTAAATTGTATAATATATTGTATAAAGCCCGGAAAAAGTGAGGACCACTGGAGAGGTGATCTGATGGAATTTTGGCAAAGTTGGCAAAGATCAAAGTTGCCACTCTCTATTTTAATAATAAATCGTGTATTTGCCAATTAGATCGATTAATTGTAAAAATCCGCACAATCAGCCATATAAATAGGCATGCAAATGACATAAATTTTTATAATGTCATATAATAATAACAATAACATAACAAAACATTCATTGACATAATAATAAGTTCAGTTATTAACAGTTGGTGTCAAACTTAACACTCGCTGGTACGGTGAAGGAAAAACATCTTGAGGAAACTGTCTTAGACCCAAGAAGTCGACTGTGTGTGTGGGCTGAAGGCTGGTCTATTAAAAAATGATCTCGATACAGAGGCCCAGACTTAGATATGTTGGCGTCTCATTATTTATTGCAATCAAGAACATAAAACAAAGATTGTTATATAAATGTATAATGTTAGATTTTAAATGTGTTTGATTTATTGCGTATAAAGCGATAATTTTTTGCAAGCAATATATCAATCAAAATGTATTATTCAGAGTGCGTTACCAGACATAGACAACTTGGCGCCAATGTTATCCACAGACTATGTATGAATTTTAATATGTGGTAATTAGGTTAATATATCATAAAATAAATAAATCTACGTTATTTTTCTAATAATAAAACAATCACAGGATTTTTTAAAGATAATATTTACAATTTTTAAATTAAAAATATACCAAAATTGATAACATGTATTCGAAGAACATTATGTATTAACAAAGACAATTTACTAATAATTTATTGGTTGAGATGTGTGGGACTGTTTTAAATTATGTTTTAGTACATTACATTTAAATAATATATTGCTTTTAAACCGACTCTAAAATGCACAAATATTAATTGGTCTTAGATAATTAAAATATTCTCATCATATATATACATATATAATTAAAACCTGCCAAATAATTTATTTCCAACACACAAATATATAGTATTTATAATATTCATAATATAGTAATAATTAACAATAATTGCTAGTTAACACAAATTTATTATGTTTGTGTTTAGGAAACTGTAGTTATCTCAAAAAAAACTGGACCAATATTGACTATACTTGGCCTTTCCCTTGAAGAAAATACGAGATTTATTCGCATTAAGGGTTGTATGTATTTTTGTTTGCTGTATCAAAAAAAGTCAACAATTGCGTCTAAAAAATTTTAAAATTTAGGGGAGTACCGGACCTTAACAAAATAAATTTTAAAGGGGGATGAAAAATAAATGTTGTCCTATTCGCAGTCTTAACCGAACACAACATTTCACAAAAATCGGTAGAGTCATTTCGGAGGAGTTAAATTACAAAACACCGTGACACGAGAATTTTATATATTAGACTAGCTGATCCGGCAAACGTCATATTGCCATGTATATCATTTATAATAAAAAATAGGGGTTGATCGTAGAGGGGTGAAAATTAGGGGTTGTATATATTTTTTAATGCTGTATCATAAAAACTAAAATTAAAAATTTTTATCTAAAAATAAAAAAATAGGGGTGGACTACCTTAACATTTAGGGGTATGAATCATAGATGTTGTCCGATTCTCAGACATACCCAATATGCACACAAAATTTCATGAGAATCGGTCAATCCGTTTCGGAGGAGTTTAACTACCTACAAACACCGAGACACGAGAATTTTATATATTAGATTATGTTTTTAATTAGAGTCCACAAATATGATGTGTGATTTTGGCTGCTCTTAAATACAATACTCTTCAGAGGCTCTTTTGTCTCTGCCTTTTAATAAATTTAAGAAATGTATTAAAGAAAAGCTGTATAAAAAGGCTTACTATAAAGTCAACGATTATCTAGTTGATAAAAGGGCCTGGGACTAGTGCTAGACAGGCTACTTCTAATTAATTTGCGATATTTGTTTTAAAACATAATTGTTGTTTGATGATTTGCTATTTTAAACAGTACCGAGAGTTTTTTACGCCGCTTTTTTCTCTCGGCCTACACCCTCTGTCTTCTTTGCCGATGAGCAGGGATGTCTACCGATTCAGATTTAATGATGTGGAATAAGACAAACGTTTAGTAATTTCGTAGTTAAACTTACCCAATATCATGAAGTCTTGAACTCTTCTGAACGAGACGAGAAGTTCAGCGATGAACGTTATCACCAACGGTAACACCAGTGTGATATTTATTTGAGCGGCTGCTATGAACTGCTGAAGAGGGTATATCTGAAAAAATGATGATATGAGAACAAAACGCTATTCAGGCGAACAGCGTCTTATAGGACAGAGGTGACAAATTAGCACCGTTAGTTAGAAGAAGAGCAGTGATGGCCTAGTGGCTTCAGCGTGCGACTCCCATACCAGAGGTCGTAGGTTCGATCCCCGGCTGTGCCAACCGACTTTCTTTCTATGTGCGCATTTAACATTCGATCGAACGGTGAAGGAAAACATCGTGAGGAAACCGACATGTCTTAGACCCAAAAAGTCGACGGCGTGTGTCTATAGGCTGATCGCCTACTTACCTACTAGATTTTAAAATTATCATGAAACAGATTCAGAAATCTGAGGCCAAGACCTAAAGAGGTTGTAGCGCCACTGGTTTTTTTTTTAGTTGTATCTGTTTCATGATCATGTTAATCTAATAGGCAAGTAGGTGATCAGCCTCCTGTACCAGACACACACTGTCGACTTAGGTCTAAGGCAAGCCGGTTTCCTCGCGATGTTTTCCTTCACCGTTCGAGCGAATGTTAAATGCGCACATAAAGAAAGTCTATTGGTGCATAACCGGGGATCGAACCTATGACCTCAGGGAATGAGAGTTGCATACTGAAGCCACTAGGCCAACACTGCTTCACAAGAAATAAGATATACATGTGGGAACATAACATGAAGTCAGTCAGTGTGAGCAGTCAACGCAGCCTATGGCCACGCATAGTAGAAGCTTCACCTGCTTCCGAGAGAGGAGTACCCATACTCCTTTACTTTTTTTAGACGATTCAGTTTATTAAGCAATTCCTCTGGTATTCAATGTTATAAAAATCCTCTCTTATCGGATTAATTACAGGAAATAACGATAAGATAAAAATCACATATTGTAGCTGTTTTTTTAATTTAACTTCATAAATAGTGATAAAATCTGATAACAGCCAAGAGGCTGATTGCCTATGTGTAAAAAAATGAGATTTTGATGTATTTAATTCCAAGCCCGTGAAATAATAATTAAATTAAAGTATTCAAATATCATTTACTCGACACCTTGCATTCCTAACTACAGGATTTTCGTACCAACAGTGACTTAGAAAATTAAAATGATGTCACTGTACGATCGGAGATCTGTAGCCGGTGTTAAGTTCTTACGTAAATTGCAGGTCAAATACAGAACAGTAACCTCTTACATTCTGTAATCTTCTTCATAAAAGAAGACAATGATAATGTATTCTCTTATGCATAATTTTCCAAATTCTATCTGCAAAATCAACCTAAGAGTTCAGGCACTTCTTATTCGAATTCTTGGCGATTATAACGGAATAAAGAGTACTCATTCGGAACTGGATATATTCGATAGTGGGCTGATCAATTTTAAAGAAAGCATTGTTAAGTGCCTATCTGATACCTAATCCGCTGTTTTTCTGTTTTTTTTAGTTTAAACTAGTAGTTTTATTGGAACAAATTGTTTTTGCTGGTAGTTTATTGCTCAAAGCAAAGGATTACTAGTAAAATCTAAAATTGGAAGTGTATATTTTTATTTTTTGTAATATTTAATTTTATCATAACTGTCTTATTTTAGAAAAGCTAGCTTGTAAGATACTGTATATATACGTATATGTATGTTGTGGTGAACTTTAACCAATAAATCAAAATGACGTCTAAGTACGTCGAACTCGAAATTATGGTAATTGTTTTTTTTTTGAAGTTATTCTTCTTTTGGCGCGATAGGGAAAAATGATGAGTGTAAATTTTTACGCGTGTGCACACCGTCACAAAATCCCGACACCCTGAAGTTAGCATAGTCAACATTTTAAAATAAAAAATGTCCATTTCTTGAATTATGTAGAATTTTTTTTTTGTGATATTTAAATAAACTTTATTTAACTAGATAATGCGTTAAAACTTTCAATGTATTAAATACCTTTTTTCTATTGTTCGTGTCGTTTTTTCTACAAACGTAGAATAAGGCGAAAGATAAAATTAAAAAAAAAGATTTTTATCGTGTTACGCCAAAGAACTATAACTTCTAACGCATGTTCATAAGTACACACACATATTTTTTATGTAATAGTGAGGCAAATGAACAGGAGGCTCACCAGATGTACCGCCGCCCATGGACATTGCAGTAACATCAGAGCCTTACCCGCTTCCCTACTCGCGATACGAGGGTTGTCTCCACGCCCTTTGTTAGTTTGTGAAGATACTTGACTCATAAATTATCCTGTATCGCGCTGTTTGCTTTTGTAGTAGAAGCTAGGATAGATGGAGCATAGTACTAGCAGGAAATTCTTTTGAACGCATGAACCCCTGCATCTCCGCTTGGGAATTTTTCAGGTGAGGGGGCAGAGAGGACCTCGAAGTTCCTTGTTTCGGATACCAAGATCAGAGCTTTGGGTTTGAGACCCAGTGGAGTTAATAAAGTAAAAGTAAAAAAATCATTTAATCACATAGGTAACATAATGTATACTTATGACTTGTCAGTAAGAAATACATATTAATGCTTCTAATTTTACATAATAATAATAACATAAACTAAAAACAAAGATTTGTCCTCTATCAGCAGGAGGCATGGTGAAATAGGAGCACGCACTTACATTCTCGTTTATTTTTAACGCACGCACTTACATTTTAGTTTTTTTTTCATTATTGTGAGTAACAATTTTGATGTATCTATAGATAGCGCGGAGACGTAATTTCGGAAATTTCTAGAAGTTGATACGATGAAATATTCTCGATTTTATAATTACAATCATAATCGAAGTATTATCGTGCTATTGTGCCAATGTACTTGATAATCAGATAATGTGAACAAACATTTATGTTTAGAGAGCAAATAATGTATTCAAGTGTTAGCAACTAATGTGGTAAAGTGGTTGACGGGATGAGAATCAGATTTTACGGAGTTACTCAAATAAGGCATTTCGGGAAATATTTTGTTTAAATACCAGGGGACAAACGGGCAGGAGACTCATCTAATGTTAAGCGATACTGCCGCCCATAGACAGTCCTTGCTAGGGGGCTCGCAAGTGCGTTGCCTTTGGACGCTAAGTGGAATTGGTTCGGAAATACTTCAGTGGGCAGCTGGTTCCACATAGTAGTGGTCCGAGGCAAAAACTGCCTTAAACGCTCAGTTATCAAACGACGGATATCGAGGTGTTACGGATGGTTATTTATTTATTTCTATTTTTTACAGTAACTTAATATTAATACAATAAAAAACATACACCTTTTTATAACTTTTTATAATTCTTGTGCAACTAAATATATCCGAGTCACATGCAATATTCAGCGTAATCATTTATTCCAGTTAGATACAGAGTATGTACCAAAGATTGTCTTATCTTTACATTAATATAATTAATATTTTCAGTGTTTGATCGTTTCAATATTAGCTAACCTTCGTTTTTTTGTTATTGTTGGGAAATAAATTTTCTCACCCCCGTCCGTACCCACTAAAACCAAACAACCCCATCTGTTCATTATGGACGGGAGGCGCGGTAACAGTTTCCCTTAATCCGTGTTCCCGTCATGAGCGTCTGCTGTGCGAGCGCAACTTCTGAGTTGCCCAATTCGGTGCGAAGGTAATATTTGCTAACCGAACCTTAGCTAACAACATCGTATACTGACTATATCAATATTACAATTGTATTATAGAACAGGGGTTAATCGGGCAGGAGGCTCACCTGATGTTAAGTGGACACTCTCAATGTCAGAGGGCTTGCGAGTGCGTTGCCGGTCTTTATGAATTGGTTGGTTGGTAAGGCGAATTGGTTCGGTTTAGTTTTATGTTGTAGACTTATGTTTTTAACCATAACGAAATAATAGGAGGCCGAAAATGGCATGAATTGCTTCGAGAAAATAATACTGGGGGTACGGCCCCCAAGTATTAAATTCAAGTCTACGCTTATCGAATCCGCCGTTGTTCGTTTGTTCGTTAAAAATTGTGTTACGAATTACTATTAAAGGATCGTAAGAAAAATTGGATACGATTTCACTTAGATAATTATAACTTTACAAGGTATAATTCGTCTTAATCAAGATTAAATTTCCTTCTGAAATTTATTGACATGCACTTCACAATTTTTTTTTAATATAAAAGGGCCGTCATCGCAGCCCAGTTTTAGTGGGGCATTTGAAGGTAGAGTACACTCTAAATAGTTGGAGGTCGTATCTTTCAGGGAAGACCCCCACCGGGTTCTACAGTTCGCAAAAGAAAATGCCTTGTGAAACGGACTGTGGAAGACTTCGAGACATCACGATGATGTTCATGAAATTTTGAATTGATACGGCTCTTACGGTGTTTCTTCAGAATTCTTCACAACAATCAACGTAGTACACTTTGTAGAAAACGCAAAGAGACGCAATGTCTCTGCGTAGAAAGAGATAATCAAGCCGATCAGTAAGACTCCAATGTCTTTATTGACATGAATGATTGACAATTCGACAAGCCCTTCGCTGAATTTGGTCAAAAGGAAGAAGCTGGTTATTATTTTTTTAATTAGGAATTGTGTCAAAAAGCCGCCGGTCGCACTGTTTTTTATTCATACAAACGCCGAGTAAGCGAGCGTAGCTGATACCGTGAAGGAAAACATCGTTAAGAAACCGGACTTCAGATCTAAACTGTCAACTTCTTTAGGTCACAGAAGGCTTGCTTTGGGGCCAGCATGAGCTATTGACAGCCTACAACTGAGATGTGACGAATGAGCAAGTTTAGATTCCCTCAGCAGTAATCAGGTTTCGTTCATTCAATTTGTACGACAATTGGTACCATGACCTCGCGACTGAACCAAAATATGACCGTGTTGCTATTCCAATAGGGTTCAGTTTAGGAGGTACGAAAATATGTTATGGAATTTAGGAAACTCTTCAGCATCATACCTGGATTTTTTTAAGCTCATGGTAGGCCATCTAGTTTGCTAGAAACAAATGATCGCCAAACTCACTGAAATCTCGGGCCCTTCTAAAGAATGTAATGTTCCCACATGTATATCTTATTTCTTTTGAAGCAGTGCCTAGTGGTTTCAGCGTGCGACTCTCATCCCTGAGGTCGTTCGATCCCCGGCTGTGCACAAATGGACTTTCGATGTGCGCATTTAACATTCGCTCGAACGGTGAAGGAAAACCGGCTTGCTTTAGACCCAAAAAATCTACGGCGTGCGTCAGGCACAGAAGGCTGATCACCTACTTGCCTATTAGATTACCAAATGATCATGGAACTGATACAGAAATCTGAGGCCCAGACCTAAAATGGTTGTAGCACCATTGATTTATTTTTATTTTTTTCTAAAGATAGCGCCATAGTTTTTCCATACAAAAATTATTTGATACTTACAACATTTGCTGTGAGGACGTTTCCAAAAACCAATGTATACATTAGTATGGCGACGAAAAGCGCAGACCGCTCAGTGAAGGTCATGAATCCGAGGAAAATTGTTCGCAAAATTGTCGCAGTTTTCACTTCGACCATTTCTTCAGCGCGTTTTTCACCAACCACCTTTTGGAATGGCACTTCCCAGGCGTACATTTTGATTACCTGTAAATGAACATTGACAAACAGCTGACATGCAGCTGCTCACGTGGTTCTAAATTTTAACAGCTATACACCAATTGCTCACAAGAATAATATTATGTATGTATGAATAGGTGTTAGTAGTATTTAAGATATTGTTTTATAATTAATCAGATTTGAGTATTGCTCTGTCTTATAACTCCTTCAAGCCCTCAATTATCGTGTGAACCGTGAAATTTTCGTGCTACCCGTAGGGCTCGGTCTGCCCCGCTCTCTTGGCTGGACCAAGACAACCTGTACTTATAAATATATTCACTACTAGCGGAACCCACAGACGTTGTCCTGCATGATATCTCAAGCGATTAGGATATTAAACAAAGTATGAAAGTACCAACTGCAGCGCCATGTGCCGGGCAGATTTGCGAATCTAAACCATCCAGGGCTCCACCCAAACGCATACAAAAAAAAACATTCAAATCGGTCCAGCCATTTAAGAGGAGTTCAGTGACATACACACGTACAGTAGAATTGCTATACTACCTTTAAACTTAGATCAAACTGCACACGGTGTGAAAATTTGGTTGAAATCGGTTAAGCAGTTTATGAGTCCATAGCGGACAAACGTGACGCGTAATTTATATATATTAAGATATATGTATTTTAAATTTTAATCACCTGTATCCCATTGATAACTTCACTCATCACCTTGATTCGTTCATCAGTCTTTTCAGCCGTGCGGAATCTCACTTTACCCATCAAGCTACCAAGACCACCTGTAATCAATAGCTTTGTTTAGCAAATTTAAATAAGAAGTACAGCATTTTCGTGGCTTTTCAAAGACGAAAATGATGAGATCATTTAGGAACAAACCATATAATGAACGTCTGAAATCTTACTTAGGAAATGTGCGATTAAGAGGAATCTATATACCCTTCTGGTCACTATAATGTTTTAGGAATTCAGAAGCTCCTTAGAGTGAATATACATTTGAAGTATAGATTTTTAAAACTGTATAATATAAATTCCCTAAAAAGCTTTAAAAAAAAAGTTCAAAACTGTAGAGTATTTTAAAATTTACTACTGTCGGACATTCTAGTAAATGATGTTACGAATTAAAAAATGTATTAGATATATTCATCGTAAAGTAAAATATGTATATTGATTAGATTATGAATGTAAGTGTCTAATTTGAAAGGAAGTAATTAAAAACTAAGTGAAATAAAACTTTTATGATAAACCTATTCCTATAGTCCGATTTAGTAGATTTCCACTATCACGAGATTGGTATCCAAGCCGCGAAACCGCGGGGCATCGCTAGTATAAAACTGAGTTCCATCACTCCTCCTTCACCGTGCAAAGTATCCTGCTATGGAATTCCTTACCTATTGATATCAGACGAGCTCAGTCTTTAAATTTATTTAAAAATCTCCTTTTTGGTCATCTTTTTCGGCCTCGTGATTAGCTACTACTTTTATATATTAATTGTGAGTCAATTAACTTTAGGCTGAGCTTTTACATGTCTATTTATACATACTATTATTAATACTTTTTCTTTAGATTTTATTTTATTTAATTTTAGTTATAGTTGCATGTTATTTTTAGTATCTTTTTGTTACATAATTAATTATGCATCTCTTGTACTTTACCCTGAGTAGGTTTTTCTTTTTTTTTCTATTGTTCCATTTTATAAGGGATAAGGCCGCCCGTTGCCTAATAACATATGTAACCTACTTACTTTTTGTTTTTTTCTATTTGTATAATTATGTGTATTATGGCAATGAAGTATAAATAAATAAATAAATATTAGCTCCTTACATATTATGAAATTGGCGTATTTCGTACTGGCCACTTTAATCACGATGTTCTCCTCTTTGGTAAGGAATTCCAAATTCAAATTTGTACAGCTATTTACTCATGTATTTGTGCTTCGATGACCGTCATTCATTTGTTTTTTTTGTTTGCGTCACTCATTTTACAAAATGGAAAACTTAAAGTATCGCATTATTTACGAGTACGAGTTCCACCGTGGCACTAGTGCTGCGGATACGACTCGAAGGGTGAATGATGTGTATGGCGGTCATGTTGCAAAAGAAAACACAGTTAGTTTTTGGTTCCAACGTTTTCGTTCTGGAAATTTCGACCTGCAGAACAAGCCCCGTGGACGGCCTGAGACCCAAGTAGATAATGAAGTATTGAAGGCTATTGTGGAAGCGGATCCATCGCAAACCACGTCCGAGCTAGCTGCAGGCTGCGGTGTTAGTGATAAAATTGTTTTAATTCACTTGAAGTTAATTGGGAAGATTAAAAAGCTTGAAAGATGGGTACCTCACAAATTGACTGAAGCAAACCGGCAAACGCGCGTCGACTGCTGCGTAACATTACTGAACCGACACAATAATGAAGGTATTTTAAACCGAATCATTACCTGTGATGAAAAATGGATTCTTTACGATAATCGAAAGCGCTCAGCGCAATGGTTGGATCCTGGCCAGCCAGCCAAATCCTACCCCAAGCGAAAATTAACCCCAAAAAAGTTACTTGTAAGCGTTTGGTGGACTAGTGCCGGTATTGTTCATTGCAGTTTTCTCAAATCTGGCCAGACTATTACGGCTCATGTCTATTGTCAGCAATTGCAAACCATGATGGAAAAGCTAGCGGCTAAACAACCTAGGCTGGTCAATCGCTCCACGCCACTGCTACTTCACGACAACGCTAGACCACACACTGCACAACGGACGGCTACCAAATTAGAAGAGCTTCAATTGGAATGTCTTAGACATCCTCCGTACTCCCCGGACCTTGCTCCAACAGATTACCATTTTTTTCGAAATTTGGACACCTTCTTGCAAGGGAAAAAATTTAACTCTGATGGGGCAGTCCAAATCGCCTTCACAGATTTTTTTGATTCCCGTCCGACTGGTTTTTTTAGTAAAGGGATCAATGAACTACCTATGAGATGGCAAAAGTGCATAGAAAACAATGGTTCATACTTTGATTAATGAAATATATTATATTTAAAAATATTCGACTTTTTGTTCCTCCCATACAAAACGCCAATTTCATATGTAAGGACCTAATATATTCATAAACGTTCGCAAACCAACCGCCATTTTGGATTTGTTCTATTTTGGTTTGTAATAAGCAATAGTTAACATCTTAAGGCCCTATCCCAGCTCGAATTGCTGTGTCAGTGTCTCGGGGTGGACTGCAGTGCGTAGTGGAGAACTGGAGCACTGAGGCGCGTCGGCCCGTAATAACAATTATTAGTTATGTAAAACATTAAATTAATGTAATGTTATCATTTTTTTTCTGTTTTGGATTACTTGGCTTGCGATTAAATATGTCGTGTAAATTTCAAAATCTTGCTCTATATACATTTTCGTCATAAAATGAATTCAATGTGTCAAAAATTGGCTATGTGTGGATTCTTTTTTATCGAGCGAAGTTATTTATTTAAATCGTGTATCGATCTTTCAAAATGGATATATAAACTACTCAACTCCACCATATATTTTTTCCATTCGCCCTACTTCTGACGAAAAATGGAAAGAAACAATGTACTTCTTATAAGTTCTTAAGTACTCAACTACTTATTAATTAGCGCAAAACAACGTTGCTTCGCTAATGACAAAGAGGATTAACGAATTTATATCTACTAAGCAGTTTATAAAGAGTTTAAAATATTATCTTTATAGAAAACAGAAGCAAGCACCTACTTTTAAATTTATAAAGGATAGGTCTGGAAATGTAACTTTATCTCAACGCCGAGTCGAGTCCCCCACCGGACACGAAACTCCGTACAGCCCTGCGATTCTGTAACTCACTTTTCGAAAACCGCTGTGTGAGTTCGAAAAGTGACTTACAGAATCGCAGGGCAGGACTTTGGATGCGTCAAGCAAGTAGAAACTTGTTTCTTCGCCCTTATCATATATTACTAACATCGATGAAAATATTGATATGTTTTTTAGTCTGGCAACTGTAAAAAAAAAAAAAAAATATAATGATAAAGTTTTCATTTAATTTTGATTATAATTGTTATTTTTTATGTTTTTAGTTTTAGTTATTATATAATTTTTATTTTTGTGGTTTTTTGTTCAATTTTTTCCTTTGTAATTGCTAATGTTGTAATGTTTTGTATGCCAACTAAGGTTTACAATAAATTATTTATTTATTTTATTTATTTACACTTCGTTGCTAATAATATAAGAAACACAATTCATAAAAATTATAAGGGATGCAACGGGAGGCCTTATCGCTAATAAGCGATCTCTTCCAGGCAACCCTAGTTAAGAGAAAAACTAAAAAAAAGACACATGATGCGTGCGAGAAGTGCAGAATCCTTAATCTAAAGTAATACAAAAAAAAATATTAATAACAAACTAAAAACTTAAAAACTAATCTTACAAATACATGAACAGCGAATAGTGATGTAAAAGGAATCATAAGAATTATACAAGTCACGATTGATGAGGATAGGATAAGGTTAAGAAATGATTATACAGAAGAGTTTTAAAAGATGACAGAGAGGTAGCCAATCGTACGGAGTCAGGCAGCGTATTCCACAACTTAATGGCGGAGATCGTAAATGAATTGCCTAAGAAGGATGAAGTGTGGGATGGAATTTCCAATAAACATCTATTAGAAGAGCGTAACATATAGTTAGAAGGACCTAAGAATTTGAAGTGATTTTTGAGATAAGAAGGGGTTTTCGGATTGAAAAGAATTGAGTATAGAAGTTGAAGAAGATGAGCGTGACGTCTGAATCGAATAGGTAGCCACCCCAGCTGCCTGCGGAATTTAGACACATGGTCATATTTTCTAAGACCAAATATGAAACGTATGCAGAAATTACCAAAATAATTAAAAGATCTTCCTACTAGAGTCTTTAAAAAGCGACTTGGTGTATTGCTTTTGGAAAAAAAAATTTATTCAATAAATTATTTGCGTGAGACAGTGTAGTTGACATTAATTTAATAAAGTTTGATATTATATGTACGATACAAATAATATAAGAATTGACTTTGAATAATAATGTAAAATTCCTTAAGACAAAATTGCGCGCCATTGTGTGTGGCAGAATATGCGAACTTACGATTGTACCACCTTACACATTTTTGTACCATATTCTTGCAATAAATAAATTGTTATTATTATTATGTAATTGATGTGTATGTGAGTTAAATTTGTGATTTCATATTTTCTTGCATTTGGCATACATATTGTTTTAAAACGTATAAATAAATAAAATCTATATCTATAATATGTATGTATATCCGTTGCCTAGTACCCATAACACAAGCTTCACCAGCTTAACATGGGACTAGGTCAATTGGTGTGAATTGTCCAATAAAAATAAAATAAAAAAAAAGTAAATTAACATTTTTTTAAAGGAAATATCAAAAAGGTTAGTCGACATCACAGGAGACCGAAGAGCTGGCAGCTACCTCGGCCAAAAAAATAGTCTAGCTATTCAAAGGGGGAACGCTGCCAGTATCTTCGGAACCTTGCCTAAAGGGACTCCTTATATAACTAATTTTAAGCTTAGTTATTGTTTTATTTGTTCTTCTGTTGTGCGCATTTGTGTGTTGGAAATAAATGTATGGCCCAATAAATCAAACCGGGACTGCATTAGCAGGTAATTAACATCTCTGGGGCTCTGCCCCAAACGGAACGACTGCCTTAAAGTGCTGCAATAACCACTGAATCTGTAGTAGCCTCACAAGGTTAGTCTCCCTTTGAAAAAAATTCTTCTTACAAAATATCGTTGTACCTACTACATTTGCGACGATATTTTTAATCTATAATTCTCTACAGAATTAAATTCTGTGCTTCTAATAGATATAGTTAGTGTCATGTTCCTCACATTAACACTAACTATGCAAAAAACTCGGTTGTACATCGCGCAGCCCGGACATACAAAGGCCTCAGATTTTAGCTATGGCGGAATATGGTTAAAAGGAGTATTAGTATCACCTGCATCATGAGCATACCCCACATACACACCTTCACGTACTTACCCTCACTTTTACACAATCACACAACACAGCCAAATTAGGTATTACTTAGCTAAATGTATTGAATAATTTTTTATTTGTTTGATTTGTTCCATTTCTGGCTATATTTTCAGTGTAACTGTTTGTTATTATACATATATAATTTATGTTAGTTGTAGGATAACGAAAAAAAAATAGTTCTTATAACTGAACGCCTACATTTTCCTCAAACCAATCTCTTTCTATTATTGTTCCAATTGAATGAATTAGTTTAGCTTCGTGTATGTAATATAAAAAATAAATATAATACCTTGTATTGGTAACGCGATGACAACCAATGCGGCTAAACCCAGCAGAGCAGCATAACCAGCTTGCAAATATCCCAAATAGCAGACAGCGGCTAGCTGTATTGGTATTATCCACACATAATGAAGGAAGAGGAAGGCCAGATCAAACCTCTGGAGATCGTTCGACAGTATATTCACGACCTTTCCAGCTGTCGTCTCGCCGAGAGACCCATTGTTCATCCGCATTATCTAGAGAATAAATTATTCATATTTAATAATAATTGTATGTTTTTTGGGAACGATTTAGTGGTTTGCGACTCCCATCACTCAGGACGTACTGGGGGCTTTGTCGACCTGAACTGTTTTATTTCATTCATTTTCATACAAATTTGTTTTCGACTTTCTACACTTGGCGATTAAAAAGATTGGCGGAGAGTTTATTGCCAGTTATTCTCTTCCGTTCTACGTCCTTGATTTGAGAACTGGCAGTAGATGTAAAATTAGAAGCATATATATTTCTTTTTGATGTTCATAAGTGTACATTGTAACCTAAATATACAATTAAATTATATAGAGGCAAGTAGGAGATCAGCCAGTGCCAGACACAGGTGGGTTTAACGCCTGCATCACATTGTCATCCTACGAGTGCTAGGAACCAGTCACTTGGTGCCAGGGGCTTAGTCAAGATGCCTTAACAGTAGTGTATGTAAAAAGTCAAAAGTCAAAAATCAAAAATCATTTAATCATATAGGTAACACATTGTGGTATCATAATATGTTATTCTAATAAATAAATACCCGTGTATAGTTAAGTTAAATTTATAAAACAAAAACATAAACATAATAATCAAATATACAAATGTACTGTAACACCGTTAACTAAAAGAAGATTGAAATAGAAAGGTGTTTAAATATAAAAGGATCTACTATTATAAAAAAAAATTATCTAATATAATACGTATATATATAAGATAATTTTTTTAAAGAAAATTTTTTTTTACCGGCTGGAAGTTATGTATTATTATAAACTTACAATTATTTTACATAATTTTTTTTTGACGTTTCGCGTGCTTTACAGCGTGCGTGGTGTCTGAAGACAAAATGTGTTGAATGTCAAATGTATCACAGCTGTAGGAAAAGTTGTATTATCTGTATTTATTTCCCCGGAGTTGATATCGACTAAAAGATGGAGGGATGAGGCAGAAATGACTAGGCCTATCTACCTACGTAACTTCAATCCGGTAAAAAAGTGTTTTCTTCAAATGTGTAAAAGTTATGTCAATAAAAGACAATACTTGATAAAAAAAAGCGTACTTAAAATAAGAAAAGTACATAAAATTAAAAGTGAAAAAATAAGACGAAGAACAAAAGTTGGATGCCTTACATTATGCCCTAAAACAGAAGTGGCGGGGCATATAGCAAGATACACAGATAATAGGACCTTAAAGTATGGAAAGGACCAAGAGGAAGAAGAAGAGGTCACCCAAAAAAAAGGTGGATAGAAAAAATAGAAGCGGTAGCAGAAAACGAATGGAGAAAGAGAGCCATAGACAGTTGGAAAAAGCTGAGGAGGCCTTTACCCGTGAAGGGGTTCCGATCGACGGTACTGAAGGAAGCTAGGATAACAAGCAAAAGGGTAAAAAAAATATTAAAATGTAAAATAATCTAAGCTGTGAATTACAATTTGTTTTTGTCATGATTGGAAATAAAACGGGCTAGGTATATAATAATTTAATTATTAGTAACAATGTATCAGTATGCCGAACGTTGGCAAGCTTGTGTAATTGAATAAATAACGGATAATACTGGCTAAAGACTCCGCTAATCGTTCAAATCGTCAATTATTTATCAATATACTTAAGTAAATCAATTTTATCAAGATATGTGCAGCGCAACTATTACACCATATAATATATTATGAATCATGTGATCACGTGCGTTTTTTCCTTTATGGTTAGATTGTGCGTGAATTCTCGCAGCACATTTCCGTTCCAATCAAGGCTAGTCTTAGAATTAAACAACACATGAAATAGACATAAATTCTATATCGGTTTTTTAAATTTATGGTATAGACATAACATTTAATACTAACGAAACACATTGACAGAAACACACAAAATAATAATCAAAAAGAAAAATGACAAAAAAAATATGGAAAGGAAAAAAAAAAGGAATAAGGTACATTTTAAGTGTGTAATGTGTGTGTGTGTTGTGGTTGTAACTGGCCCTGGCTCAGCATTATGCTGTGGAGCAGACGTGTTCCACAGCACTGTTCATTCTGCCAGAGACCACAACAGTAAGTTCGCGCATCAGACGCAAAAAAAGAAAAAGAATGTTTGATCATTTGTCAATCTAATAGGCAAGTAGGGGATCAGCCTCCTGTGCCTGACCCATGTCGACTTTTTGGGCCTAAGACATGCCAGTTCGCTCACGATGTTCTTCTTCGAGCGAATGTTAAATGCGCACATAGACAGAAAGTCCCTTTGGTGCACATCCAAGGATCCAGTCTACGATTTCGAGGCCAACACAGCTCTCGAACATCACACATTGAATTTTTACCAGGCCGACAGTCGGATACTTACTAATATACGTATATGTCATCGAAAGGATCATGTGTGAAAATAACATGAGAACTTAAGAAGCCAGGAGATCAATGCAACTTCCGCAGCAGTTCCGCAAATCACCGAGGGGATTCTTGTATCAAAGAATTATTTATATAATCATTTATTATACATTAATATAAATAAAGGGGGGGGTGATAGCGATATATATGGGGATTTAAAGAATTGTATATTTGGAAATAAAAGTCTATGAAAGCATGATTAGCATATCATATTAGTCCCAGACGATAATATAAGATAAATTTAAAGTGTTATTGAAGTGTGACATTTATTTGATTTTTATCAGATACCGTCAGACATTATCTTAAGCAGCTGGCCTGCGAGGTTGTAGCAAAATGTTTGCTCTGAGTTTGCAAAAAAACATTGGCAAGTTATGTAACCTAACATTAGTTATGTTACATATATATACATTAGTTCATAATTAAAAGCGTAAACAATCTTCGCACATTTAAAGCCAATAAGCCCTAAAGGTGCGCTTACACGGGCAACTAAAATTGCTCAATTCCAGTTAATACTCGTCAACTATGACGTCACGACTACATAAAGCAATTTACGGCAACGGCAACAAGCATTAATACTGCGCAATACAATATTGAGTGATATGGCGCAACTTCATCAACTAGGCAATACTGTCCTACACGAGCATTTCAGTATTCGCTCGCTATGGACGACATTGTTCTTGCTGCGGCGGCTTGTAGCGCTTTTTTTAATATTAATCAAAAACAAAAAAGAAAGAAAAGGAATAGGCGTATCTGGGTGCGATCGTTTTTGGCCGCAATTTTCATTGTGTAAAGAATTAGATGATATATTATTCAAAACTTTACTAGAATGTCACGATTAGACTTTGAATTACTTTTGAATAAAATAGTTAGAAACTATTATTATTTAGACCTCTCGTTCTCCCCGCGGAAGCAAGACGGCAAGCCGCAAAAAAAACAAGTGCGAATGAGATATATACAAAAATTGCTAGGAATTTCCTATAAGTAAAGTCCATTGGATATTCGTCAATTCGTATCTGCGACATTGAGCTATATAAAATATCTGGAGCAATTAGAAGCAATATCGCCGAAATAATTTATTGCAATTTATTAAATTTATTGAAATTGCTCCATTAATTGCTCCAGATCGGTCCATTCGAGTCGCCGAGCAATTATTGCCCTCGTGTAAGCGCACCTTTAGGTTTTTTCTACACTTATAAATCGTAATTTAACATTCTCGTTTCCGATAATGTCCAATAACATTAGTGTCACTTAGATTTACGAACTCTTCAATAAGTCAAGATAGTTTTTTTCCAGCGTCGCAACCCCACTACCCCGAATGTGATCTTAGTTATAAGCTCATGTTTTAAACCATTAAAGCCAGTTGACATCCAGCTTCAAACAAAGAGTTTCATTTAACATATATTTAAACATCCCTACAGCTTCCTAGAAATCTGGGCCTCACGCCGGCGACTTTGCGACTAAGGCAAGCCGGTTTCCTCACGATCTTTTCCTACACCGTTTGAGCGTTAAATGCGACGAAAGAAAGTCCATTGGTGCTCAGTTGGGGATCAAACCTACGACCTCAGGGATGAGAATCGCACGCTGAAGCCACTAGGCCAATACAGCTCTACGATTATTATATTTCAGTCAACATAACAACATGATTATACCTTTCTCATAGACACAGCAGAGACAATTTTATTTGTTTCAACCACCCCCGCGAACTTCGTTTCGGCTGAATGTTTTGTTTTGCTTTTTTAAGCAACATATGGATATATATGCTACCACACAGCTAATAAATATATTTTTTATACAATATTTTTAATTACCTATTTTACCCATAATATAATAAACTGGTCCACTCTCGACGATAAAACAATTTTCGTTTTCGTTCGTTTTCGTTTCGCCTTGATTGTAAATAAAATGTTGTTAATAAAATTTTCACTTAGCCATATAGATGTAGTATGAGGTAGCATATATATTATATATCTATAAGGAATAATTAAAAATAAAAACTGATTTTTGTCTAATTGACCAACCTTTCTAAACATAAGTGAACTAACGGCAATACGCAGCTTCATTCCAAACTGTTGGCAGTAGAAGTTTCCGTGGTGGTTTAAAAAGGCCGCCACCATATTCGCGACTATCATCGCGGCTGCGTAGTATGCCGCCTCTTCTGTAGACATTGTGCTGTCCACACTCCAGTAACTCAGCAATTGCGCAAATAGCAATGGTGATAATGTACTGAAACATCACTTGTATTAATATGAGGAACACTTGCAACACACTTGCGAACTTTTTTTTATAACAGAGCAAACAGAGCTGTTTGCTGATTTTTGTCTAATGACTTGCAACAGAGCCTCTGTTTGCTCTCCTGATATTAAGTCATACCGAGGAAGGAAGGCATTGTACCTCCAACCAAACAGGAGGTCTAACCACTGACTGGCCTTAAGTAGCTATAGTGATAAAGTTAGCTTATGTATTTTTTTTGACGTGATAACGTCTTATAAATCGATGAACGCCCACTGCACGCACGAAAAAATATGACTCATTGTCACGTCCCGCCTGAGCCAAGCGTAACATGACTCATTGTCACGTTCCACCCGAGCCAAGCGTAACATGACCCATTGTCACGTCCCGCCTGAGCCGAGCGTAACATGAGTCATTGTCACGTTCCACCTGAGCCGAGCGTGCAAGCGAGATAGGGACAATAGGCGTAATAATTAAAATTTAAATAAATAAAATATTTGAATTAACGAGTGCAAATATATGTTAATGTATCGAAATTTTTTTTAATTTCAATTAACTCCGTTGTATTATACATATAATGATAATTAAGTGATAATAATTAAATTAAATTCATGTATACAACTTTTCATCAACGTTTTCGATATGCTATATATGTCGCAGCCAACTAAGTTAATTAGCCGTTCAATAAACAGCCTAGCCATTAACTAAACATTGCCGTTTAACTAGCGGCCTGAACTATAATAAGCCGAAGCATTTGTAACAACATTGAATAAACTGGCTATCGAATGCTTAGGCATAAGAAACTCTTTATTTTATATATTTAAAATGTAACTTATTAGTGTCACTTAACTTTTCCATACTATTTTTCATTAAACTTGGGAAACATCATCAAATTCGTTGTTTGCCGACGCTTTATTGACAGTTTGAAGTGAGTGGCAGAAAGTGGGACTCAATAGAAATGAATAGGAAAGGCAAGTGTTTTAACGTCATCGATCCAAGTCATTTACTTAGCTGTTAGATAAAATGTCTGCTGCGTATATAAAGATTCTACACTAATTTGGTTTTATTTTATTTATTTATTATTTATTTACACATTATTGCTTTATAATACAAACATTTAGCAAAATTACATTTAAAGAAAAGTCAACTGGCGGCCTTATCGCTTTCGAGCGATCTCTTCCAGGCAACCATTGTGAGAAAAAAATAATGTATTAAATTACATAAGGTAGACAAGAAGTGCAAAAATACATGTATTACAAATAGTTGTTAAGAAAAAGAAACTAAACAGGGACAAAAAACCCACTAAACTAATAAAGGATACATAAAAAAAAGTGCACATTAATTATCATTTCATTTTAGATCAGTCTCACGTCAATTAGTAGGCATTATTAAAGTTAGGGATATGATGTGGACAGGTAATGTTTGTAGAGAAGAAATTTAAAGGAAGGTAGAGAAGAAATTTAAAGGAAGGTAGAGAAGAAATTTAAAGGAAGATAGAGAAGAAATTTAAAGGAAGGTAGAGAAGAAATTTAAAGGAAGATAGAGAAGAAATTTAAAGGAAGGTAGAGAAGAAATTTAAAGGAAGGTAGAGAAGAAATTTAAAGGAAGATAGAGAAGGAGCTAACCGGATAGTTTGTTTTTACATTATAAGCTTTACATAACAGATTAGATATAACTAACATTTGAACCCTATGTTATTTCTGATGAACATAGAATATTTTCATAAAAATTAAGGTTCTATATGAAATTACGATAGTATCGTAATGGTCCAAAACCAAGGTGTGAAGAACAATAAAGATTTCTATATGCTGCGGAAACCATTGACAATGTAAACCCTGACCGTTTTTTTACACAACATTAAATACAATTTTTTAACAAAACAGATAATACAAAATATCTATAACTATTTACTTCGAAATAAAAAAATATAACTGAAAAAATTATATTAATCTGCTGTCAAACTGTATATATTTATGAGAAATAATGGCAATTAGGGAACACAAATCCAATATTTTTTATTCCCTCCGTAATTCGTAAACGATCAGACTGCTTTTTTTTTTTGTTGAATGGAATCTCGCTGTTGGCCTTAAGGGCCTTTACAGCTCAGCTCGGGCTGTTTTGGCGATTTATTATTATTGGCCGCGCGGGTGGCTTAGTAGACGGTCAGACTGCGGCAAGTTTCGCCCTTTTTATATTAGCCGATACAGACTGTCTGTCGTTTCCAAGAGGCCCGAAACTAGGGGAGGGGGTTGAAGTGTTGCTGAATTCACATTTTATATCGCACGGTTGATCTTTTAATGTCTTCCTCAACAGTGGCAATTGCCAAATATTTATGGACTTCAGTAATTCGTGTTAACCACGGCACACCGCTCATATCTCGCAGTGTTTTGTTTTGTAGCCGCTGCAAGATTTTGATATTAGTATGGCTTGCTGAGGCTTATGGGTCGCTCTGAAATCAGTCGTGAAGCAGTCATTTTATGATTTGGCATTCTAATAAAAAATAAACTACAAGCTTCCACCTTTTCAGAATGCCATATCATAAAATGACTGCTTCACGACTGATTTGAGAGCGACCGGCGATCCGAAAACCGCTGTGTGAGTTCGAAAAGTGAGTTACAGAATCGCAGGGCTGTATTCCATAGAAACATATTGGTTTTATTACGGTTTTGAAGATGAGAAGTTTTTTTTCCAAACTAAGTGCGGCATTACTACTATTATCTAGAAAAAATATTCTAGATATGGAATAACCTATTTCACTGCGTACCATGTTTCCTGTTTTTTCAATTTTTTCTATTATGCTGATGGAGGGGTGGTATAATGCAGGTTTTTTTGATAACAATCCTGAAGCATTTGTTTTGCTTCTGTGTGAATGTGTGACCAATAAGGCCATTTCTGCGGAAAAGTCCTATCAAATCTTTATGTTTCAGTTGACTGCGCCATAACTCTTTGCTTTGATCTCTATTAATAACTTTATATGAGTAGCTTTCGTGGGGCATTGTCTTGTTTATAATAATAATAAAGCCCGTTTAATTTCCAATCATGACAAAAAAACAAATTATAATACACAGCTTAGATTATTTTACATTTTTATACATTTTTTTTTCTTTTGCTTGTTATTATGTATTCTAGCTTCCTTCAGTACCGTCGATCGGAACCCCTTCACGGGTAAAGGCCTCCTCAGCTTTTTCCAACTGTCTATGGCTCTCTTTCTCCATTCGTTTTCTGCTTCCGCTTCTATTTCTTCTATCCACCTTTTTTTTGGGCGACCTCTTCTCCTTCTTCCTCTTGGTCATTTCCATACAGTTGTCTTTAAGGTCCACCTATTATCGGTGTATCTTGCCATATGCCCCGCCCATTGCCACTTCTGTTTTAGGGCATAATGTAAGGCATCCAACTTTTGTTCTTCGTCTTATTTTTTCGCTTTTAATTTTATGTACTCTTCTTATTTTAAGTACTCTTCTTTCTATTGCTTTCTGGCATGCTACTAGTTTACTTTTTATTTTTGTATTGTAAGTCCACGTTTGGCAGCCGTATGTGAGAGCAGGTAAGATACAAGTGTACAAGACAATTTTCCTAAGGTGAAGAGAATTGACTTTTTAAGATTTCCTTCATGGACCAAAACTTTTTCCAGCTCATGTTAACAGAACTTATAATGTCTTGTTTATAAGTTCTGTTGATTTAAATATATCTTCTATCCCATATAAGATTATAGGCGGTGGTTTGTAAATTTTTTTGGCGTTAGTGGACGAGTCCTCTCCATCCTTCTCAGTAAGATCTACAGGTAGTAAATTATAATTGTTACTTGTGATTTTAGGTGAGGCAGTATTTGAATACGCGGTGGACTGTTTGATAGTCTTTTTCTTTTGGGATAGCGGTCTGTTGGGACTCTTTGCCAGGAAGGCGGAGAAACTTTGTTGGTATCATCATTTATTGTTGGGTCACAGTCATAAACGGTGGACATAGACGATAAATTCTTCGAGTATGTATCCTTTAAACTTGCTACTGAAGACCATCTGGGACTTGTGTTGAGCAGGCTTGGATAAAGTACCTGCTGAGTTAACTTTTTCTTTGGGACACTCATTCTATTGTAAGATCACTGTCGATTTAATTAAAGAATCATAATATAATACAATCATTCCTATCTTTGTGATATGAGATATAAAACAAATATAAGCTGCATATAATGAATATAAAAACTTACCGAAGTAATGTATAAATGAACTGCATGGCCCCACCCAATAGATATGACCAAATAAAGGTTCTGTACAGAACTCTGATGAGGGAGGGCTCACTCCCTGATGCCTTCGCATATTTTTCTTCTATTAACCAATTTCTGTAAAAAAGAACAATAGTTTGTAAACGTCTCTAGTATATAAATAATAATAATAATAAACTAATCTGTGGCCATTGCCGTTCCCGCCAAAACGTCGCCGGGCATAAATTATAGACCGTCGTATAAAATCCATAGATTAGGCCCGGTATAAACTATAGACCTTCGAGTATCTATCTATAGATTAGCTAATTGTAACATGATGTCACTCAAACTAGGTTTGCGGTGAGAATGAAAACATGACGCATGACGCATTACGTTTCGTAGCGTCCAATTGTGATTGGTCAAGCGACATGACGTTTAATGACGCGTATTTGTCACGCGATGCGGTTGCAGTACGCGTTGACCAATCATAATCTCTGGTTTTATTTCTCAACTTCGATTATATTGTGTGTTAAGAACTTTTATTAAATTGTTTTGTTGGTTCTGTGTCATACTTTATCTAATCTAAAATTGGGATTGGACATTAATAATAAATTTTCCAAGTCATGATAATATATCGTGAAATTGATTATTTATCGATTTATTTAGTAAATCCGTAAATTGTATATTTCACATGTATTTAGAGCTAGAATAAATAATTCTACAGATAAGACACGTGGGATTGGCGCCCATATTTCCCATAGATTAGTCTTTTTTTTTTATCAAATAAAAAATTAAACATTTAAGAGTTTTAAATTAAATTTAAATGTGTACAAATGTGTTTTAATAATTTTTGAAGTAATACTTCTTTAGGCGCGTTATGAAAAATTGATGAGAGTGAAGTTTTACGATGCGCGCGCACCGTGACACAAAATTATCAGTATGAAGTTGCCCACTAACGAATTCATTTTAAACCAGCCGGGCGCCGAGCGTGCGCGAGCGAGATAGGAATAAGACAATCTACAAGTAAAAATAAATAGAATATGCGTGAATTTAGCAGCTATGCCAAGAATTTTGAATGACCATAATGACCTTTGTAGTACCTTTTAAACAAATAAAGGAGTTTTAATTATTTTTTCAAAGAAATTTAGCATTGCTTTTTCACAAAGACCTATTGTTACTTAGTTAAAAGGTTATGAAACATACCTAGTTATTAAATTGAATTAATAATATAATAAAATAATAAATAATTATTATTAATATTAATTAATAATTGAATAATATACTAAATATTAAATATTATTAAATTATTAACGTTAACTATTTATTATTAATTATTTTATATTTTAAAAAAATAAAGAAAGCCAAAGAAGTATAACTTCTTACGCGCGTACTTAAGTACACGCACGCTTTTTTTCATATAATTAATAATGAAAATATGTAATGAAAAAACTGTCTACAATTCTGGTATAGTTTTTTTGTATTACGAAATCGTATTAATATTTAAGAGATAAAGACAACGTAAAACCATAACATAAAAAAGAAAACCTGGCGGAAAATAATAAATAAAAAAAACATGGCTGACAACCATGCATATTTTTAATAACATTTTATGGCGCCAATTTCATACAATAAAAAAGAAAAGCCTGGCCGAAAACGATTAATAATAAAATATTACAAAACAACATGGCTGACAACCACGTATATTGTTAATGCAATTTTATGGCGCCAATTCCATACACGTAAAAAATCAAATGTCATTTATATATACACTTATTAATAAAAAGTACTTCAAAATTTAAATTTAGAAATAAATTTCAAAATAGTTCGCGTCACTCATTTAAATCGCCAAGATTTTTTTTTACAAATTGAATATGAAGAACAAGAATAGACAAAATAATCTTTATAGTGATGTTATTAACTATTATAGTTTGATTAAGGTTTATTTAAAAATGGTAAGTACTTGCGTTGTTTAAAACAACGCTCATCTAAAAGCACTCTGGAGTTTCACACCTTCGCTGCTGACTTCCCCTGGTGCCGCACTGAACGATTTGAATCGGCGTATAGCAAAGGAGTGGAACTTACATTCCTAGTCAGTTTAACATGCATATTTAACCACTTAAATGAACCCATCATAAGTGGTTAAATAGGCATCTCCTGGACTCCTGCCCTCCACTGAACATCAGGTGGGATTTTGGCCAAACATCTGTCCAGTTTTGGCTTGCGATTCTGTAACTCACTTTTCGAACTCGCACAGCGGTTTTCGCAGCGGCGGTCGCGCTCAAATCAGTCGTGAAGCAGTCATTTTACGATTTGGCATTCTGATAAGGAGGGAGCTTGGAGTTTATTATTGTGAGTTACAGAATCGCAAGGCTGTATTAAAAAAATGCATAAATCAAGAACAATTTACTCTATGAAACACAGACCCGGTAACAAGTCCCGTGGAAATAGTGTAGTTCAATAACCATTTACGAGCGCGGACGTTCTCTTCGTGACTGAATTATCTATTATATGACGTAATGTCATGTAATTAACGTAAAACTGTTCATGCTGAATAAATTAATTCAACAATTAGCTGTTATTTAGTTTTATTCATAAATTTCGTTAGTTATAATCACATTCTCAAGGTCAAAATTGAAAACTGTCTTTCAACTCGGCATTTTTATGACATTTTGTGCCGCGCACCACCACTATGTGGAACCAGCTGCCCACTGAAGTATTTCCGAACCAATTCGACTTAGGGTCCTTCAAGAATCTGGACAAGAACTTTCCATTGTACCATATTTTTTTTATAGAACAGGGGGCGGGCAGGAGGCTCACGTGATGTTAAGTGATACCGCCCATAGTTTCTGAAATTGCCAGAAGGCTCGCGAGCCTTTTAACATTTGGTACTTGAAGGACCGTAGGTCTTATATTATGTTCGGTAATACTTGTAGCGCCAGTTCTTTAAAATGAACTAAAAAGTGTTATTTAATAATATTTTTATAAGTGGTCTCGTTTTTTGTTAAAATTGTCAAAATTTGGATATTAATATCTTTGATACTAAAATAATAATAAAAAATGGATAGATAGAAAATTAAAACAAATTTAAAAAGTTTTGTCCCTGTGGCATTTCCTAGCTGTACTGCGATACTTATTCGTTGAGGAAACCATCAGCTCTGGGGTCACCGGTAGTACCAGATGGCAACTTAAATCTTTAATTAGCTGTGCACCAAGTCCCAAAAGTCTTCTTCAAAGGGAACAATATCAAAGTTGGATGAAAATCTTAATCTCGGAGTAGTATTAAATAAATAATAATAATTAAAAAAATTCTTTACTACGCATTCTAAAATAAATGAAATATAGTATTTTTATCTCAACAGTATAAAACTATTAATCTGTAATCTTAATTTCGACATTCGATAATTTTTTTATCTATATCGTTATTACCCATATTATTATGAAAGCAATAAAATAATCTATTTAATAGTGCAAAATAAAAAAAAAATTTTCCATTAGTCATAGACTAAACAAGTAATTAATAAAAATAAAGTAAAATTTAATAATTTCTAATATTCATACTAATATTATAGAGAGGAAAGGAACATCGGAAAATGACGAAAAGAAAAACAAAATGTTTATAACTGTCAAACATTTAACATTGATCTCGTATAGGGTATGCTCCCCTCAAATTAAAGAACGTGTTTAAAGGAGCAGTGTGGGCCTGGTGGCGTCAGCGTGCGACTCTCATCCCTGAGGTCGTAAGTTCGATCCCCGGCTGTGCACCAATTACCTTTCTTTCTATGTGCGCATTTAATATGCATAATATGAACAGGTTCGAAGATAAGATATATCCACAATTCGGTGGAAAATTTTAGTTTTGAACAATGTGGAATAATGTCAGTAATTGACATTATTATTGGTTGTCATATGCGTCTCGTACACGTATTAACGTTTAAATTGATAACAAACTAGTCGAAGAAAACATATTTTTATCTAAATTTACGACCTAAATAAGCAAATTATAGATGGAGTAATTTTTGCATTTAATAATCACATAGCTAATCCTACTAATATTATAAACGCGAAAGTTTGTAAGTATGTACGGATGTTTATTACGGTTTTCAATGAAACTTTACAATGATATAGCTTATACATCAGAATAACACATGGGCTACAATTTATAAAGATATTGGGTGAATTGTCAAAAATATGAAGTAGGAAAAAATCTACCATATGCGAGCTATTCTGGTGTGCGCTGCCAAAACCGCTAGAGTTACACATATGTAATGTATGATGGAAATGTTTATCTTAAATTATCAAAAAAAAAGTCCGCCACAGTATATACCTAGGTCTTATGTGTAAGCCATTATAGCCAAAATAGTGAACCATAACTACAATAAAATTTGATAATTTATTTCTAATGCTCATTTAGTAGTAATAAATTGATAAAATGAAAATATATACTTTTATCGCTTCAGGTATTTAATGTAGATAAAATATGTCTTTCACGCTACATCATTTGGACAAATATTATTTTAATCCTGCGACGTAGTCGAGGGCACCAGCTAGTAAAAGTATAATACATAGTAGAACATCGTTAAGCAACACGTGGAAACTGTAAGATAACTGTATTGATACAAAATTTAAATGAACCTTGAAATTCATATTAAAAATTTATTTCTTTCTTTCTTTATATATTTGTTACATACGTTACATTTACAGAAAAACAAATAACATACAAATTATAAGGGATGCAAGGATCGGCTTTATCGCTAACAAGCGAGGAAAGTAAGGAAAAAACTAAAAAGTTATATGATTAAATCTAACAAAAACCAACCTTAATCAAAAAAAAGAAACTAAAAGGCTAATCTTATAGATTCATGAATAGCGGTGCAAAACAAAAGAATAAGAAAGACAAGAATTACAAAAGTCATTCAAATGTTTAAACGATGTATAGGGAGGTAGTCAATCGTATGGAATCGGGCAGCCTATTCCACAACTTAATGGCGGATATCCAACGAATTGCCTATTGTTTAAAAAAATTAAATAACAATTTTCTCACCTTTCCAAAGCATCGCCCACCCTTTTCGACCCATATATATCCTTTGTCGGCACCAGATCCTCGTCTTCCAGGTCCCTCCTATTCCCATTATAAAATAACGGGAAAGTCCAAACATAAAACAAACGGGAAAAGACACCAGGTGGCGAAGGATTGCGTTTCTCCCAATCTTTACTCTTTAAATTAACCATTTTAACAACACGACCGACGCGTGAGCAGACTTAATTTTTACAGCGGCATCGCTGATAGCACCTGCTCTCGACTGTTCACACGATATTGCACTAAATGTTTTTCACAAACAACATATTACATTAATCAATAAATTATGCAAGTCATAGATAAACATTCCATAGGATTTTCCTTTCACGTCTATAATGATTCATAGATAGTTGTATAGAGAGGATTGTTAATAATAATTAATTAGCTGTGTACAACCCCACGGATATATATTTAAATTGATATATGTGAAAATCTATTTAATTAATTTTCTCGTAATGTACAATATGTTTTTTTTAATTTAGTAAAAAGTTAGAAAAATACTGTATAATAAGTTTTCTCTCACTCTTTTTTTTTATAAGTAAACTTTTTAAAACTTTTTATTTTTGCATTATAGGAAACTATTACAATTGAATGTGTTGTTTTAATGAGACCTTATTTATCGAAATCGATAAGAAATGCTGGCTGGGAAGCTGACAGAGCATTTTACGATTAAAAAAAAAAGACCGTTTCCTCAATTATCTCCTCTTTTTACACTTCAAGTTTTTTATCATATCACCATCACAAAATCATCTCCATGTCATCCGCCATTCTATCGCACGTTACTCCGATGCGTCCCCAACCTCCACAGCCTACATATGACAGCGCGAAGCGCGCCAAATTCAAAATAATGAAATGTGATTTCATTTGTTCACCAGTTGTATTGCCGCTGATTTATAGTTATTTTTTATATTGAAATTAAAAAATAACTTCACTCTTTATGAGGAAAACGTGAACATATATTATCATGTGTATATTGCTTTGAAATCTTATCGATAATCGAAGGTGAATTAATTTACGTTAAACGGTAATAAAGTGTTATCTAGTTATAATTTTGATAATACTTGCCTAAATCGATTTAATGATTTTACCTTGGATAAGGAAATGGGTTAGTTTTTGTCCTAATTTAGGGGGCAGTCACGGCCGAAGTAAAATACGGACGTCGGTTATAATTAGCCGTAAGTTCTGCCTTGCGATTCTGTAACTCACTTTTCGAACTCTCACAGCGGTTTTTGCAGCGGCGGTCGCGCTCAAATCAGTCGTGAAGCAGTCATTTTACGATTTGGCATTCTGATAAACAATAAACGACAAGCTCCCTCCGCTTGTCAAGACGTAATGTGAAATTGCTTAACATAATACCATTAGATTCCAAAAATGACGTGAGTGACGAAGGGAGCGATGTTAGTGCGAGGTGAACTCACGGATTAACAGAATCGCTCGGCTGTTACCAATGACAATGCATTTTTTTTATCAAGTAATGTAATATTATTAAATTTTATGGCTACAAAACAGATCTCTTTCGAATTCTTCGCGATTTAATTTTAAACTTTTACTCAAATTAAAAATTAGTAGCAAAAATGTCAAGCAACAACGACGATACCGATGAAAATTTAACTCCACCTGACATTCTAGAAACTGACGAATTTTTTTCCAGAAAAATCAAGAAAAGCGTACGACAAATGTTACAAAGACTTTATGACTTGGAAACATATAGCCATGAGATTAAATAAATTAGTGTATGCAACTGCATATAATTAGGTATTATATGACACTTGACAGTTGCATAAACTAGTATTTTGTAGCACTAATGTTTACTTAAATGGTCATACATTTTAGATGGAAGATTTTGTTAAATATGCCGTAGATTTAGTTACTATGTATGATGTGGTAAACTTGAATAAATATACAGATTAATCTATGGATTTACGCACAGTTTCTAAAGGAAATTTCGCCACTGATTGCTCCAAAGATTTTTTAAGAGACTCGAAGACACGTCCTCCAATTGTTTTAAAAAAAAAACGTTCTCACGTAAAGACCGGCCACTAAAATGTGTGTCCGTTGGCTGCGTTGACTGTTCTTTTTAGGCATCCCGCGGACTAGAAAAAAGAGTGGCGGAGAGTTTATTGCCAGGTCTTCTCTTCCGTTCTACGCCCTTGATTTGAGAACTGGTAGTAAATGTAAAATTAGAAGCACTTAATGTATATTTCTTTTTTTTTGACGTTCATAAGTGTACATTGTGTTACCTACATGAATAAATGATTTTTGTCTTTTTGACTCATTTGCCCTTATAAAATATTGCATTCATCGTTGTAAATTTTTTACTCATTTCAACTCGTTTTATTCATTAAAACTCAATCTGAGCCCCCTTCGGACCCCGGCAGCACCAATGAACTTTCTATCCGCATTTAACATTGGCCCGTACGGTGAAGAAAGATATCGTGAGGACACCTTCCTTAGACATAAAAAGTCGTTGATCACCTACTTACCTATTACAAACAAATGATCAAGAAACAGGTACAAAGAGGGGAGATTTAAAGAAACTACTTTGTTCAATGCTATATAGTTCGCAATTGTTCGGGCCACGACAGCCCTGCGCCAAAGCACATTTCATAAAAGATTTCCCCTGGTAAAAAAATTCACACATTATTATTAAATAAAGCATTTAAGTATTTTTCAATAGGAGCAAAAATTTATGCCATAAAATTGTTAATTTCTTTCGTAAGTTTTTTAAAGGGGGAATACGTATAACCACCGAAGCGTGACTGCTTGGGGTGGAGGGCTATGTGGTATTCACCATCTATGTCCACTAAAAACCGCTCCGTATTTTTTAATATATTCACTATTTATGCGTTAGGGTACATCTGTAGGGCTTAGGGTCAGTAGAGTTGTTTGGTTCCCTCTCATATATTTAGTTATTTTATTTATTAATATTTCGTTGCAAGTATACAGAAATATAGTACAATTAACTTAATAAAATAAAAAGGGGGCAACTTTTTTGTGGGGCGGCTTTATCTCTTTCGAGCGATCTCTTACAGGCAACCTTTGTAAGAAGAGTTTTAATTAGATAGTCGCGATAAGTGCAAAAATACAAGAAAAATACATATGTAGTTATTTAGACAAAACTAATGGAACAGAGGAAAGCAAAGAATTAAAATTAATGTTAACAGTGAAAAGGACAATAATAAAAAGTTATCTAATGCAGCTTGCTAATATATACACTACATAATATATACTAAACAGATACTCCTGACATTTATTATCTATTTAGTTATCATTAATTAATTAAATAAATAAAAAAGGTTTTATTACTACACCTAGTTTTATTTATTTTAAATAATTAAAATTTAACAAAAACAAAATTAAAACAAACTTAAAAAGTTTGGTCTTAAGCAGTGTACTCTTACTACTCTTACCTGAGAGTAATAACTATTGGTCTAAGATCCCGCTATACAACGACCTTCACCGAGATGCTTATTTAATTAAACTTATTTTATATTTAATTTAATATGTCAATAAATATAATCCATATGGGTTGCCTAGCAAATTTCAGTCCAGAGTATTTTAATTAATATTAAAAAAAATATATTTTTTTAAACATTTCACCGGTATGATTATTAGATAAATTCTATACCAATCGAAAGTATAAAGTCCATAGAATATGCAAACGTTAGGTTGTTTTTAATCAATTAATTATTTATGTGTATATTTTTTATGTGACACTAAAGTATATATACATCTTTAGTATAAAAGAAGGTTATATTGATACATATATAATACTACCCTGATTAAAAATATTGATTGAAAAAAGTTCAAAAAATTTACTATGTACATGCAAATTATAAAAAACTTTTTTTTTTTAAATATTAATTAAACATACTCTGGACTGAAATTTGCTAGACAACCCATATGGATTATATTTATTGACATATTAAATTAAATATAAAATAAGTTTCATTAAATAAGCATCTCGGTGAAGGTCGTTGTATAGCGGGATCTTATACTATATAACGATAAGTATTATCTACCATCATAAATCTTTAATTAGCGCCTGTGCACTTGAATCCCACGGCCCAAGAGTCTCTACTCCAAAATAAACAAAAGCACCAGCTCTGGGGTCACCGGAAAATTCAAATAAATAATAATTTAATAAATTCAAATTCCTTTATACATTAATTAAAACGACTAATCAGACTTTCACCGGATAAAAAGTATGAGGATGATTTTGTAACAGGTGCTGGGAATAGAGTAAACAGGGCGTTGCATTCCTTTTTGTAATCATGAAATAGAGTCTGGCTAATGAAAGAAGATAATTGAATTATTTGAAAACTTTCGGATGGAAACACAGAATGTCATTGAATTTCTTAGGTTAGTATGATTTATTTTCTTCATACTTCATGCAATTACTCATTTTTATTTCTATTATATATTTTTTCCGGATAGTTAACAGGTATAATAGCCTAAACTTTGTTTTATTTGATAGAATATTTCGTTTCTTTCGCAGGATTTGATTATTCCGAATAAAGTTGTGTTTTATAATAAATATTGTTTTAGTTTTCTATGCAATGCTAGTCATTTTAAATATCAATAGTAAAATACTAAATACGTATAGTATTTAATTTCATAGAAATACAGTTACTATCAATGTAAAAAATAATAAAATAAAATCAAGTATCAAGTAAGTTTAATCCACAAAATATATCAAACTTTTAGGGATACCATACTATTTTTTTTTGAATTTGCCGCGGTTTTTTGTTATCTTCTTTCATTAGCCAGACTCTATCAAACTAGGCTCGATTGGACATAGGGGAGTGTTATCCCAATGTTAACATACGCTAGTAAATGTTAGGTGTGGCAGAAAGAATGAAAGTACATAAATGCTGTGGAAAGAGCGTTATCAAGTATGTGTGGTGTAGCATTGCGTGATGGGATAATGAGATCCGTGAGCAGTGTGGGTTAAAAGAGTAATGGAAAGAGAAAGCTTAGGTGGTTTGGCCATGAAGAAAGGAATGAGAAGTGGCTTATTATTATTATTATTAAGCCTTTATTGCTGACACCCAGTACAATAATATAATAACAATTATTTAAGTTACATAACAAAAACTTAATTCTAATACATAAATAAAACTTAATCTAATACGTCACTTGACCCGTTTTA